AGGAGAGAGAGAGAACGGGAGGAAATGAGTGAGAGGGAGAGAGAGAGAGAGTGAGAGAAAGAGAGAGAGAGAGAGAGAGAGAGGAGATTCCGTCGTCGCGGGGGGCCTCGACACCTGTGCAGCTGTGCCAGGCGGGGCCGGGCTGGGCGACGAGGAAGGAAGAGTGGCTGGGCGTGGGCGGCGATGATGTCGCACGTCAGCGCCTCGCTGCGCCTGGCTTTGCCCGGCCGGCCGACCGGCTGGAGTAACTGGCCACTCAATTAGCGCCGCAGCCGCCAGCCTGGAGGCTCATTCCGAAGACGGCGCTCTGTCTCTCTCGCACCCGTGGGGCCCTCCGCATGCTCCGTGGCGGTGCGAGAGAGACAGAGCGACGGCTGCGCTGGAGTGCCGGAGGAAGGAGCGCTTGCAGCTGCGCGGCATATAGTTCCTGCTCGCGGACAATACCCCCGGCGGCGTGTTTTCGAACCCTCCCCGCCAACGACACCGCGCTGCACAGTGGGCCAGAAGACCGGCGGAGGTGGACAAAACTCTAGACGCGTTTTGAGCTCCAGAGTCGCTAGACAGGCCTCGAACCGAGCGTGTGACCCCACCAATGGATTCCTCGTTCGGAGAGCAATACATTGGTGGGGTCACACGTTCGGTTCGAGGCACATTTAGCGACTCTGGAGCTCAAAACGCGTGTAGAGTTTTGTCCTCCTCCACCGGTCTTCTGGCCCACTGTGCGCCGTGCGCCCCGTAAAGCAATATTTGCTAGTCGTGCCGCAGCCGCGGGCGGTCTGGTTCTCGGATAAGGCACCGACGATAGGCAGCGCGGCGCGGCCATAAGAGGCACACAGCAGGACAATTCCGAACGGCGTCGCTCTGTCTCTCTCGCGCTCACGCGGTGCCCCGTAGGGGTGCGAGAGAGACCGACCGCAGCACTCCTCGAAGTCACCGCCCTGCTGGACCTGCAGCTGGAGAAGCAGTCCGAGTGCCAGCACGGCGAGTGGCTGCCCGATGGCGATGTTGCGTGCGTGCCGGTGCTTGGCCGTGTTTTGGCGTGCTGGCCGCGCCGGCCGCCGTGCCGGTGTAAGCGGCGAAGTGTACCCCCCGGCCCAGGGAACCCTCGGGTACAACTCGCCTAGGACCAAGGTACCCGGGGGTACACAACGCCTAGGCTCAATGTACCCCGGGTACCTCAGGCCTGGGGGGTACACTGAGCCTAGGCGAGTTGTACCCCGGGTACAAAAAGCCTAGGCGAGTTGTACCCGGGGTACAAAAAGCCTAGGTGAATTGTATCCTCCCTCATCCGAGGGGAGGATACAACTAGCCTAGGCGAGTTGTACCCCGGGTACAAAAAGCCTAGGCGAGTTGTACCCGGGGTACAAAAAGCCTAGGTGAATTGTATCCTCTCTCGCCGAGGGAGGATGCAACAAGACGAGGGGATTTATATTCTTCCCCGGCAGGATTGTGATGCGTCAATGGTTGGTTTTTAATTGAACCGACGGAAGACTTCTAAAACTGAATTGTCCTACCAATCCTAACCAAACCTAACGGGCTCGTGACAGATCTTACTCTACTCGCGACAGATCTGATTCTCAAAAGAAATCGTACAACCTTTCCTAACCAAACCTAACGGGCTCCCCTTGGATGGAGGAGGATACAATTTGCCTAGGCTTTTTGTACCCCGGGGTACAATTCGCCTAGGCTAGTTGTATCCTCCCCTCGGATGAGGGAGGATACAATTCACCTAGGCTTTTTGTACCCCGGGTACAACTCGCCTAGGCTTTTTGTACCCGGGGTACAACTCGCCTAGGCTCAGTGTACCCCCCAGACCTGAGGTACCCGGGGTACATTGAGCCTAGGCGTTGTGTACCCCCGGGTACCTTGGTCCTAGGCGAGTTGTACCCGAGGGTTCCCTGGGCCGGGGGGTACACTTGTCCGCCGACACCGGCAGACGCCTTGGGTTGCGCATACCTTTCGCGGCTTCGCCGGCCGTCGACCAGAGCGGCCGGATTCCGAACGGGGTGTCCTGCCCGTCGGTCTGTCCTGCCTCTCTCGCACCCTTACGGGCCGCCCCGGGAGTGCGAGAGAGAGAGAGGCCTCCCGCACAGTGGGCCAGAAGACCGCTGGAGGCGGTCAAAACCCCGCGGACGCATTTTGAGCTCTAGAGCTAAATGGGACTCGAACCGAACGTGTGACCGCACCAATGGATTGCTCTTGGAACGAGGAATGCATTGGTGGAGTCACACGCTCGGTTTGAGTCCTGGTTAGCGACTCTGGAGCTCAAAACGCGTCTCGAGTGTTGGCCGCCGGCGCCGGTGTCCTGGCCCACTGTGTGTCGTTTGCTTGCTGCAGCGTCTTTAGGCTATTATTCCATCGTTATTCCGCGTGGATCGGGACGGCGGACTCGCCACCGGAAATGAGTCGGTGGTTCGCGTCGCCGGCCTCTGTTCTGCGTCAAACTGCACGCCGAGGCCTTGAGGCTGGCCGACTCCAACCAGCGCTTTCGTCGCTCTGTCTCCCTCGCACTCATGGGGCGGTGCGCACAGGTGCGAGAGAGACAGAGCGACGCCGCGCTGCTCGGCATCAGACAACTGGAGGTCAAGTTTGAGCCGCGGGGCTTGCAGCTTGTTACCGGCGGCTGCAGGCTGGTTCCGAGCACTGCTCTCGTCGCTGTCTCGCTCCCACCCACACGGGACGCCCCATGAGTGCGAGAGAGACAGAGCGGTGCTCGCTGAATCAGCCGACTGACGACTGCCGGCCTGCCCGCCACCTGTTGCGCAGAGTGAAGCGAAGCTCGCCCAGAAATGCAGACAATCTTCGAGACGCACCGGACAAATAGGCGGCCCTGTAGGTAATCTCGGCCCTGACAATGCCGAAAGGAGGGCGGGGGCACAGCCACCACACCGCAAGCGATCCGAGTGAACGACCGGCCCACAGTGGGCCAAAAGACCGCTGGAGGCGGCTAAAACCCTCGATGCGTTTTGAGCTGCAGAGTCGCTAAGTGGGACTCGAACTGAACGTGTGACCCGACCAATGGATTGCTCTCCGAAGGAGGAATCCATTGGTGGGGTCACACGCTCGGTGCGCGGCCCATTTAGCGCCTCTGGAGCTCAAAACGCGTCTAGAGTTTTGTACGCCTCCACCGGTCTTCTGGCCCACTGTGCGTCCCGCGGTTCGCGGCTCGGCGGCCATTGAGGCTTCGTCGTGGCGATCGGCACGTCGAGGCGTCGCCGCGCCGCCGCGCCCATTCGCAGTGTCGCGAGCCTTCGTTTGCAATGCAATGGTGATTCTATGCCGGGCTGGGCTGGTCGCTCTGTCTCTCTCGCACCTCTACGGGACGCCCCGCGAGTACGAGAGAGACAGAGCGATGAAAGCACTGGTCGGAATCAGCAGCTTGGGTGATGCCGCGCAGATGGCCGTCGCCCTGTCTCTCTCGCACTCACGGGGCGTCCGGTAGAGGTGCGACAGAGAGAGAGAGAGAGAGAGAGAGAGAGAGAGAGAGAGAGAGAGAGAGAGAGAGAGACCGGCAGTGCAGTGCCCGGCGAGGAGGAAACGCGGTCCGCGGAATGTGTCGTACTGTCCTGCCAGCGATAGGGCCGCGGCTCTGAATCCGAGAGCGAGACCACGGAGACCACGCCGGCAAGGCGCTGGGCGTTACAGTGGCGTCGCCGCGGCTAGGCGTCCCATTGGCCGCTAATGGGAGACTTGTCGGGGCCTTGCAGTGCAGCGTGCTGACGGCGTGCCTCTTTTTGCCCGCAGGCGAGTCCTCCGGGTCGGCGTCCGAGTCGGGCCGGCCGCGCGCGTCCACGCTGCGGCGCAGCGCCAGTGAGCGGCTGGCCGTGCCGCCGCGGCGGTCCTCGGCCAGGGACGGCGTCGGCGGCCCCCGGCCCGTGCACCAGCCCGGCGACATGTTCAACGACACGATGCGGCTGCGGCTGCGCGCCGCGCGCCCGTCCAGCCGGGCCGTGTTCAGCGACGACAGCAGCGGCGCGGAGGACGCGGCCAGCCCGCGCAGGCTGAGCGTCGGCAGCCAGCGGCCGCGGGAGCCGCCACCGCCGCCGCCGCCCAGCGAGGCCACGCCCGTGTCCAGGACCGCCATGGCGCCGCGCCGCGTCCTGGTGACCACGCCGACCACGCCGACGTCGCCGACGTCCTGCCCGCTGGGCGAGCGGCCCACCCCCATCGGCCGCACCAACAGCAACGCCAAGGCCTTCGAGGAGCGCGTGCGCGGCACGACCTCAGTGCACCGCCTGGAGATCAAGAACGTGCTGTTCGACGAGCCGCCCAGTCTGGACATCGACGCGCTGGCGCAGCGCACCACGTCCATCTTCATCGACGGCGGCAGCCCGGCCAGTGTGGCGGCCAGTGTGGCGGAGCCGCAGCCGGTGGCCGAGCCGCAGTGCACGCCCGCGGGCAACAAGGTGACCATCAGCGTGGGCGGCACGGGCGGCAGCGCGGCCGGCGACATCGACTACCAGGACGTGGCGGCCCTGGCGCGCTCCGCTGTGCTGCGGCCCGTGGTGCGGCCCGTCGTCATCCCCGTGGCGCACCAGAACCACTGCAGCCGCGTCGAGATCGGCGACCACAGCGACGAGAAGCGCACCAGCACCAAGATGACGGTGCGCATCGGCGGCTCTGGCGCGGACGGCGACGAGGGTAGCCCCGTGCCGGCGGCGGCCGCCACGCCGCGCGGCCGGGCCACGCCGTCGACGCCGACGTCGGAGCCGGCGGACAACGTGGTGACGCTGCGGCGGAAGCGGTCCGAGCCCGCCGAGACCATCAACCTGCTGATCGCGGAGAGCGTGGACCCGGTGGACGCGGTGCGGCGGAACCTGGTGCCGCACGTCTGCGGCGGCACGCCGACCACGCCGACCACGCCGGTGTCCGAGGCCCCCGCCGCCACGCCTACGCCGCCCTGCTCGGGAGGCAGCAGCCGCAGCAACAGCTTCGACGAGTCGGACCCGGAGCAGCAGCGGCCGGAGCGCGCCAAGGCCGTCGGCGTGGTGGCCTCCAGGGGCAAGTCCGGCGCCGACATCATGCGCGAGGTGCTGAGCCTGGGCGCCGGCCGGCCGGACGCCGCCGTCGACAACGCCAAAGAGTGCCAGGAGAAGGAGGAGGGCCGCTCCAAGTTCTACGTGTGGGTGGACACGGAGGGCCGCGACCACGCCGAGGACGGCCTGGCGGACGGCCTGGCGGACCACTGCAAGGACGACTTCAACCACTACGAGATGATCCGGGACCCCATCTACGAGGAGATCCACGTCCACGACGACCAGGATGACGACGTGCCGCCGCCGCTGCCGCTGTCGCCGCCGCCGCTCGAAGACAAGATGGCCTGCTGCAGGTACGAATGCAGTTGCACCAAGGATTTGTTTTTCCCCCGCGACTTTAACGCCACTTTGAGATTAGCCTGGAGGCCAATCGCGTCTGGGTGCCTGCACTGCAGACTCGCAGAGGCCGGTGCGTCTCGGTGCAGTGGTCGCACTCGTGGCTAATGGCCAAGCGGCCAAGCCAGCAGACTGATTCCGAGAGTCGTTTTCGTCGCTCTGTCTCTCTCGCACCTACACGGGACGACTTGCGAGTGCGAGAGAGACGGAGCGACGAAAGCGACTCTCGGAATCAGTCTGCAGGCGGCGTGCAGTAGTGGCTGTCCCCCGTGTCCCACTTGGCGCCGCTCCAAAGGGCTCACGGCGTTCGAAGGGCTTGCAGTGTAGGGCCGGGGGGCCCAAGGGCGCAGGCCAGGGTGTCTCTGCTGTGCCATTTGTGTGCCACTGCGATTCTGAGACCAGGAGCCCAGACGCGGGCTAGTCACAGTGGGCCAGAAAGCCGGTGGAGGCGGACAAAACTCAAGCCGCGTATTAATCGCTAAACAGGTCTCGAGCCGAACGTGTGACCCCACCAATGGATTCCTCGTTCGGAGAGCAATCCATTGGTGGGGGTCACACGTTCGGTTCAAGTCCGATTTAGCGACTCTGGAGCTCAAAACGCGTCCAGAGTTTTGGCCGCCTGCACCGGTCTTCTGGCCCACTGTGCGTGTGGCCTCTGTCGGAGACCTCAACGCAGGAGACACATGACAGCGTTAGGTCACTTGATTTTGAGATGACTGCCGTTCACGGTTTCGGGCATTGTCTTTGCTAACGCACTCCGTCTCCTCGATCGCCAGGTCCATCTTCGAGGGCGCCTCCAAGGACGACATCCTGAGCTACCTGGTGGACGCGCGCGAGCGCGGCATCGTGCCGGCCTCCTCGGAGGAGATGTACTTCGGCGGCAGCGGCAGCTCGACGGGGCTGTGCGACGAGGCGGAGGAGATGGACTCGGAGGACTCGCAGCCGCAGCACTCGCGGCAGACCTCGCTGGACCTGACGGAGCTCAGCTCGCGCGTGTCACAGCTCAGCAACACGAGCGACTCCAGCGAGGACTCCGTCACCCTCATCGCCAGCGACGCGCACGACGACAGCAAGGTGGGTGTCCGAGACCTCGTCCGAGACAGGAGAAGCAGATTGCACCGTGGGCCAGAAGACCGATGAAGAGGTGGCCAAAATCCCGGACGCGTTTTGAGCTCCAGAGTCGCTAAGTGGGACTCGAACCTAAGGTGTGACCCGACCAATGCATTGCTCTCCGAATGAGGAATCGCTATGCGGGCCGGGGCCGCACAGTGGGCTAGAAGACCTCTGGCCAAAACTCTAGACGCGTTTTGAGCTCCAGAGTAGCTAAGCAGGACTCGAACCGAACGTGCGACCCTACCAATGGATTGCTCTCCGAACGAGAATCCATTGGTGGGGTCTCACGATCGGTTCGAGTCCTTTAGCGACTCTCGAGCTCAAACAGTGGCGTATCAGGCACCGGGTCGGAGGGTCAGCTGACCCCCCAGTTTTTGAGCTGCCCCGGGTCACTCCCCTGTGAGGTAGGCAACTTGCAATACATTGACCCCCCAACTTTTTTGACGTTCCTACGCGCCTGAGCTCAGAACGCGCCTGCAGTTTTTTTATTCCGTCTCTCTCGCGCTCACGGGGCGTCCTGTATAAGTGCGAGAGAGACAGAGCGACGAAACCGACTCTCTGACTCAGCCTGCTGCGCGCGGAAAGGGTCGACGGCGACCTCTGGGCAACCTGTCAAGGAGGGCCGCGGCCGCGGCGCGCGCTTCTTGCGTTCCTTCTTCTGCGGACTGATTCCGAGAGTCGTCTTCGTCGCTCCCTTCTCTCTCTCGCATCCGTTCGGAACACTCCTTGAGTGCGAGAGAGACAGAGCGACGAGACGGCCCGTAACTGCAGCTTCTGCTGCGCGTTTTTGTGCCCCGCCGAGGCGTGGCGGCGTGGCGGTCAGTAGTCCGCCTCGAGGGCGTCCGCGGCACGGCGCTGCCAGCATCCGGTCCCTTTTCCTCCGGCCTCGCGTCCACCGCGTCCTTCCCTTCCGGACGTCGCACAGTGGGCCAGAAGACCGGCGGAGGCGGCCAAAACTCTGGACGCGTTTTGAGCTCCAGAGTCGCTCTGCAGGACTCGAACCGAACGTGTGACCCCACCAATGGATTCGTCGTTCGGAGACCAATCCATTGGTGGGGTCACACGTTCGGTTCGAGTCCCATTTTAGCGACTCTGGAGCGTCCGGGATTTTGACCGCCTCCACCGGTCTTCTGGCCCACTGTGAGTCCTCCGCGTCCTTCCCATCCGGACGTCGCTTCTTCTCTTCCTGCCTCTCGTTACCGCCACGCGGGACGCGCTCCCTAATGCGGCGTGATTGGTTAAGTGTGAAAACGTTTCACCTTTTTTTTATCTAGTGTCCTTGGTTTTTACCGGGACTGTACTTAGGCCCGCCGCGCCGCGCTTCTAATCCGGCGAGTCATTTATTTGGACTCTTGGCGCGCTTTTTACTCCCGCGCAGAGAAAGTGGATCCGCCGCGCCGCAGCCAACAGTGCCGCGGTCTCTTTCGCTCTAGTGCAGCGTCCCGCAGTGGTGCGAGAGAGACAGAGCGACGGAATCGCAATCGCTCGACGGCGACGTGATGATCGCCGGTCGAATCGATCGACGGCCGTGCGCGTGGGTTCGAATACCCGTTCCTCCCCGCCTTTTTTGTGTCGCTTCGCGGACGTTTGCGGCAGTGCAGCGATGTAGGGTGCCGCGTCGCCGCGGCGCTGCGAGGCCGCATGCGTTACTTTTTATCGGGTAACGGGAACGCTTGTGCGCCGAGGCGGTTACGACCAGTAACCGTGCGCGACGGCGGCGCCGTGCCGTGCCGTGCCGTGCCATGCCGTGCCGTGCCGCGCCGTGCCGTGCCGTGCCGTGCCGTGCCGCGCCGTGCCGCGCCGTGCCGCACCATGCCGTGCCGTGCCGCGCCGCGATGCGTCCTGGCGTTATGAGGTGACCCCAGTTGAGAGCGGGAAGGCGGGCAGCGGGTATTACCCTGTTTCCGCTTTAGACTGCGGAACGGCGCGGACACTGGTCACAGTGTAGGTCACGGTCGCCGTGGTTACGGCCGTGGGGGCGACCGGCTCAGCGAAGTTGACAATTGCTCGTGCAAACCGTAAAGGTGACCACCGCACAGTGGGCCAGAAGACCGGTGGAGACGGGCAAAACCCCGGACGCGTTTTGAGCTCCAGAGTCGCTAAACGGGGCTCGAACGGAACGTGTGACCCCACCAATGGATTGCCCGTTCGAAGAGCAATGCATTGGTGGGGTCACACGTTCGGTTCGAGTCCTGCTAAGCGACTCTAGAACTCAAAATGCGTCTAGAGTTTTGGGCGCCGATGAAGATCTTCTGGCTCACTGAGCAGTGGAGGCTTTCATATTGCACAGGAGCCCGCCATGGAGTTGTCCATAGAGGCTGCTTTGGGGATGTTCGTGGAGGCCACTGAGGGGATAGTGTCCGTCCATGGCGATGTGGCCATGGCTTTTATGAAGGCCATGGCAACCATGAAGGCCATTAGGAAGGCCATAAAGGAGGCCGTGGAGAAGGCCATGGAGGAGACCGTGGAAAAGGCCAAGGAGAATACTTTGAAGAAGATAAGGCCCCTCTGCCCACTTTAGAACGCACTCAATACACTCTCTGCATGTGATGTGCGAGTGTGTGATGTGACGCCTCAGTCGGCGCTTGGTTATAGAACACCTAGGAATGACAGTGTGTGCACGCCGTTTCTGACGCCGTTGTCCTCCTTGCAGGTGCGGCGCGCCGCGGCGGACATCGAGCGTAACGACTCTGGCGTGGGCTCGGAGACGTCGCGGACCTCGAGGGCGCGGTGGCAGCAGCTGCCCGCGGACCAGCGCGACCAGCGGCACGGCTGCGAGGACTGCGAGATGCCCGTGGAGACGCAGGTCACCGACAGGTACGTCCACTGTCAAACCATGTTGATGCACGTGTGGGCAAGGAGACCGGCGCCGGCCGGCGGTCAAGACTCCAGCAGCGTTTTGAGCGGCAGAGTCGCTAAATGGGACTCGAACCGAACGTGTGACCCCACCTTCTTCGAATGAGGAATCCATCGGTGGGGTCACACGCTCGGTTCGAGCCCCCCATTTAGCGACTCTGGAGCTCAAAACGCGTTTAGAGTTGGCCGCCGGTGCCGGTCTTCTGGCCCACTGTGGTAACTAACCTAGTGGCGAGCCGACCTGAGAGGGAGTGGGAGCACAGTGTAGCGCTAGTTGCCTACTTACCGGGCAAAGTGTTGCTTTTTGTCGACCTTTCGGGCGGATATCCAGGTGTCATGTGGGGGGAGGGGGGGGGGAAGAAATTGCCCTTTTACCCTCTTGATCCGCGCTCGCTACGTCCGCTGTAGAACCTTGTTAATGCATCCACGTCTGCTACTTGCCGTTACTTCCTTTTTTCATTGCAAGTCGTCGGATTTACGAGTGTGGGCTAACTGCTACCTCTCGCATTGCTCTCGCACGCCGCGTCCTTTTGTAGGGTGCGAAATTTCTCTTCCCTCGTGCGTGGCCTTTCGGCCGCCTTCCCGGCCTGCAGGCTGGTTCGCGAGAGTCGTCGCTCTGTCTCTCTCGCACCTATGCGGGGCGCCGCATGACTGCGAGAGAGACAGAGCGACGAAGACGACGCTCGGGCGGCCTGCTCTAGCGCCTCTAGGGCTGCCGGACCGGGGCGAATAAACGCAGATAAGCTGCGAGCCGCGCTGGCGAGCCAGGCCGGTTCCGAACAGCGTCTCGTCGCTCTGTCTCTCTCGCACTCCCACGGGCCGCCCGGCCGCCCCGTGAGTGCGAGAGAGACAGACGGAGCGGAACGCGCTGCGCGGCCTGCGGGACGGCAGCGGCGTTCAGTGCCGGTCTAACCTTCACCTCGCGATGCTTCGCGCTTCGCGACGGGCAGAGGCGAGACTGGCCGCGACCAGACGCCGCGCTTAATTGCTTTATTTGCAGACATAGTAAAGAGGAGGCCGAGCCGCTCTCTCTCTCCCTCTCTCTCTCTCTCTCTCTCTCTCTCTCCCTCCCCCCCCTCTTTCTCTCTCTCTCTCCTCTCTCTCTCTCTCTCTCTCTCTCTCTCTCTCTCTCTCTCCCTCCCCCTCTTTCTCTCTCTCTCTCTCTCTCTCTCTCTCTCTCTCTCTCCCTCCCTCCCCCCCCCTCTCTCTCTCTCTCTGTCTCCCTCCCCCCTCCTCTCTCTCTCTCTCTCTTACTCTCTTACTCTCTCACTCACTCTGTCTCTCTACCTCCTACTCTCTAACCCTCCGTCCCACAGTGCACTGTGGGCGATACACGGTCCTCCTCGCCCACCCTCTGGCTTCAGACTGATTCCATGCAGGAGGTCCTTCTCTCCACGGAAAAAAATACTTAGTCAGTCCGACCAAATTTTAGTTACCAATGCTTCGGTTGGTTTTGGCCCAACTAAGATGTTCCGTACCAGTAACGAAAATTTCGTCGGAAGAGCAGAAACGTTTGTTGCCACAACGAATCTATCGTTGCAGCAGCAAATTGATTCGTTGCAGTAGCCGACTCTTAATGCGGTCGTGCCAACCAATGAATTGCAACGAACTGCTGCAACGAACTTTCCGCTGTTCTAACAAATTTTTCGTTCTTCGAACGCAATTTTCGTTACTGGAACAAAAAAATCTTAGTTGGGCCAGAACCAACCGAAACATTGGTTGGACCAACTAATTATTTTTTTGCGTGTCTCTCTCGCACTCAAACGGTTCTCGCCATGAGTGCGAGAGAGACAGACCGATGCGACCCCCCGCTGGGCTACGCTGGGCCGGAGCGCGACCTTTCGGACCTACACTGCCCGGGTGCAATAATGTCATAGATGCAGATCCCCCTTCCCCTTCCTTTCCCCTTCAGGGATTACGCTGCTTTGCGGTCGGACTGCCGCCGTTCTGCATGCCAGGCGACACAGCCTCTACGCCTGATTTCACTCGGGCTGCAGACTGATTCCGAGAGTCGTTTTCGTCGCTCTGTCTCTCTCGCGCCTCTATGCGGGACGCCCCCGCCCCGTTGGTGCTAGCAGGCAGACGGAGCGACGACCGTCGGAATCAGTCTGCAGATACCCGACTTTGTTTTGGGACCGTGTGTGTGTGTGTGTGTGTGTGTGTGTGTGTGTGTGTGTGTGGAGTCAAGTGTGTTTGTGAGTTTGTTCCTCACTTTCTCCGAAAGCCCCGCATCGCGAGGCATGGAGAGGCACGCACACAAGGTGGGCCCGGGCCAAGTCGGGCCGCCGGGCCAAAGGTAATAAGGTACCGCGACGAGCGAAGGCCTCCCCCCCCCCTTTCTTTCCCTCCGCAACGCGCGCCACACACTCCTTGTCCAAATCAGTTCACGTTTTCGTCAAAGAAAAAGGTTGGCTAACGCGAAGAAAATAATGGCATTTGGTTTTGAAGTGTCTCATTCACAATCGTTTGTAGCGCAAAGGGGTGGTGGGAAAATTTAAGTGACAAAGGTACACCTCTGGAAATTCGAGCAAAGTCTGTGTTGGAAAAGGGTAAATTTTGGGGTGTGTTTTCCCGCTTTTTTGGCAGTGGAGTCACGTCTGCTCCTGTTCGTGAGCGCAGCGTGCGCCTTGTGTGTTTAGCGGTGACCGCAGCGGGAGATCGACTTGAGGTGTAGTGGAGGTGGCCCTGGCCCACCGCGGTCCGGCCACCCCGCCTCTGAATCCGAGAGTCGTTTTCGTCGCTCTGTCTCTCTCGCGCCCATGAGGAACGCCCCGTGAGTGCGAGAGAGACAGAGCGACGAAAGCGACGCTGAGTCTCCTGGACCGCGCATCGGGACCTTTATTACAGCCTCCTCGGTTCGGCCCGGTTTATAAGGCGAGGGTCTCGTTTCCCCGCCTTGTGCTGCAATTACAGCCAGTAAACGGAATGGAATGGATGGATCGGCCCACCTTCGCTACCGGCATGCGCGACCACTCGCTAAAAAAAAACAGCTATATATTTTAAGTTTTTAAATTTTTTAAAGTTTTTGAAAAAAAAAAGTTTGTTAAGACCGTAACGTTGAAACTTTCGCGTACATATGAAGTCCACATTCTCGGGGGGCTGTATCTCTTTTCTCTTCATAAATTTCTGTTTTTCAATCCAATTTTAAGAGACTCCTGCCTTTTCCGCCCTTTTTTGATGTTCTGTTTGTTGACGAATTGTTCCCTTTCTTGCAGTGGACTCATGTTCGCGCCGCTGGTGTGCCGCAAGTGCGCCAAGCGGCGGCTGGAGCGTCGCGAGATCATCCAGGAGATCGTGGAGACGGAGGAGAAGTTCTCCGGGGACCTGCGCATTCTGCTGGAGGAGTTCTACAAGCCCATGCTCGTGGCTGGTCTCCTCGCTCGGGAGCAGGTACGCCTTCCGTTCTTTTTTTTGTGTGTGTGTGTGTGTGTGTAGTTTTTCCTTCTTTTTGTTTAGAAATACAGGTAGTTTTCCCGCACTAAGTGCTGATTTTTTTTAAATTTTGGATTTTTAGAAAAAGAAACAGGTAGTTTTCCCTGCACTTCTCCAGTGCTAATTTACTTCTTTTAGAATTCTGATTTTTTAGAAATACTGGTAGTTTTTCCTGCACTGGTTGTTGATTTTTTTTATTTTAAATTTTTCTAGTAATATAGGTAGTTTTTCCCGCACTGCGCCTCTGACGTCATTCTAATGACATGCGCGCTGGACGGGTAGCTGGGCTTTGCGACGGCCGTCCCTGTCCCAGATCGGTCCCCGAACTGGACGACCGCCAGCGTCGCCAGAGGCCTCGGCAGCCGTCGGCCGCCGTCGGCAGCGGAGAGCGCTTACTGGACAAAAACGCCGCTTTTACGTCTCGATATCTCGTAAACGGGGGAACGTAACGAGCGTTATGCAAACGATGTCCAAATTATGAAATCGAGTTTGGAAATTGGTTTCCTGTACCAAAGGCTGCAGCACTCGCCGCTCTAGAGATACGCTCAACTAGAGTTGGATTCGGTTAGGAAAGGTGGCTCTTCGTGGACTTTCGCGCCTCACGTGCGTTTAGCTTCCCGGGGGCCGGCGGACTTTTGGCGTCACTAGCCTTGATTTCCGGACATGTTTTCGTCGCTGTCTCACTCGCACTTCTACGGGACGCCCTATGAGTGCGAGGGAGACAGAGCGACGGAAGCTCTCGTTCGGAATCAGCCTGCAGAGACGTCGCTGCCGATGACGATCGGGGTGATGAATTAGAAACTCTACACCTTTCCGTATTCATGTTGTGTTGGTAGTTTTATGTCATTTTGTGTTGTTATGTAATTTTCATGTTTTTGCCCGCAGCTGTCCGCCATCTTCCTGAACGCGGAGGAGCTGCAGGCGCACGCGACTGCCCTGGCGGAGCGGCTGCGCGACTCCCTGGAGATGGCCGTGGAGCAGGGCGACGACGACCTCCTGTCCGTGGACATCGGCCGCCTCTTCCTCGCCGCCACCCCCATGCTGCGCGCCTTCGAGCACTACTGCACCAGACAGGTACATCATTCCCCATCCTATCCGGAAAAATAATACAGAAAAAGTATACGGAACAAGTGTGGACCGTCCCACAGTGGGCCAGAAGACCGGTGGAGGCGGTCAAAATCACGGAAGCGTTTTGAGTTCCAGAGTCGTTAAATGGGACTCGAAACGAGCGTGTGACCCCATCAATAGATTGCTCTCCGGACGAGGAATCCATTGGTGGGGTCGCACGGTCGGTTCGAGCCCCATTTAGCGACTCTGGAGCTCAAAACGCATCCGGGATTTTGACCGCCTCCGCCCACTGTGCATCCTGTGCATGGTCGGTGTGGCGGCTGCAACAGGTGTTGTTGCCGCTGTTAGTTTTATTCGTTAACGGCCGCAGTATTCGCTGGGCGGCAGTGCGGCGGCAGAGCGGTTGGCCGTCGTTCTGTGTTTTGTCCGCTAATGCCGTGCAATTAGGCCCCCCGGCGTTGTTGAACAACGAAGCAAGCACACTGATTCCGAGAGTCGTTGTCGTCACTCTGTCTCTCTCGCACTCGTGGCATGTCCCGTACAGGTGCGAGAGAGACAGAGCGACGCAAACGACTCTCGGAATCAGTCTGCAGTGGCGGATCCAGCGGAAACGCAGCCGGACCTGGGGCCGCTTAGCCGGGCTCGGCCCAATCTAGATTAGATCTAGCGACTAGCCGCGCTTGAGTTGAGGCCCACTAGGCCCATAAGGCGCTGTCCGAGGCGGAAAACTCATCTCCGAGTCTCTCACGCAATCATGCCCCCCGCGCGGCACGTCGCATCGCGGACCATCGCATTCCCGACAGTGCTCTCTTCTGTCTCTCTCGCACTCGTGGGGGGCCGCCCGTCGGGGTGAGAGAGATAGAGAGAGAGAGAGAGAGAGAGAGAGAGAGAGAGAGAGAGAGAGAGAGAGAGAGAGCAACGGAGTGATGTTCGGAATCCGCCTGCAGGGTGGCCGACCCTGGGAACGCGAGCGCAGTGCCTGCCCGGCCAGCTGCAGCGGATTCCCGAAACGCAGAGAGAGAGAGAGAGAGAGAGAGAGAGAGAGAGAGAGAGAGAGAGAGAGAGAGAGAGAGACGATCCAGCTCCGATAATCTCGAAGGTGGCGAAGCCGTGTGCAAAGTTGCACTTCGCCTCTGGAAGGCATCCCCCTCCTCCTCCCCTGGAGTCCCTGGAGTCCCTGGAGCCCCTGGAGCTCCTGGACTCCCTGAAGCCCCTGGAGCTCCTGGAGCTCCTGGACTCCCTGGAGCCCCTGGAGTCCCTGGAGCCCCTGGACTCCTTGGAGCCCCTGGACTCCTTGGAGCCCCTGGACTCCTTGGAGCCCCTGGACTCCTTGGAGCCCCTGGACTCCTTGGAGCCCCTGGACTCCTTGGAGCCCCTGGACTCCCTGGAGTCCCTGGACTCCCTGGAGCCCCTGGACTCCCTGGACTTCCTGGAGCCCCTGGAGCCCCTGGACTCCCTGGCCTGGAGCCCCTGGCTCCCGCGGGTCCCTGGTGCCCACTCCAGCATCCCGCGTCGCTCCCGAGGGGCCCTCTCCCCTTCCCTTCGCCTGCCGACGCCTGCTAATGGCGTTGCCGTCCCGCTACTTCGCTTTTTGACTGCTTTTCGGGATATGGAGTCATCGACCGTCCGCGCGCGACGACTCTGAGCGATGTCCCGCGGTGTCGCGAGTCACGCGTCGTGGCGCGTCGCGGCCGCGGGCTGCGTCAGAAGCGTCGCTCTGTCTCTCTCGCACCCCTACGGGCCGCCCCATGAGTGCGAGAGAGACAGAGTGCCGCTGTCACGACAAGATGACATGTTTCGGCAACGGGATGCGATGCTGAGCACGTTTTGGGACGGAACACGCCTCGCAGCAAATGGATGTGGTGTTGACGCATTGTCCCTCACACTGTAAGATTCGTATTCACAAAGAAAGGATCACAAAGGATCATTGTAGCATAGGCGATAACATTAATCGCACCTGACGATGAATCGTGCAAAAGACGATGAAATCATACGTGACCTTATGTTGATAACTGTAGTGTTAAAATTTTAACGAGCCCTCTGATGAAGAACCGTGAAAATACGAATCTAATCGATCGAAGAAATTTAGCGTGCGAATGTCGAGGAATCTGGTACCGCTGGTGCCTTCATGCGTGTTATTCGCCTTCTACACGCGGTGGGGCGTTGGAGCTTGAAAGCGGGAAAGCGGTCTAGCGTCGCGTCCGCCTAACAGGGCTTCCAGCTCGCTGTGCTTTGGCTGCAGACTGAGAGTCGCACTGTCTCTCTCGCACCTATATGGGACGCCGCATGAGTGCGAGAGAGACAGAGCGACGAAATCGTCTCTCGGAATCAGTCTGCTGACGCCTCTCGGGTAGTTGACTCGGACGGAACGGGGATGGCGCGAAATGTGCCAAACGGACGAACGAACGCACGCCAGATCGTGTGTGTTTTCGAGTTTTCGCGTTTCGGTGCGTTAATGAGGACGAACGAGTTTTTGGCTCCTTTTTTCTCATTTCGCTCGTTTGTTTTCTTTCAAGTGAAGTTGATAATGCGTGTGCGGTGTGCGGAGGGTCGATCCTGCGGCGCGGGTCGCGTTCCCACGACGGGGCGGTCCTCGGGGCAAGGCCCCTGCGGACTCATTCCGAGAGTCGCTTTCGTCGCTCTGTCTCCCTCGCACTCATGGCGCGTCCCGTACTGGTGCGAGAGAGACAGAGCGACGAAAGCGACTCTCGCGGAATCAGTCCACTGGCAAGGCCCGCCGGTCCGGGACGTTTCCAGGCTCCAGGGACCCGCAACATTTGGGAAGCGACAAAAAAGAAAATAAAAAAAAAAAAACTTATACGTTTTAACGCCATGACGGGCAGGTCATGACCCCTGCCTCTGGATCCTCAATGGTGCGCCAGAAAATTGGCAGCCTGCCGTGCTGCTGCACAATCACACTGTAAATTTAATGCTGGCGAGAAACGCGACATGGCACTGCACTACAAGTCCTTCCTGAACATCTTGGGTCCGCGACTGAGGACACCACGTCACGCGCCATTTGCGGAGTGGTGCCTGATGCACTACTCTTTCAAGAACTTACTTCCAGCGCGACTTGTTAAATTTTGTTTGTCCAAGATCAAGATCCTCCGCGGGATATCGTCCCTTTAGTCCTCCGCGGCAGGAGACTGGCTCTGAGAGTCGTCCCTCTGTCTCTCTCGCACCTGCACGCGACGCCCGTTGAGTGCGAGAGAGACACAGAGCGACGGAAACGACTCTCGGAATCAGTTTGCAGGGTTTCCGTTCGATGGTCGGCGACCGCGCTTTTGACGTCCCCCGGTCGCGTCGCGTCGTCCAGACCACCGTAAAAGCGCGGGGCTGGGCTGCAGTGTCTGCAGTTGCCTGGCTGTGTGCCGTCCGCCCCGGTCTAGCGATACATCATGCACGCCGGCCGACTCCGCGCAGCGCTTCGTCGCTCTGTCTCTCTCGCACTCATGGGGCGACCCGTAAGAGTGCGAGAGAGACAGAGCGACAGAGGACAGCGCCACACCAGTCCCATTACGACCGTAAAAGTCGCTTCGGAGGGGAAGGGCCGTAGGGGGACGCAGGGACAGTCAAATACAAAGGCCTCGCGATGTGGACGGCAGGGAACTTTTAGCTTCAAGATAGTAAAAAGAAACAAAAAGGGAAGATGAAAAATGGGAAAAAATAAAAGAAGGCGGCGGAAATTGGAGGGCGTTGCCGCGCGACACTCCATCATGGTGTTGATGGGCGCGCTGTCCCTTCGCGTTTTCTGGTACGTCTCGCCGCCACTGCCGGACTGCCTGGTCCGCGTCGCCGTGGCGTCCCGATGACGAGATAGCGCGAGTCGCGGCGGAGCAGTTATCAGACCAATATCATTGGCTGGCCGCCTCCCCTCGCCGGCCACTGTCTCTCTCTGCCTCCCAATCTCTGCACTCCAAAAGTCTTACGGTGAAAATCGTGAAAATACCATCTTTCGATGAAAATCTTGCATCTTATGATGAAAGGGGAAAAATCTGTATCTACTGATGAAAATTCTGCATCTTGTGGTGAAAATTTTCCTTCTTTTGCTGAAAATTTTGCATCTTATGATAAAAATTCTGTATCTTATGTTGAAAATTCTGCATCTTGTGGTGAAAATTATCCTTCTTTTGCTGAAAATTCTGCATCTTGTGATAAAAATTCTGCATCTTGTGGTGAAAATTATCCTTCTTTTGCTGAAAATTCTGCATCTTGTGATGAAAATTCTCCACACTATGATGGAAATTCTCCGTGTGAAAATTCGACACACTACGATGGTGCAGCTGACTTTCCAACTTTCTTCAAGGAGCTCATATTATCTGAAAATTAATTGCACCTGAAGCATTTTCTTTGCATTTTGGAAAAATTTCCTCCGGATGATTGCAGCCTTTCAGCGTAAAGACATTGACAGTGTGTCTCCCCCTCACACGCGCATTGCACAAAGGGCGTGCGTTTACGGCGCGGCCACCTTCACAAAGACCGTGATCGAGCACTAGTAGTTCATGACGCTATGACTCGCGCCAAACGCCGTGGCAGGCTGCATGCAGCAGGCGGCCAGCTGCCCTCAGGCTTGCCCTCAGTGGTCCCAACTGTGACCCGAGGCGAAAGGCCAGCGACCCGCGAGGAGGAGGGGGAGGGGGAGGGGGCATCGCGGGGTCCACGGTGTCAGTGCCACGGGAGTCCAGCAGCAGCCTGCTGCACCGCGACAAAGGGATTTAGACAGACAGACAGACAGACAGACAGACAGACAGACAGACAGACAGACAGAGGGGGTCTTTCCCAGAATGGCGACCGCCAGTCTTTAACCCCGCCGGCCGCGCTGGGACGCTGGAGGCTCTGGAGGCGCTGGAGGCGTCCACCGGCCGAGCGCCCGGGGCCGTGGGCCTTGGACCCCTAGTCAAGTCGAGTCCAAGTTCGCGGTCGCGACGACAGGGCTGGCTCCAGCTAATGCGGCGTCGGCATGGATGACGTCAAATCTCGGCGGCCATTCACGTCGCCGGGTTCGACTTCGCGAGGCGTCGTCCCGGTCGTCCCCGAGGGGGCGTCGCCGTCGTCGTCGCCGTCGTCCGCGGCCCGCCGGGGTGTATAATCTCCGGCCGCGGTGCACGAGGAGGCAGCTGGAGGCAGCGGGGAAAAAAATAGCGCGCGCTTCTTTCGGACCGGGTGTTTGAACCCGCGACCGCTAATGTGAGCCGGGATCGTGGCGCTTTGCGCCGCGCCGCTCCATGATCCAATCATCCTCCTCTGTGCCGCGCCGTGCCGCGCCGTGCCGCGAAGCAGCGCTTCAAATCTAGCGCCGTAAGCTGCACACACGCACACACAAGCACGCGCACACACTCACACACACACACATACAACACACACACACACACACACACACACACACACACACAAGCACACAGACGCACTATTCAGCATAGTATATAAGTAATATAAATTCCTGTGCTGGCATGTACCCTTGCCTGCATGGCACGGACACCGCGGACCCGCGGGTCATTGCTGCAGTGTGCGTTTGTGTGTGTGTTAGTGTGTGCGTGTGTGTGTGTGTGTGTGTGTGTGTGTGTGTAATCCTGTGCCTCCGCATTATGCGTTAGCGCTTTAGCAAGGCGCTGCGCTGCCGGATCGGAATGCCTTGCAGGCCTTGCAGGCCTTGCAGGCTTCTTCCAGGGATGCGTTGGCCTAATAGACAGGGCGGCCGAATCGCGGGGATGGAACTGGATGCAGGCGTGCCGTGGGCCGCCGAGGGCCGAGGCACTGCAAGTCGGCTTTGGAATTCCATAAATACGTAATGTGAAACTCTGTGCTCTGCCTGTTTATCTCTCTCTCTCTCTCTCTCTCTCTCTCTCTCTCTCTCTCTCTCTCTCTCTCTCTCTCCCCGTCCTTTTTCGTGCCTGGAGAGGAAGTCGCGTCGGGAATGCGGGCGAATTCGATAACGACTGGCTTCCTCATTAGACGCATTCCGAATACGTGTGTCGCACGTGCCGTTTTGGATAGAGCGTGGCTGGAACGTGGCCGGCAGACGCGCACTTTAAAAGTCTCATGGTGAAGAGATTCTCCATATTTTGGTAACATTCTCCATTTGGTGAAGATTCTCCATATTTTGGTGAAATTCTCCATAATTTGGTGAAGATTCTCCATATTATGATGAGGATTCTTTATAATATGATGAAGATTCTTCATACTGTATTATGGTGAAAAGTCTTCATATTATGGTGAAGATTCTCCACATTATGGTGAATATTCTCCATGCTCTGATGTAAAGCCGGTGGCTAGTTTGCTTGCCACAAAATTGGCAAGTTGTTTTGGATACCAAAAATTGGCAAGGCTGCTTATCATGATGTCACTGCCCTCCGCAGTGCCCTGAAAGGGTTCTACCGTACCCGCGGGAACACATGAGCCACTGTTTATCTCAGGGAACAGAAAACGCTGCACCCTGGGAATGGTTTCCGACTTCCAGTGTTTTTTGATCTTTTGTTTTTCTTCTTTTTTAAAAGCTGATCTTCCTTGTTTGTGAGGTAAAATTGAAGCGCCTCATGCTGCACGGCGAGCCGCCCGAATGGCAGCCGGGCCAGGACATAAGTGGGGCTTCCTTCCCTTATCCGACTGGCTTTGGCTTCGCCTCGGTGCCAGAAATGGGAGGATTTCGTTGCCGTGTCTTTGGGCCTCGCAGGCCTCGCTCGCTTTCCAGTCATGTCTGCCTAGTGCTTGCGCTGCTTGCGGCGTAACGGTCGGGCCGTGTCTCGGTTTTAGAGCCAAAAGCATTCTTGGATAAACGTGTGTGCCTTTGCGGAGCATGCGGCTCGATCCACACCCAGGAAACGCTCTCCTAGCTTGAAATCGCGCAAAAGACGTCCGAATCAGACAAATAGGAGTTATTCTCATCATCATTGGCTCTAACAAAGTGCATTCTGTGGATGCAGTCTAAAGACTGTTGTTGGTTTTGGTAATAACTGTGACCCTTGTTTGCTGCAGGCCGCCGCCTCGCTGCTGTTGGCCAGCCTGGAGAAGGAGAAAGAGTTGCTGCGGATCTTCCTGAGAGTGTCGCAGATGGAGAACGCCGTGCTCCGTAGGATGAACCTCAACTCCTTCCTGATGGTAAGATTCCTATAGTCTTAGTTTCGATCTTGTGACTGAAAACCAATGGTCAGACTTCTCGCCACTCGAGAGAGTCTCGCCAACTTTGGATCACACCTGGAAAACAGGCCAAAATTTGGTCAGGTCGAAAATTCTTACCGCTAAAATGACCACAATTTGGTGAACCTAATTCTGCGTCCTGTCCTGGTCAGGCTGTTTTCGTTAGATCAAATTTTGACAAGACTTTCAGTCGTTTTTTTTTGTTCTCTTTATTTCTTGCCGTATTTTGGCGCATGGTCTTTTCATTCAATCCTCAGTGCTTTTCTCGTAACTTGTTTTGGTTTTAACATTTGGCGTCTTGCCCCGCAGGTGCCGGTGCAGCGAGTGACCAAGTACCCGCTGCTGCTCGCGCGACTGTACAAGGTGACGCCCTGCTCGCACCCCGCCAAGGAGCTGCTGCTGCAGGCCCAGCACCACATCGAGCTGCACCTGGAGCACATGAACTCGGTAAGACACATGGTGAAAATTCTCCATATTACGGTAAAGATGAACCATAATATGTTGAACATGTTCAATAATATGGTGAAGATTTTCCATAATATGGTGAAGATTTTCCATAATATGGTGAAGATTTTCCATAGTATGGTGAAGATTGTCTATAATATGATTAAGATTTCCCATAATATGGTGAAGATTGTCCATAATATGGTGAAGATTTACCATAATGGTGAAAGTCCTTCACATTATGTTAGCCCAGCTGACTTGGTAACTCACCATTGCAGGCTCATTGATACCTTATGAATATTTTGCCAAATTTCTTCTGTATTGTCTAAACAATCACACTACCTGCATTTTGCTGTTTTACTTCAACCGACGTTAACCCTTTGTCTATCTGCAGGTGGCCAAGGACATCAGTTCGACCAAGCTCTGGAGACGCATCACCATCACCAACGGACGGCGGGCGGGGGCTGAGTCCGACATGGTGAACATCAAGCTTCGCAAGGTACGTGTTTCGCTTTTCTTTGGTTGGAAAGGACAAAGTAGCATCATATCATGAAGGAAAACTGGCTCGAAATATTTGTGCACAAAATTCTTTGTGGAAATGGTGTTAGCTATCGTCGTCAGACTATTTTAGAGTGCAAGAGTGAGACTGAGACGTGCCGTGGTTGCAGATGGCGGTGGAGGTGCTGGAGTGGACGCAGGACGTGAGCTTCCCCATGGAGGGCCGACTGCTGTTCGCGCAGCCCGCCGACTCGAGCTGGCGCGCGGCCGCGCCGTCAAGATGAGCCCCGTGAGCGCGCTGCTGGTGACCCACGGCCACCCGGTGAGTACCGAGACACCGAGTGCAGTGGGCCAGAAGGCCGGCGCCGGCGGCCAAAACTCGAGACGCGTTTTGAGCTACAGAGCCACTAAACAGGACTCGAACCGATCGTGTGACCCCACCAATGGATTCCTCGTTCGGAGAGCAATCCATTGGTGGGGTCACACGTTCGGTTCGAGTCCCATTTAGCGACTCTGGAGCTCAAAACGCGTCGAGGGTTTTGGCTGCCTCCGCTGGTCTTCTGGCCCACTGTGCGCCTGACCGAGTACGCGGCGGCGCTACCCCACGCGGGGCGATACTCCTACTCCGCAGCGGTACCCCGCACTGCTAGTTGGAGCGGCCGTGGTCTAGCCTTTAATGGTAATGGTAACGGACGCCTGCCGGGCGGGCCGGCCCGCCACGAACGCCTGCGCTGCGGGCGTGCCTACCCCGCAGTTCGCAGGCGCTCTCCCACGCGGAACGCGCTTCAAATTCCCGTTCTGGCATAAAATCTCTTAGACCACTTACATCCGCGCTAATTTTCGATGCCCTTCGGAAATGCATTGACGTTATGCCTAGAATCTATGTTGCCCATCCCAATTTTGGATAATGGCATTGAAACGCTTTACGCCCCAAAAAAGGCAAAGTTTGATGCTTGGCAATGCACTGTTTTCTCATGCTGGATTCCTGTTGCAGTCGGCGGACTCCCCCATGGACGCGCCCCTCCACTTCCCCGCCCACTCGGGGGTGCGCGCGGCCACGCTGCTGCTGCTCAAGGAGAAGTGCGGCAGATACTCGCTGCTCAGGGTCAGTAGAGCTGGCGGATTTCGCGCCTTTTTCTCATTAAGTAGCTTGCTCATGCACTGTAAATGTCTTATGGTGTAATGCTGCAGCCACATATTTTGTTGCGGTTTTCTCCAATACGAAAGAAATTCGATAACATCTCCAAGGTGCAATGAAGGTTCAATGGCGAATTTCAAAGACGGTTGCGCCAGCATTTTATGATAGTTTTTTAATGATATGTTATGATAATACAAAAGAAATTCGATAAATTCTCCAAGGTGTAAAGAAGTCTCGAAAGAAGTCTCAATGGCAAATTTCGAAAGCGGTTGCACCGGCATTTTGTGGGAAATTTTCATCGAAATATGGAGACTCTTCACCATCATAAGACTTTAAGAGTGTACATTCATTGCTGTCGACGTGGTGCGTGTTGGGCCCTACCTGTTTGTACTCCGCGAGAAGTGTTTTGAAGACAGGTCCCGGACGCGACGACGTGGTGGCTGCCTCGCTGCACCGACTGGACATGCACTGGACGAACCCTGACGACGACCGCTGACTGACCCGACCTGACTACTTGCAGTGTGGCTAGTCCTCGAGTTTGGGGCGGGGTTGGTAACCCTGCGACCGCCTCCCGCCTAAACGGACTCCAGCGAAGCGCTCATTTGGAATTCCCTAGCTAATCACTACGTAGTTTTTAGTGCAAAGCTGTGCACGAAATTGGGCATACTCTTGTCCGAGTTCGGTCTTAGCTCAGCACGGCCATCTCAACCCTTTATTTGGCCTCGGCTGGTCCTGTGATTGGCTACCGCTGACAGCATTTGATTTCGGTTAATTCGTTTCTGTGCCCTGCCAACACCAGGCACGCTCCGTCCGCCCAAGGGCGGGTGAAGTAGAGCCTCTCTTTGACGAACGCTTGTCTGATTCGCAGGACCCCTTGTTCCTGGACAAGTGCATGGTGTGCTGCGAGGTGGAGTGGGACGACTACTTCGAAGTGCAAGAGCTTGCAACCAAAGATTCCTTCGTATTTAAGGTGAGTCCCGGGCGCCCTTTGCCTCGTAAGGGTCGCTGGTTGAAACTTGTGATGCATACGAAGTGGATTTTAACAAACTGGAAACAAAAAGAATCTAATGTCGAAAAATGTATCCGAATCGAATAAATGAGGTCCTATTCGATTCGAAATACGAATAAAATTTGATGTCTTGATGTAAGAAAAAGGGTTATATAAGCACTCTTTTGCTGTTTTGAGCCTAATTAATTCCATTTGGAATTTTTTCGTTTTGGTTCCCGAATTGGTTTTGAAGCGTCCGCACACCACTGTAAACCTGTCTGTTGTTCTGTGCAGGCGGAGGACGCCGAGCGGACGCGAACCTGGTACCGGCAGCTGCAGCTGCACGCGCAGGGGCTGGGCTCGTGGCGGAAGCGGCGGAACGCGCTGGCCAACATCATGATCAACGGCATGCAGCTGCGGAGCTAGGACTGCACTTACAGTGCCTCTGCGCCTACAGTGCCGGTGCACCTACAGTGCTGCTGCGCCTACAGTGCCGCTGCACCTACAGTGCCTCTGCACCTACAGTGCCGCTGCACCTACAGTGCCGCTGCACCTACAGTGCCGCTGCACCTACAGTGCCGCTTCACCTACAGTGCCGCTGCTGCTGCGCCTACAGTGCCGCTGCACCTACAGTGGCGCTGCACCTACAGTGCCGCTGCACCTATAGTGCCGCTTCACCTACAGTGCCGCTGCTGCTGCGCCTACAGTGCCGCTGCACCTACAGTGCCGCTGCTCCTACAGTGCCGCTGCACAGTGCCGCTGCAGCGCGGCGGTTCAAGCCAGACAACTAGTCCAGGGTGCCAACTAGAGGCGCCTGCGCCCGGTGACGAGAGGGTGGCGTAGCTTTAAGACGACGGCGTCGGCCCGGCGCCGCCCCAGGCAATGCCTCAGGCAATCGGAACTGAATCGGCGCCCGGCCGACGCCGTTCCGTAACTGACACTGTATGTAAAACGAAAGATTGTACCAGGTTTTTGAGCGTCTAACACTCCGATATATGTTCCACGTTTCGAGGTTCGCGGCGGTGAAGTGGCCAAACGAGTCTTCCCGGCCCCTTTGGCACCCTCTTGGGTTGCCCTACTAACCCACAGTAATCATGCACTTTACTCAGGACTGTTTCCCAGAGCGAAATTTACTCTTCTTCGCCATCCGGCACGAGTTTGGCTCCGCCAGATTGGAAGAATGGGTGTGCACTTTGCAACAACTTTTTTCTCGGTTCCACTGTTATCACTTATCTTATTTTTGACATAGTGTCACGGATGAAATCTGATGCATCCTTCATATCCAAGAAGTGAATCTCAGAATAGTTTCTCTTCAGAGAAACAATTCTGGTGCTTAGATTCTCTATAATTCTAACCTTCTAGGTTACTGATAAGACACTAACTGGCTCCTACTGATCCATATTGCCGAACCTAAAGTGTTTTTTTTTCTGAGAAAGAATGTTTTTGTGCCTAGTCGAAAATGTCAAATGTCCTCTTAGGCGACATAACAGGCAATTACCAGATTACTATTTCACCATCATAGAAGTGTTTTGTAGTAGTTGTATCAAATTTATGTAAATTTGCACATTTTGTACATATAGGGAAAAAGTTGAATGTATTAACTCCTGTTGCTGTGATATTAAGCACCGGTTAATTCGTTGCTTGAACATTATGATGAAAGAGAGAGAGAGGTAATAATTTATATTTCTTATAGTTGTGAGATGGAATGACTGCCCATACGGCAAAATTTATTTACACGTTCTGTGGCGAGTATGGAATATGTACATATATATGTAGCCGCATTTTAGAGGTGACATTGTTCTGTCCTCAAAAATTGACCTCCGCGCTATTTTTCAGAAATAAAACCATTTTGAAAAATACAGAATTTTATTGAAAGTAGCATGTTCTATGCTCTGAAACACACATGTGGTAGGGAATTCGATAACGCACCCTTAACTTTAGACCTTCCACCTGTATGAGTGTGAAAATGGACTCTAAGATCATCGACAAGATGAAAGTTATCATGCAAACTGTGCACTTGAAAGGTTTCTCACATAGCTTCATCAATGCAGTCTCTCAAGTGATACAGTAGATTCTGGTGACTTTATGAGGGGTCAAGGTTTAAGGTTCAACTTAAAATGCAACAGCAACAAAAAAAATTCTTACATTTGTTTTTCTTTTACGTTTTATTTCATTTTTCTTTTTCACTTGTTACAGTATTTAACTCACTTTTTCAGTATAAACCCCCAGGTTTATACAAAGAACAATACTGCTTCTCATACATTTTCTGACTAGGTGGTATTCAGTTTCTTGCGAGGGCAGATAAGAACACCCTTTCAACATTTTCTTTATCACATAAACGTTCATTTGCAACTGTCGTTCAGCTGAACGCGCTTAAGCCTAAAGATCTCATCCTCATCGTTCCAATTTACTTAAATGAGTTGCATTAACAATAATAAAATCAAATGAGGTTTTTTTTTTACAACGACAAAATTAAATGAGCTGTTTCTACAACGATGAAATTAAATGAGTTGTTTTGACAATGATGAAGGGCAAGATGACGGGTGAGATGGTGATGACGATGGGTGATGCAATGCGACTGGCGAGGCGCTTGGACGCAGGAGCCCTCTCACGGGGATGCCCCGCAGTACTGCAACAGAGGGCAGGGCGTTCAGGAAACGCACACCTGGAGTCAGCTCCTTACAAATAACAACTACAAAACCATTTGGCTCAGAGGGAATGACAACGTTTTCCACCGTACACTTCTCAAACTCAGAAGATTCACTCCAAGTTTGGGCGCAAGTTCTTTAGTTGACTCGGTGGCTAAGGAGGCTGAGGAAGCTGTCATTGCGCCAGACGACTTGGGTTCGACTCCCAGGTGAAGCATTGATTTTGCTCGTATAACAACATTTTCCTCAGCCAGTCTGTTGATACATCTTAAACGCGGTAAGATTTATCGCACGACTTCTCAGTGGCTGGGTGGCTGAGATGGTAGAGATGTCGGCCGGCGGGAGGAAGTCCTTGGTTCGACACCCAGGTGATGGAATCTTTTCCTCAGTTTACTTCTCAAACCCGGTACCATCACTCTAAGATTGATCGCGATGTTGCTTAGCGGCTGGTTAGCTAAGGTGGTAGAGATGTCGGCTGGCATGTGGGAGGTCTGGGTTCGTCTCCCAGGTGTCTGAATCTTTTCTTCAGTTTACTTCTCAAACCCGGTACCATCACTCTAAGATTGATCGCGACGCTGTGTAGTGGCTGGGTGGCTGAGATGATAGGAGATGTCGGCTGGCAAGCGGGAGATCTGGGTTCGACTCCCAGGTGTCTGAATCTTTTCCTCAGTTTACTTCTCAAACCCGGTACCATCACTCTAAGATAGGACGTGTTCAAAAGGTGTGTTGTCGTAGCTCAGGTGGCAGAGCGATGGGCCGTGGAGGCTGGTTGGAGGCCATGCGACAGCATACGATTCCCGTTGCACCTGGTTCGCCACCAGCCAGGTCAGGTTACCAACCCTTTATGATTGCCCCTACTCCACTCTCCCTTCGGGAGGTGGGGTAGGGGGGGTGGGGGCCGACGGCGGGAACTCTTTTGCATCTTATAGGGGAGAGCTAACTGACGCGCCACCAAGGTAGGCCGCTCATTGGTCACGCACTTCTAGCGGGTAGAGAGAGGGTGCGGGGAAGACGTGTGTTTGCTTCGCGTCTATTTGGCCAGGGTTGTCTGGTCCCTCTCACAATGCCGCGCCGTCAAGGTAGGCCACCCATTTGACACGCTGCCGCAAAAGCAGTACTGCGGCGGAAAATATAAACCATACCTAGCCGGGATTTGAACCCATGTACTCCCAACCTCAGCCCACTGAGCCACCACAGCACCGACAGAAGGCGGTCTGACTAAACTTAGAGTGATGGTACCGCATTTAAGCAGTCAACTGAGGAAAATGTTCCTGAATGTGGGATTCGAACCCAAGTTCTCTCTCAGCGACCACCTCCTCTGCGCTCTCGGCCACCGAGACATTGATAATGCGACCGCCGATGTTGATTGTTGTGGTGCGGGATTCAAAGTTCAACTGAGGAAAACATTTCCACGCCTGGTATTTGAACCAGTTTCCTCTCTCGGGGCGGCCTCTGCCTTTGCGCCCTGAGCCACCAAAGGACACCGTTCGTTCTTGCCCAAACTCAGACTCACCTGATTCTTCGGGTTCGAGAAGTGAACTGAGAGTTTGGGAACCAAACTCAGGAAAAGATTCACGGGATTCGAACCCGAGCCTTTCTCATGACAGCCGACTTCTTAGTCCACCCGCTACCAACTCGCTTAGCTCGCCTTGCCACGGAACTTGTACTGATGATACCAGATACGAGTGGTAAACTTATGAAAAGATACAAGTGTCTGGGATTCGAACCCAGATCCTGCTCATAGCGGACGACACTCTTTTATTTCTTTTTGGTTTGTATCATGCACTCTTCCTTAAGGAAAATATACAAGAGCCTGGGATTCGATCCCAGGTCCTTCCTAGAAGTGAGCGATACTCTTGCCAACTCTGCCACCGATAGGTGATGTTCCGATCGACTGTGCGACCACCTTCATAGACGGCATTTCATAGCAATGATCTAGAACCTAATGTTGCACTGCGCCGGAGACCACCGCCTTTGGCACGTCACAGGGGAGACGTGCAAAACAAGAACTGGGGTGGGAATCGAACCCCAGACTTTCGACGTCGTGACTACTTCCTCGGCCTCCTGAGCCACCGAGGCGAGTGAGAACATCACGCCCAAACTCAGAGTGAATGTACTGGGTTTGACGAGCTGCGGCAAATACGTACGTGTGGATCATGTATCATGCAATGGGAGTTGTGCCCAAGACTCTTCCTGAGAGGCCACTACCTTTGGACTCTGAACTAGAGACACTTGTAGGTTTGAGAGAAACTGGAATTTTGTTTTTATACTAAACACCCCATATCCTATAAATTGTGTCGAAAGCCAAAACATTGAATCAAATTGCCCATCTAAAATTCACTTTAAACACATCTCCTAACAGGCTCGACCCGTAAGGCATCGCCTTGACCTAGGTTAGGAAGGGTTTCGTTGGCGATGCAAAGACGGTCATGAAAAGTCAAAAGCAACTAATTTTTTAAACCAAAATTTTTTTTCTGCCCAAACGCCTCGAGGCTGCGCTGCGCGCGTTCTAGACTTCTCCTTCCACGCGCGTGGTGGTTGGGCTGCCTACCCCTCCGGCTGTACTAGTGTACCTACCTCGATGATCTGGTCGCTGACACACTCGAACAGGTCGTAGGCGAGGTAGCACTTCTGGCCTGGTTCTGCGGGCAGGAGAGAGAAAAAGGAAGCAGATCAGCAATAGTAAGCGATCAGCGGACTGATTCCGAGATTCGTTTCCGTCGCTCTGTCTCGCTCGCACCTATACGGGAAGCCCCATGAGTGCGATAGAGACGAAAACGAATCCAGGAACCAGTCTGCAGAAGGGGCCGGATCACGAGTCCGCGACAGAGCGTATGTATCGGTACGAATATGAATGAGTGCGGGTGTGAGAGGGAGTGAGTGAGTGAGTGAGTGAGTGAGTGAGTGAGTGAGTGAGTGAGTGAGTGAGTGAGTGAGTGAGTGAGTAGTGATGAGAGTGAGGAGTGAGGGGGAGGGAGGGGAGGAGAGGGGGAGGAGAAGTGAGAGAGAGAGAGAGAGTGGTGAGGAGTGAGGTGGAGAGAAGAGAGAGAGAGAGAGAGAGAGAGTAGGTGAGAGAGAGAGAGAGAGAGAGAGAGAGAGAGAGAGAGAGAGAGAGAGAGAGAGAGAGAGAGAGGACGGTCTCTCTATCCCTTGCGCAACACTTTGACAGTGCCGTTGCTCGCCGCGTGGGGAATCATTGGGCAAGCTCGCTTCGTTTTAGTTTCTAAAATTCTTTTCTTTCTTTATTTTTTTATCGCGGTCAGAGGTCTACGACACGCAGCTCCGCTGCACCGCCTTGATCGCTCCCTCCTTTCAGACAGTGCGGTTGTAAAAACAAGGCGTGCACAGTGGCACTCGAACCCGCGGGGTGAGCGGTTGCGTCTCAAGTCCTGGGTTCTTATACCAAACGAAAACAAACTGGCAATTATTTTTTTCCACTGCCCCCGTTTGCGATTTGCACAGTAAATGTCTTACTCTACAAATCAAAGAGTGTACAGGGTATGCTCTAACTGGAGCATGCCTGCAAGCACGCTCTAGCTAACGCATGCCTGCCAAGCATGCACTAACTAGTGCATACATGCCATGAAACGCTAAGAAGCATACATTTGCCAAGGGTAGGGAGTTTTCTGCATCAGGAAGCGTGTACATGGCATGTATGCACTAGTTAGTGCATGCTTGGCAGGCATGCGCTAGCTAGAGCGTGCTTGCAGGCATGCTCCAGTTAGAGCATACTATGTACACTCTTCGATTTGTAGAGTACGGTGAAAGGCGGCACCAACATAATATGGTGGCGATTTTCTCCATAATACCAACGAAAGTCGTCAAAATCTGTTTAAGGTACAGTGGATTCTCAATGGTATGTTACGAAGTCAGCTGCACCACCATAATATGGCACATTTTCACCATAATATGGATAATCTTCACTGTACAACATTTAGAGTGTGGTGACCCGGACTGGCCACGTATTCGCCCTGCAGAGCAACAGCAAGCAACAGTGGCAGCACTGGCGGCGACTGTTGGAACGACATGCAGCTCCTTGGTGTGCTTTACCACTCGTCTCCGGCTAAGTCTCAGCTTGAGAGGTCTCAAGGTCTCAGGTGTGGCGAGGTGGAAGTACGCTGCAGTTTGACCAGTGATCTGGACGGACGAGTGAAATGGTCTATTGTCAGCACGATTATCCGTTCAAGCCGGGATAAGCCCGCGACCGAGTGGCCATCGACCACTCGGCCCACTGGTCGAAGGAGACCGACTCGGCTCCGTGGCCAGTAGGGCGTCCACTGGTCCCTATTGGCAGAATGGAATGGAATGGAACCCGTTTGGCTGGTCGCACGCGTCGCGACGTCGCGTTCGCGTGCTCTGCCGCGCACTGCGAACCGCGTCGCACGTCCACGCCCTGCAGACTGATTCCGAGCGTCGTCGCTCTGTCTCTCTCGCACTCACACGGGACGCCTCATGAGTGCGAGAGAGACAGAGCGACGAAAACGACTCTCGGAATCAGTCTGCAGGGGTGGATCCAGAGGAAGGCTCTTGGGTGATGCAGTCCGGGCCCGACGCACAGTGGGCCTGAAGACCGGTGGATGCGTCCAAAACTCCAGACGCGTTTTGAGCTCCAGAGTCACTTAGCATGACTGAAATCGGACGCGTAACCCCACCAATGGATTCCTCGTTCGGAGAGCAATCCATTGGTGGGGTCACACGTTCGGTTCGCGTTCCCATTTAGCGACTCTGGAGCTCAAAACGCGTCTGGAGTTTTGGCCGCTGGCGCCGGTCGCCTGGCCCACTGTGCGGGGATGAGCGACTTGCCTTTGACGGACTGTGGCAGCAGCCGGCCCTGCTGCTGGGCCGCGCCCAGGCAGTGGTTGACGGCCTGCGCGGTGGCCAGGAAGTAGCTGGCGTCCTGCACGCCCTCGGCGTACAGCTTCACCAGGCCCTCCCCGGTGGGCACGCCCGCGGGGTTCAGCTGCACAGAGGAAACATCTTGCTGCATTACATTCCGACGTGATACATTTGACAGCGTAATCGCAGTAAATACGTGTGCGCACGGGTGTAACAAAGGCATAGAAATCATCAAACAGGGGCATGAATTTTCGGCAAAATTTAAATGCCCTTCCATTCACTGAGAATGAAAGAGTCCTGATCATGACTAAAATTTTGGGCGATGAATTCTTTATCACCCAAATTTGGGGTGAGGCATGCTCCTCCTTTAAACCCAAAGGACATTTACCAAGAGGTGCTGAACACCCTTCCAGCGCTTCAAAATTTTAGGAGAGGAAACACCCTTTCCCCGCCAACAAAATTTGGGTTTGGAAAGTATGCTTCGCCCAAAGCTTAAGGTATTGGGGAAAATGTGCTTTGTCGGGTTCTCCAGGAGGAGCATTTCCATGCACCCCTCGTCCCAGCGAAGGGTGAAAGTTTCCCCACCCAAATGGGTCTTAGGGCCCCTATAGCTGTACATTTTCTTCCTCGGCCCCCAAATTTGGGGGAGGAAGCAATGCTTCGCCCAAATTTGGGGACATAAAGCACACCTCGCCCGAAATTAGGTTTTTCGGGTTTTTGATTTGGAAAACCCCCCTGCAAGGCCGGCAAAATGGGGTTTTTGAGACCAGGGGTACAAAATTTGTACAAAGAAATTTTCCAAAATTGGGAATAAAATTGCACAATTGCGAAATCCGTAAAATTTTTATTGGAACTCCATCGGCCCCGCTGGAGGCAGGGGCAGTTGTTCTGCAGTCCAACAAAAATTGCCAATTGAAACGGAAAAATTTGTTGGTGGACCCGGGCGGTGATGGCTGACCGGGCGTTTGAGTCCCCCCCCTTGGGGCCTTTCCGGCAGCGCACCCTTTTCCCCCCTTTTTGGGGGGGTCGCGCACGGGTGTGAAGGAGGCAGCGCGACGAAAAAGACCCTCGGAATCAGTCTGCTGCCGGCCGGCCATGCTAAGCCGGCGTCCTTCGGAAGGTCCCCGCCGGACAGCGCCTCCGCCGTACTCACCGCTTTCACCTTCTTGTAGACGCAGTGGAGCAGGCACTGCAAAAGGGAGACAACATGAGAAGAGCCCCGAGGCACAGTGGGGGTCCAGAAGACCGGTGGAGGCGGCCAAAACTCTTGAGCTTCAAAGTCGCTTAACAGTACTCGAACAAAGCGTGTGACCCCACCAATGGATTCCTCGTTCGGAGAGCAATCCATTGGTGGGGTCACACGTTCGATTCGGGTCCCATTTAGCGACTCTGGAGCTCAAAACGCGTCCGGAGTTTCGGCCGCCTCCACGAAGGGCGTCATGCTCCACATTGGTTTTGGCGGTGTGCGCCACTCACCCCGGCGATGCGGCGCTCGTCCTCCGTGAAGGCCTGCCGCTTGGCGCGGCTCTTGGCGCTCTTGGCCGGCGCGCGCCCCTTGACTTCCTTGGAGATGAGCTCGGTGGCCGACTCGCCCAGCACGCTCAGGGCCTCTGCAACGCCAGGGACAGACACTGGTAAAACTGGAGCCAGGCGCGGATACAGTGTAGGGGCAAGGCGGGCAAAGAGGTCTCTGCCTCTCCCCAAGATGTAGCCCTAAGATTTCCGCCTGAAAGGTAGGCAGCCACGCTTTGCCCCTGTTAGTAGGCAAAGCATCCCCCCTTCCATTTGCCACTCCACTGTCAGAGACGTGCGATGGTCACTCCACCGTCAGAGACAGGCGCACGGCTTCGCGGCTTACCCTCAATGATGGAAAGCTTGATGTCGTCCTGGCACTCGTTGATGACCTTCTCGATCCTCTGCGGCGCTGCCGGCGGCGTCGCGCACCGCCCGCGGACCTGGTGGACACGGAGAGGAAGAAGGGGCGTTTATTTGAGGTGCTCGCAGTGTGTTTTGCGCGCACGGTTCGCCTGTCCTCGCGCGCGCCATGGCTCGCCACGCCACGCCGTGCCACGCCACGCCACGTCGCGCCACGCCACGCCGCGGTATGCACAGGTTGCAGTGCTGTTGCGACGCCCGGGGCGAGCATCCCGCCGAGGGCGCCGGCCTTGACCCACTTCATTACTTCTGTGAGGCACCGCGCGGCACATCGGCCCCTCGGCGGGGCGGGGCGGGGCGGGGCGGGGCGGGTGCGTCGTCCGCCGCCCAAACAGAGGAGCGGCACCGCGCCCCACCCCGCCCCGCCGGCCGGCGTGGACGACAAGGCGCTGAAGAAGGCGCTGCCCTTGGCTCGGCGGCGGACAGACCACAGCAGACTGATTCCGAGAGTCCTTTTCCTCGCTGTCTCTCTCGCACTCCTGGGGCGTCCCCTACAGGTGCGAGAGAGACAGAGCGACGAATGCGACTCTGGAATCAGTCGACAGCCCTCCCTGCCCGAAGGGGAGGGGGTTCGGCGAGGCGCAGAGTCGCGGGGATGCTGTCGCAAGGCTTTTGCCGGTCGCTCTGTGTCACTGGGAAAAAAGATGGGCTGTGACAGCCGCTTGGCCTCCGAGGCTACGAAATGGAACTCTCGTTTGTTTTCTGCAGCACCAGTTGTGTTTGTGTTGATTGACACAGACGACGAAAAATGAATTCAATCAATAACGATGATGTCCGAACTAACGCCAATATTCGACAATTCCGAATGGAATGAAGAGACTCATCTCACTTTATTGTCTATCGGACATGACATCGTAACTCATCGTACAATCTTCTAAGAGTTTCCAACGTGACATACGCCCTTTTACGCAACGACCAGCGACTAGGGAAGCTCAGGAGGCAAAGACGATGTCGTCAAAGTAAACTTCACTAAATTGTATAGATTTCAACGATAAACATACTGCAGCCAATAAAACAAACCGCTTACTCTTAGAGACAACAGTATCAGCCTCGGCGGCATGTTGATATCACTGACGTCACAGCAGTCAATGGAGTTGCTTCCATTCAGCAATCTTTATCAGTAAGTGGCGGCAAAAGTTTTTTTTCGTGCGTTACCCTGGTGCCCTGGCCGCTAGCCGCAATCGTGTATTGACATCTCTGGGACAAAGTCCCCCTCCCTTCCCCCTCAAATTACTGCGGCAGCCGAGCCGAAACTCCTGAAACGACTCCCGAGCGCCACGCCAGTGCAGTGCCGCTGGAGGTACTTTGCGTTGACGTAAGAACGCAAAGTACCTCCAAATGGTTTTCCCCTCGTTTTTTGTGCGAACTGCGTCCATTTCATTGTTGACTTGGAGTTAGTTCCATTTCTCCCGCGTCTTTCTCAACCAGCGGTGCATACGCGTGCGGGTGAGGCGGGGCGGGGTGGGGCGGGGCGCGGCGGGGTGGGGGCGGGGCGGGGCGCGGCGGGGTGGGGCGGGGCGGGGCGGGGCGGGGGGGGGGGGCAGACAGAGTGATCTCATCGTACAGGTGCGCCACGCCCGGCCACGCCACCCAAAGGAAAAGGAAAGTACTCGGCCGCTTGCCACGGGCCGCTAACAGTGTGGGGATCGCAATTGCGTGATTACTCCGACTGACAACTTCATTTACGAGCGCGGCCCCGGCCGGCTGGCCCCCCGCGGGGAGGCCCGCCCGCGCCCGCCCGCCCAAACGCAGCGAACCAGACCACAGACCGCAACAATCAGAGCGCGCTCTTCTCCTGGGTTGCATGATCAGGTGATGCTTTCAGCACACTCCGATCTGCTGCTCCAACTAACCCTTATTCTCTCCACGGCAAACGACCTTTCCTCAAATCGGAGTCTTACTGAAGCGCGTTCCCTTACCAGCCCGCCCCGCGTCTCAGTGTTCTCGAAAACCGGTGCACAGTGTGCCAGAAGACCGGTGTAGGCGGCCAAAATCCAAGACGCGTTTTGAGCTCCTGAGTCGCTAAATGGGACTCGAGCCGAACGCATGACACCACCGATCCATTCCTCTTTCGGAGAGAAATCCATTGGTAGGGTAACACGTTCGGTTCCAGTTCCATTTGGCGACTCTGGAGTTCAAAACGCGCGTAGAGTTTTGGCTACCTCCACCTGTCTTCTGGCCCACTGTGCGATGCGCTCTCGGCACACTCGCGCGTCTAGGACTATGGAGCGTAGCGTTTGTCGAGGCCAACGACTCACTCAAGCAGCCAGGCGGCCAGTGCAGAAGAGGCGGAATCGCGCGGGAAACGCATAGCAAACGTTTCCCCGGCGCGTCGTGGCGTCGCGGCGAGTGTCCAGGACCGAGGCCGCGCATAAGTGACTCGCTAGCCGCTAGACTCCGAGAGTCGTTCTCGTCACTCTGTCTCTCTCGCACTCCCCGAGTGAATCTGCACCCCGTTAATTTGACGTATTTTTGCCGTTTCTTAAACTTCATATTAACGTCAAAATTACGACAAACATACGTCATAAATTAACGTCAAAATAACGTCAAATATACATCAAAGGGATTTGACGTAAAGCTGCCGTAGATTTGACGTTTTTTTGCCCGTAAAAGTGGTAGAATTAACGTCAAAATACGGCATCCTGGAGGCCGGCGGAAAGGGGAGAAGAGATGGCAAAACGAAGACTGGCCGACCAGGTTCGACCCACAACGGTCATTGAAAGTCGGACGGTACCGCGGCCAGACGTATGCTGTAGTCTTGGAACGCGGGGTACTTGCCTCAAGTCGGCTGGGACTAGAACAAAGCCAGTATATTTCAACAGCGCAAATTTCGAATGCATGCAACGTGCATCATTTCAGAGATTGATCAAGTACCGTTCGGTCCTTTCCCTTGGCGACTCTGATTAAAACGCGCATAGATTTGTGGCTACCTCCACCGGACTCTGGCCCAGTGCGATGCGCTCTCGGCACACTCGCGCTCGGATATGAGCGTAGCGTTGTCGAGGCCAACCTCACTCCGCACCGGCGGCAGTGCAGAGGGCGGAATCGCGCGGAAACGCATACAAACGCTCCCCGGCGCGTCGTGGCGTCGCGGCGAGTGTCCAGGACGAGGCCGCGCATAAGTGACTCCTAGCCGTAGACTCCGAGAGTTCGTTCTCGTCCACTCTGTCTCTCTCGCCTCGTGGCGCCGCCCTCAGGTGCGAGAGAGACAGAGCGACGAAAACGACTCTCGGAATCTGTCAGCAGCCGGAAGACGGAGGCAAGGCAGGCGCCATGCCATTTCAATTACGTACTCTGCACTGCGGACACGGAAAAATGTTATTCGGCTGGCGCGGCGAGAAATCGGCCACGTCCGAACAGCCTCGGACATCGAGCTCTGCCGCGCTGCGGCGTTGGCAGTCGCGAAGTGACTGCCAGCGTCTTCGCAGAGTGGCGTAGCGCGAAGGGACGGCGGGCGTCAGCTGCGGGTTTGGACTACCCTACGGCCACGTGGAGAGGTTCAGGTCAGGTACCATACCGCCACACACAGGCGTGCTGCGGGTCGGCCTACCCTGCCGCCTGCACCGCCACACACAGGCGTGCTGCGGGTCGGCCTACCCTGCCGCCTGCACCGCCACCAAGGCGTGCTGCGGGTCGGCCTACCCTGCCGCCTGCACCGCCACACACAGGCGTGCTGCGGGTCGGCCTACCCTGCCGCCTGCACCGCCACACACAGGCGTGCTGCGGGTCGGCCTACCCTGCCGCCTGCACCGCGACACACAGGCGTGCTGCGGGTCGGCCTACCCTGGCCTGCACCGCCACACACAGGCGTGCTGCGGGTCGGCCTACCCTGCCGCCTGCACCGCCACACACAGGCGTGCTGCGGGTCGGCCTACCCTGCCGCCTGCACCGCCACACACAGGCGTGCTGCGGGTCGGCCTACCCTGCCGCCTGCACCGCCACACACAGGCGTGCTGCGGGTCGGCCTACCCTGCCGCCTGCACCGCCACACACAGGCGTGCTGCGGGTCGGCCTACCCTGCAGGCGCCCGGCCTATCTGCAGCAATCCGACTGCAGCGGCCAAGCGCAGCAACGCGCTCCACCACGCCTTGCAAGGCGCGCTGGAAGTTGCAATATGCACCCCGGCGTCGACCTGCCCTGCCTTGGCTCGGCTGTCTCGGCTGGCCGTCGCAGCGGACGCCGCGCAACCCTGGATGTTGCATGGCGGTGCGCTGCCCGGCGCTGCCCGGTGCACGGGTCGGGGTGGCCAGGCCCTGGCCAGGCCAAGCGCCGGGCTTGCCGGTCCGCGGTGCAGGCAGCAGACTCATTTCGAGAGTCGTTTTCGTCGCTCTGTCTCTCTCGCACCTTTACGGGACGCCCCGAGAGTGCGAGAGAGACAGAGCGACGAAGTACACAGGCGGGGCGTGCACTGCTGCACCGGCCGCGAACGACTGTTGCGTGGACGCGCCGAAGCGTCCCTCCGCGGCATCCTCATCGCGATCTTGCTCTCGTATGCTCGCTCGCGGGTTTCGGCGTCGGTCTGAATAAGCGGTGCGCGTCGAGATGGTCGAGAGCGCGCTGGCGGCCAGTGTGGCGTCAGGGTCGCCGTCGTGGCGCCCGTATTCGCGCACACACGCACGGACACACACATGCACACACGCACAGACAGACAGACAGACAGACAGACAGACAGACAGACAGACAGACAGACAGACAGACAGACAGACAGACAGACAGACAGACAGACGGACAGACAGACAGACAGACAGACAGACAGACAGACAGACACAGACACACACACACACACACCAAAAAAGGAAAAAAGGAAAAAAATATCGTGGATTAATCGGATGGAGCTTATCCCCTCGCAGGCCCCTGACAGGGTCGAGGGTCGTGTAGGCCTAATGCAGGTTTGCCTACTACCAGGCGTTTAGGTAATCTCACAGGGGGGCGATCGCCCAGTGTCCGCATGCTCTGGCTCCTTAAGCTACCACGCCTGATCCCCTCGCATGCAAGCGACAACCCGAGGAGAACAAGAGATCAGAACGGAGTCTAAATGGAGCCACGGGATGTCACTAGCACTCGGAATTTATGAGTGTACTTGAGCACGCTCTTGGAGGCACATGCTTGGCATAGGGATGAAGCAGGCACCACCAAAAAAGAGCGTGCTCACGTGCACACTAGAGGGACGTGCTAATTCAAAAAGCACACTCCGAAGCGCATGCCGACTCAAGTACACGCCAGTCAGTGTACAGTACAGTACAGAGTACACACAAAAGTTTTAAAATTGGACGTCCTCAGACCGCACTGTGACCTCTCCTTCAAGAACGGACTGTACCTGAGGGGCGGCGGCGTCGGCGACGGCCGCGGCCAGGACGGCGACGGCGACCACGGTGAGGGCGTGCATGGCGGCAAGGGTGGCGGTGCGTGTGGCTGTGCGGCTCGCGCCTCGGCGTCGCGTCGTCTGGGCCGTCTGCCTGCAAGGCGATGCTGCAAGGCAGTGTGCCGGCCGCGCCGCAGGACTAGCCGGCAAGGCAGGCAGGGCAAGGCAGGCAGGGTAAGGCAGGCAAGGTAAGGCGGCCATCGGGTAGGGGTGGGGCACGCCAGGCACGCCGGCCGGTGAGACTGATTCCGAGAGTCGTTTTCGTCGCTCTGTCTCTCTTGCATCTGCACGGGACGCCCCGCGAGTGCGAGAGAGACAGAGCGACGAAAGCGACTCGCACAGTGGGCCAGAAGACAGGTGGAGGTGGCCAAAAATCTAGACGCGTTTTGAGCTCAAGAGTCGCTAAAAGGGACTCGAACCGAGCGTGTGACCCCACCAATGGATTCGTCGTTCGGAGAGCAATCCATTGGTGGGGTCTCACGTTCGGTTCGAGTCCTGCTGAGCGACCTGGAGCTCAAAACGCGTCTTGAGGTTCGACCGCCTCCGCCGGTCTTCTGGCCCACTGTGCGACTCTCGGAATCAGTGTGCGGGTGCGCCGCCTCTACAGTACCGGCAGACAAATAGCCGCATCAACCCCTGCCGAGCGTTGTCGCTCTGTCTCTGTCGCCCTCACAGGGCTCTCCTTAAGGGTGCGAGAGAGACAGAGCGACGAAACGATCTTCTGAATTACTCGCCGCAGGAAGCTACTTAGGCCGACTTAGGCCCATCATATTCCACGGCTCCTGGAAATTTACGATGAAGTTTCAAAGTTCAAAGCATGTTCAGACAACATTGAAAATTCGCCCTTTATTTCGCAGGAGCCCTCCTGGAAAAATTCGCAGGCTCCCGGCGAAACGAGACTCCGTTTTCGCCACGCCCGGAGCGCCTTGCACCGCCCGTCGTTGGGAACGCGGCGGGGCGCGTTTAGTTTCAGCCGTTTCGACACAACGGCAGAGCGGCAGAACTCGGGACGCATTTCGGAGCATCGCAGCAGCATCGCCGTCGCTAAGTAGGTGGAGGCTGCAGACTGATTCCGAGAGTCATTTTCGTCGCTCTGTCTCTCTCGCACCTGTACGGAACGCCCCGTGAATGCGAGAGAGACAGAGCGACGAAAACGACTCTCGGAATCAGTATGCTGCACTGTGCGACGACGCGGTACGAATAGGATGAACAGTCGAACGCAACGCCGCCGGGACGCCGGGCGGTTTCTGGTTTGTGAAACCAGGAGTGCGACGGAACGGTGCGAGGGGACTCCAATTAATGTCACAACGGCACAAAGTCTCTGCAGACTGATTCCGAGAGTCGTTTTCGTCCCTCAGTCTCTCTCTCTCTCTCTCTCTCTCTCTCTCTCTCTCTCTCTCTCTCTCTCTCTCTCTCTCTCTCTCTCTCTCTCTCTCTCTCGGGCGCGCGCTCAAGAGCCGTCCCGTATAGGTGTGAGAGAGACAGAGCGACGAAAACGACTCTCGGAGTCAGTCTGTTGGCGAGGAGTCAGGCCGCTGCGCTGCCAGTGTACTCCAGTTACCGCCGCGGCCCGGTTACCCTAGGGTCATAGACTCCAGGTTACCTATGTTTCCCCTCTGTGCGGCGGATGGAGGAATCAAAAGAAACGTCGCCGTCTTCAAATCGAAGAAATGCGCGCTATCGCCGACTGTCTTCCGATTTCGTCGCTCTGTCTCTCTCGCACTCATGGAGAGTTCCGTACTGGTGCGAGAGAGACAGAGCGACGAAGCTTCTATCCTTCGGAATGAGGTGACTGCTTGGCCGACTGCAGTCTTGTCTGCGCTGCGCTCGGCAGAGGAGTTGACCCGAGTGGACCACTCAGAGTCCAGAGTTAGAGACCCTCCAGGGAGGATCTCTACTCGGAGTCCTACGTGCCGAGAAGCACGTCCGAGGCGGTCCCAGTCCCAGGCCTGTTTGTCGCCGTAAGAGTGGTCACCGGTGGTCACTGCATTCCAGAGGTACGTTTCCTTCCCACTACGCGGCCGCTCCGTTTTGGTCGCTGAACTTTGGCCTCCCGGCCCTGCATCGCGCTCTGAGAATGACAAAATTTGGCACTCCAGTGGCCTGCCAAAATTTAGCATTCTCAGAGGGCGATCCGGATCTAGAAGGCCAATTTTCCGCACTCGTAACGGAGCGCCAGTAGAGTGGCAAGAAAACTCACTCACGAGTTTGCATTGGAGGCTGCGCGAGAACGCTGCAGGCGGTGGCGTTGGAGTCCATGGATGGGCCATGCGTCGGACGACGACATCTGGCTCACTGTAGCGCCTGCCAAGTGCCGGGTAGGCCACCAGCCCGCGAACAACACACCGGTGCGTGGATGGTGGCCTACCTTGCGGCTGGCAGGCGCTAGAGGCCGGCTGGCGCCAACCTTGACCTTGCCCGCTCGCGTCCAGCCGTCTGATTCCGAACACTGCTTCGTCACTCTGTCTCTCTCGCACCCCTACGGACCGCCCCATGAGTGCGAGAGAGACAGAGCGACAAAAGCAGTGCTCGGAATCAGACGGCAGCGTCCAGCCCACACACACAGCGAGGCAAGCACGCCACAGTTGTCTCTGTCAAGCGGCAGCAGCAGAGTCGCTTTCGTCGCTCTGTCTCTCTCGCACCTTCACGGGATGCCCCATGAGAGAGAGGCAGAGCGACGAAAACGACTCCCGGAATCCGTGTGCAGTGACACCAGACATCGGATCTTTGTTCACCCATTTCGGATTCTGCTGCCGAATCCGCATCTTTACTGAGGCCTACCGCGCTTTGATACTGAGCTTGCCACTGCAAAAAAAAGCGTGAAAAACTTGCAAAAAGAGACGCTTTTATTGCGGTTTTTTGTAGCGGAGCTTCGGCGGGTGCCCATCCATCGGGCACCCTGCAGGTGCTGACACAAATCGACCAAGGCCGCCAACACCCGACGAGCTCGCTGCACAGTGTGCCTGCGACGGGACGGGTCACTCGGGCGCGCCGAGGGGGTCGCCTGCCTGCCCGCGAAAAGAACACCGCAAAAAAAACCGTCAGCAGGTTGAGGGAAGTCCCAGACACCAGAGCTGTGGCCCAGGCCGTCCAGGCCGCCCAGCCGTCTGATTCCGAACACTGCTTCGTTACTCTGTCTCTCTCGCACCTCTGCGGACTGCCCCATGAGTGCGAGAGAGACAGAGCGACGAAAGCAGAGCTCGGAATCAGACGGCAGGCCGGCCGGCCGGCGCTGGTGGTGGGAGCGGGGCGGGGCAAAGTCCGGCGCATCAACGAGCTTGAAAAACAAAAGCAAACGAGAACTAACCACTCGTCCACACTCGGCAGTGACAACACATCGCTTCGAGCCGCACATGTGCGCGGCCCGCCGGCCACTATCACTGTATGCAGACTGATTCCGAGAGTCGTTTTCGTCGCTCTGTCTCCCTCGCACCTGCACCGGGCGCCCATGAGTGCGAGAGAGGCAGAGCGACTCCCGCCTAACTAGCCGCCGCTCGTCGTTTTCGTTGTCTCGTTGCCGGGTCCGGCGGCCCCTCCGCAGTACCGCAGCGGCCGGTCGGAGGAAAAGATCGATCACCGATATTACAGTGTGACTGCTTTTCCTCGCTGCTCGCGCACCTGAAGCAGAGGAGCCGTCGGACACCGCAGCACCGCAGCAGCTCTCGCACACTGCTCTCGCACCAACGGCCGCGGGGTCACGCAGCCACGCGTAGCCACGCGTAGCCACGCGCAGTGTGCCCGCCCAGGTGGACACGTGGTCTGTCAAGTTAAGGACGCGCGTCAGACGCGCGTCCGGTTTGCGCTGGCTGCTGTTGGAGGACTTTTGATCCATGCATTGCATTAAAGTTGTTTAACCCGTACCTTTTTGGAAACGGGAGATGCCACGGATTCTCGTATTGCAAATAAAAGCGTGCATAGACGAATTACAAGGTTTCAAGTGACACAGGAACGGTCACACATCTCCGGCTGCATCCGGATAAATGGATTGTCGGGCTCCCATCCCTATCCCTACCACTCGTTTGCAAATCAAAGCTGGGAAATTCAGGAAATTGATAACGATATGGATGAATTGGAGCATTTTGATGACACGACAGTAGGTTAGGTTATGTTGGTATTATTTGCTCTCTAATGGGTTGTACACATATAACGTACTTTGGAACATCTTGTCACACACAGGGTTCGATCAATGGAAGTTATTTTACAAGACAAAAAGGAAAGTAGAATGAAAACCGTCAACAATTCACCAAAATACTGATTTATTAACTAAACAGCTAGTTGTTATCATAGACAATCAACTTTTCAGACTCAGGACCAGCTGTTGCGACCGTTCCTGTGTCACTTGAAACCTTGTAATTCGTCTATGCACGCTTTTATTTGCATTACGAGAATCCGTGGCATCTCCCGTTTCCAAAAAGGTACGGGTTGAACAACTTTAATGGATCAAAAGGATCAAAAGCCCTCCAACAGCAGCCAGCGCAAACCGGACGCGCGTACGCGCGTACGCGCGTCTGACGCGCGTCCTTAACTTGACAGACCAACGGACACCGGCCGGCCGGACCGGGGACCGCCCACACCCCGAGGGTCTCCTCCTCCTCGGCCGCGGAGAGAGGCGCGGTGACGTGCGCGTCGCGGGGCCCGGGGCCGCTCAGTCGGCAGGCAAGGGGGCACCACCGCGGAGCTACCGTCTCGTCGTGTCTGCACTGGTAAAACAGAGGAACAGAGGCAAAACGACGCCAAACCACCCACAGTGGGCCGCCGGAAGACCGGTGGAGGCGGTCAAAACTGAAGACGCGTTTTGAGCTTCAGATTCGCTGGATGGGACTCGAACCGAACGTGTGACCCCACCAATGGATTGCCTTCCGAACGAGGAATCCATTTGGTGGGGTCACACGCTCGATTCGAGTCCCCTTTAGCGACTCTTGAGCTCAAAACGCGTCTGGAGTTTTGGCCGCCTCCACCTGTCTTCTGGCCCACTGTGCCACCCCAGAGAGAACGAGCAGGTCAATGTGAACCGTTTATGAGGTCTGAGGGTCTCATTCTGACGTCCCTATGACATCCTTTGGCATCAGACTGATTTCATTTGGACTGACTAGCTGTTTTCCCTGGGTTGGAAGGGGCGGGGCGTGAATTAGTGAAGGACTTCCAGGCAAAATTGTGATGCCCTTTTTTGCTCGTTTCCCCTTCAGGCCCTTAAACAGCATGAAGGACTGCCTTTGTTTTTTCCAGTGTGGGCCGTCCTCGCCGACGTCATGAGCCTGGCGGTCGCGAGGCAGGTCGCTGCCGGGGCCCTTCGTGTCCTGGAGGGCGCGCCCTGCGTCCTCCGCGGCGCCGAGGGCTGCCCTAAGGGCCGCTGGCCCGAAGCGCCCGAAGGGCCCGAAGGGCTGGGCCCAGGGGGCGGGGCTGGCGGTGGCAGAGCCGAGGGCAGTACACTCCTGGACCGGGAACCCCCACTGGCAGTCTCTCCGGACTTACAGCACGGACTCGAAAGGTGTCAAGGTACTTACAGTGGGCCCAGTCAAGCGGCACAGGCCCTCTTGATTGTCGGCGCACTCTATGCTTTGGATCACTAGGGGTCAGTTTGGGGAAGACGAGTTTAAGAAGAGTACAACACTTACGGAGCTCTTATCTTGACTTTTGAGCTATCCCTAGACCAGTTTTTTTCAACAAAAATTTGAGTGTGAACTCTTTATATGGATGTCGAGGACTGTGCAGTAGGCCGCAAGGGGGGTGCACTTTTTTTCGTACCATGTACTTTTCTTCCCCAGTTTACCCCCAGCTCTCTCATGTATTTTCATGCGACTCCTGCTTGTTTCAGGCGTGGGCAGGGGAAGCAGAATTGTGCAAAGAGTCGGATGAGGTTGTGTTGAGGACCAAGGATGCAGATGATTTGAGATTTCCATTTGTCTGGCTAAGAGACAACTGTCAATGTAGTGCTTGTTTCCATCAAGATTCCCAGTCAAGAACCATTGATCTGGAGTCTTTCGACATCAATTCAAAACCAAAGCTGGTGAAAGTTAGTACTCCCTGAACTATTCCCTTTTGTTTGTTATTAGAGAAGATATGCCACAATGAATTTTTATTCACAAGGTTGTCGGTAATAAAATTCATATTACCTGGTTGGATGGCCATATAAGTGATTACGATTTTGAATGGCTAAAAGAGCGCAGTTTTCAATCGCACTCACAAGAGTCATGGCTGACAAGTATGTATCGATTGCCAAGAAAGACTTGGACTGCTCAGTCCTTCAACAAGATCTTGACTCGATACAAGTTCAGTGATGTTTTAAAAAGGTCTGCACCTGTTGCCTTTTATGAACATTTTTTAAAAACTATATTATATTGTTTTTAATTTATATTGTCATTTTCAGTGATGCAGTTCTATATAACTGGCTTGTGAGCCTTGCTACTTATGGTGTAAGCATTGTTGAGGATGCACCGGCTGAAAGTACCACAGTTCGCCAGTTAGCAGAGCGAGTGGCATTTATTCGGAGAACACACTACGGGCAAGTGTACCTGGATCCATCCAAGACTAAAATGCAAAACCAATCAAGTAGAATACAATTCAGTTTTTGTTTACAGAGAAGAATTTTCTGTACGTGCCAAGCCAGGTACGACTAATGTAGCCTATTTGTCAGCAAATCTACAACTGCATACAGATCTTCCTTACTACAACTACAAACCAGGGGTGAGTTGATGCAAGGTTTCCGTTTTTCTTAAATTGATTGGTGGCCATAGGTATGGAAATTAAAGCATATTTTGATACTGAGTGATCATCTCACCGATGTTGTTCCAAGGTGAATCTTCTCCACTGTTTGGTCCAAACAGAGAGTGATGGCGGTTCCAACCTGCTTACAGACTCACTTGCTGTAGCAGATTGGCTGAAAACTGACTTCAACAGCTCATACCAGGCTCTAACCCAAACTGTTGTGGACTGGAATGACATTGGACAAGAAGATGGCAATTATTTCCACAGTATTCACCGAGCCCCAGTTATTTGGTAAGAAATATAAAAGATTGGATTTACTGGAGGAAGTGTTTGTTGTTGCAAAGAATGCTAAGCAACTGTTGCTAATATCTCATCGTGAACAGCGAAGACCGCTTTGGAGAGATTGAGCGGATTAATTTTAGCCAGCCTCAGCGTGATTCCCACTTCAATGTCCCATTGGATAAAGTGAAACTGTGGTATAAAGCCATGGACAAATTCACAAAGGCTATCATGAGCAATGATTACTGTGTCACCTACAAAATGGCAGAAGGTACTTTAGACTTTTCTTCTTCTTGTATTAAAGAAGGTTTGTGTTTAACAGACAATGTTTCTGTAGGCTGAAATATTTATCTTTCGTGCAGGAGAAATTCTAACTTTTGACAATATCAGGCTTGTACATGGCAGAAAAAAGTACGACGACTCTGGAAACTCCATACGGCATGTGATTGGAGGCTACTTGGACTGGGATGAGATTTGGTCACGTATTAGGGTCTTAAAGAATGTGTGACAAAAGCAGCATGCCCATGTAAGAAAATAAGAGATGAGGGCAAAGTGAAATAACAAAATAATTTCTTAAATTTTTTTAATCTTATTTCTGTCTACTTAATCCTAAGACCTTTACATGCATCACAGTTTGAATTCCACCAAATCATATGTATAAAATATACAATTTTGGCAAGACAAATAAAATGTATAAATTATTCAGGAAAAAAATGACTTTATAAAAGTTCATATGGAAATTATTTCCCCATTATTTTACATCTCCATGTGAGACTTACCTTGCATGTTAGTTAATATTGCTTTCCTCAACCTCTGATACATTTTTAAAGCTGTCCAGCAGATGGAATAGATATAGAAAAAAAAGGTCAGAAGCAGATTCTTTAAACTTTCCAATAGCAATTTTAAACATGAGTGATAATGTTTTTCATAACAACAATCCACATCATGCACCATGAACTCGTCTGAAGTCAAAATTACATCAAGAGAAAATTACAGTAGCTGACATTAAACAATTACAGGAAATTAGGGTACAAAAAGAAAAGCTCCAACCCATTTAACGTCATCAGTAGAATGCAATTAGTTTGTCACAGATGTTTCAGAACAATTTGGCAGGATAAAATAACCCTTTCAATAACAAGCTACACATTACACTCTACTAACATGACAATGAGTACAAATGCAGTAACTTTTTTGAGGTCTTTTGATTCTATTCAAAAGACGTTATACAGTAATAAAATAATAAAACAAAGATATATTTTTAAAAACATAAAACGTTGATTTGTACAAAATTTGGTCAAAACTAATAATCTGAACATGTATTAAACAGACTGCTTCCTTTACCACAAACTAATAAATGTATTATTTCATGGAAAAAGCCGTCTTACACTTTGATTAACTGAGGAAGCTTCAAACAAATCATCAAGAATTATCTCCAATCACCAAAACAAAGATACATAAACAGAGAAACTATGACAACTCCAATAAAGATGATAAAAGGAAACAATTTTACAGATGAAGTGGGGCACACTCCAAGAAAAAAGGGTAAGATATGAATACCACAAATACAATTCTAATAGTAAACTGTGACCACTCTGATGTGGAAGAAAAGTATTGATGGAAAAAGGAAAAAAAAACTTCAAGGAAGTTACAGCAATTTTGAGGGTGGTTTGCACAAAAAAAAGTAAAGCTATTATACAGTTACTGTCCTTGTAAAAATGACAAATCTTAAAATTGCCGAGTCAATCAATGGACAACGACTTTTTCTGTACTCAGACTCGAGTTCAGGGGAACACAAATATGGATTGGTGGTATGAATACCACTGAAAACATTGAAAGGTTCAGAGAAGGACTTGGGTAGGGCCACCAATGGGGAGACAGTGGAGGCCCTCAGCAGGAATCTTCACGATGTTCTTCTTTAAGGAGACTGTTTTCCAGCAGCACCGTCATTTTCCAGACTGGCCCGGAAGGATGAACCCGGTCAAGCCTGGAACTGTGCTGGCAGCTGCTCCCAAAGAACTTGCAGACATTTTCATCTTGGATTCAGCTGCAAAGGACTGGAACACATGCTGTTGGAAACCAAGTAGCAGAACCTAACTACCTCAGCCTGACAGAAACTGCAACGCTGAACAAATGATTGTGAGCAAACAACGATGGCGAAGGAATGATGGGAAGAATGACAGACACCAGATGAAGCCACTGGTCACTTCTCTGGAAGACAGGCAACCCAGGGGTGATTGTGGAAAATAATATGTTTCCTGTCACTTCAAGAAAGTGCTTCTCTCTTCTTTGGTCTTCATTTCTGATGCTGCGTTAAATGAGTCTTCATTATCTTCACCAACCAAAAGTTTGCTTCACTTGTAATTTGGTTTGTAAAGAAATTTTGATGAGTGGTTCTTTTTTCTTCTCACTATTAGAAGGAAAGTACCTAAAGAGGTGTCTTCCACAAAATTGAATTAAAGCCATTCATGGAAGATAGAAACTGATGAATTCCAGTTTCCCCAAATAGTACAGTTGACACAAACGAATCTTCCATAACCAAATCCTAAACAAATAGTGCGGTGGTGAGAAAGAACAGGAACAATAAAGGACAGGAGGGGGAAATGAAAAAAAAGGAGGAGGGACTGATGAAGTGAGTAGCTTATATCGACTTCTGCAGGACAAACGCTGTCCCCTTTCTTGTTCGTCACTTCAGAGGGAAGACATTTTTCTTCAAATGCAAACTTTTAGATGAAATCTTCTATCAAAATCATGATAATAGTACTCTTGAATATATTCTTCTCGATAGGTAGAGTAGTATGTACGCTACAGCCTTAAAGTCAAGGTATTTCATAAGTGAATGACTCCCCTTCAAAATGGTTATAATAATCCTTACCACTTCAAAACAAAGTGTGCTTCGTTGATTTGTATTGTCTTCTTAGTTGGCCCATCCAGCTGCTTCTCTGACGATCTTCTTCCAATTCTTCGTTCCACATTTCTTCTTATTTCTTCGAGACCCTCAGTTAACAAGAGCTGATGATTATGGTATAAGAGCTGACCATGCTGATGGCTGTATGTACACATGTACTCTGAGAATTGTAACTTAAAAGAGGCTTCACAGAAGTCCGTAATGACTGGGTGATGAGAGAATTGAAAAGAGTGTACTTTCAACCATGCAACATCACCACCCCAGCTGTCAAGGACTTAAAAATTTGAAAGCACAGCTGCACTAGCCTTGCAGTCAATCTTGCTCTTTTCATTGTCATATGTGAAACCGAAGGGGGTCAAGAACTCTATACACTTTTCCTCGGACACGAAAGCCAATTCTGCAGTCACGAAACTGATGGGCAACAGTTGACGGTAGCTGAACACGTAAAAGAAAAAGAGATTTTGTTAGCGAAAATCACCATACAATTTAAAATCAAAATTATGAGAGCATCGATGAGCAGAGTAGATGGGAAGTTCAATCCCAAGACAAGGGCTCCCGAATTCTACCTAAGATAAGAAAATGCACATGCAAAATAAAATTGAACAGCAAGTTAAATAAGCACCTCTGCAAGTCAAAATGCAATGAGACATGACAGAACAAATGATCAACTCTGGCAACACCCTTATTTGTTCCAAAATTTGGACAAGTCTCAACTAGTGCTCTAAGAGAGCCGCATATAGCAAGTTACATAACTCTGAATGTGACTTGTTCCATCCTATGATGTTGACACAACAAAATCAGAACAAACAGTCCACACGTCATTCATTTTACGTTACTGTTAGTATTTATGAGATCCGTAGAGGCTACTCTCACGGCGTTTACCTTGGATCCACACATAACATGGTGGAGGGTGCACAAACAATGAATTCAGAAAAACTAAGGTCAGAATAAAGTACTTCCATTAGAATTTTGGCTGAGACTGAGAACTCGACACTTTAAAAATTGCCAGGAGGATTATAATAACACTAACTGCAAATTAGAGTATTCTCTACTGATTTTCAAATAAGCATAAATGAATAGATAGAATTAAATATTGGACTTCAGAAACTGACTCATCACAATTTAGTTCAAAATTAACCCTCAACAAAAGAAAATCAAGGAAAATAAGCCAATTCAAATTGAAATAAACCAGTAACGACTGTAATCAATATTTCACCAGAACCCAAGTTTAGCTCAGCCATTCAAAAGATAGTGATTTACCACTGTGCATGTGGCATTTACTTAGTCTCACAGATGTCACAAAGTTACACCATATCACAGACAAAACAGTGATCTTGTTGAGAAGATACAGAACAAGTGACACAATGAAACAAAACACTGCACTGCAGTACTCTGTCCATGTAGTTTTGGTTAAATTGCTTGATTGCTTACAAAATTAATGATAAATATAAACAGACAGCATTCTAGACCAATTTGTAAACTAAATTCCTTGTTGGATAGAATCAAACATTTCATTTATTCATACCACATTCTTACCTTCGACGAATCACTCCTTACCTTCAAGAAAATATGATTTGGACATGTTGCAATTTAACCTAAAATGGTACATCAACTCTCATCCCTTACTCCTTGTCCCATAAGTTAGAAAATAGTAATGGAGATACAAAGAACAATATACACCACAACCACCAAAGGAGTAAGAAATAAAGAGAATTATACCAGTTTATTCATTAGTTGCAAGTAAAAGGAAAATACGTACGATTTTATCATTATTTTAATTGCTGCTCTTCTTTCACGGTCAGCAAACCAGTCCACAAGGAATCCAGCCATTTTTGGAGCAGTTCTATAAAGCCGAAAGAATTTGTGATAATTCCCAAGCCACCATGCTGAACGCATAGCTAAAGCATGAGCTATGCACTCATTTTGTTTTGCTTCAGGAGATAGGGCTGCCATCACAACCGTCAGATCTGTGACAACAAGAAACAAAACATGTTGAACCACACTAAACATATCTTTACAAAATTATTACAGTATAAATATTTGCAAGTGAAGAGTAAAAAATGGACCAGAATCACAAATAATATAGGTAAAACCATACACACCTAAATTACTTTTAGTGAATATATAATACAATATCCTATAGGCAGTAAATTCCAAAATATTTTCGCCACCTAAATCAGCATAAAGCATCTTCAGTTGAGTCTGACACTGATTGAATTCTTCATGATCACCTTTTTCAAGAGCTATGCGAGCATGGGTTTCATACACTAATACTGTAAATTGATCTCTTATACCTGCACCTATATAAAAAGAGAAATATATCAGTAGCACATGTAAAATTTATAATTATATAATAATGCAGTTGCTCTCTGAATGAGATATTAAAATACTTACCGTCAGGTCTTGCCTAATTGATTTTAATTGATCACAGGATGCATGGTAGTCCTCTGTCTTCAACCATTTTTCTTTTGCTCTCATCAAAGCTTCTTTCAAGACTTCTACAGGTCGGACTTGGGAAGGTTCGGGAGCCTGAAATTGCATCAGATGTCAGGACATTTGCTTTCAAAACATATACTTACAAGTCATAGAATTTCTTAGATGAAGTACTTACTGATGTCAACCGAAGATATCTCTTCTCCACTTCCTGACATGTGCCAACAACATGACACTCTGAAAGATCGAAATCCCCATCAGGATCCTCAGAGAATTTTTTGGTTACACTGATGCGTTTGTGTCGGTTATTTTGAGGAGTCAGAAGAGCAGAGGGGTTTGATGGGGATTTAGTGATGGCACTGAATCTTGCTGCTCTTTTTTGAAGTGTCTCTGAATTACCAAGCTCTTCAGTGTTGCCACCAAATTCAGAGTAAAAGTGAGCCTTCAGAACTCTGCAAGAAAAACAAGATAGATTATTTCTACAAGAAACAGACATTACAGAGAATTGTGACACATAGAGTTGAACTGTAAAACATACCCCTTTGGATGATTTTTCACTTTCTTATTCAAAGCAGCACCACCTCTGCCTTTCCCTTGGAAATTGATGCGGTCCCCAATCCGACCTCTTCCTTTACCCTTCATAACTTTGAGACTCTTGAAGTCATCACCACTACTAGAAGAGCTGGTACTGTTAAAAGAAAATATACTGGTCAATTCAACAAATACAATTCATTCTTGAACACGAAGCCAGAAACAACAAGTACTTCCAAAGCTGACGAAGCCTTTGGTTCAAAAATTCTTATTACCTTCTCTTCCGCCGACGGTGTGAACCATGAGAAGAATTTGATCTTGATCGTGACCTGGAATGAGAGGACCTAGAGCGTGATCTAGACTTAACCCTACGTGACCTAGACCTACTCCTGGAGCGTGATGGGCTGGGGGAGCTAGAGCTACGCCTTGATTGTCGTCTGATTTGGTTATTTTTGTTGAATTTTCCTAGGCGTGCTCCCATTGAAGGAGACAATCCAACAGGGGTTTGCCTCATTGGTTTTGGCAAATTATTTCTATGCAGTCCAGGAAGAGCATCGGCAGACAAACTTAACAGAAAGAGCAAACCTCATTATAATGACATTGTAAACAACTTCAAAGTTCATACTAGTCATAACTCCTTCACATACTTTGGTAGGGGTTCTTCTTCCCAGTTTTTAGTCCACAGAGTCTTCATATTTGTGGCACTCATAATTTTCCCTTTGAGAATAATCTCAACTCTGTCTTTGTCAACAGGAGATAAACACCTATCATAGCACTTTGAAACATAGTTCCTGAATAACAAAGGCCCCAACAAATAAATAGAAGATACAAAAATCTCTGTATTAGTAAAACTAACAACCACAAATACTCCTCCTTACTTCAAACTTTCCGGCCATATTTCTGGTCCAGCTGGGCGAGGTGCTGCTGTGGGTGCAGGGGTGGGTGGTGGCGGTGGCGGCTGTATAACAGCTGCTGGTGGATCTGCTGGCAATGGTGGGGCTGGTAGTGGGGGCAGTGGGGGATCCGCAGGGGGTGGAGGATTCTCCGGTGGAGGAGGATTCGGAGGCAGGGGAGGCATGTTGACATTGAGGGGAGGGACAGAAGACCAGGTTTCCATGCTCTTGTTAAAAGCTGTATTTGCTGCTGCTGCTGCCATTAGTTGTTTCCTAGCCCTTTTCCTCTGAGTTTTGGAACCAGTGATTTGCTTATGTAGTTGCATCATCACATTGGGCGGATAAGGCATGCCAGGCCTTGGACCTGGCTGTTGCGGACTCTGATTGTTGGGATTGAAAGCATAGCCTTGAACCCTATTTTTGTGATTTATATTAAATCGAACAGGAGGATAAGCTGAAACAAATTGCAAACAAAGGCCCACAATTAGATTTAAAGAGTAAAGAGTGTCTTGACCGTAGCAGTGCATTAAAAATTTGAGGGTACATACGATTGTTGGGGACTTGATTGGGAAAGAAGTTGTTCTGGGGCCGTGGTGAGAACCCAGGGGGCAAGCCATTTGATGAAGGCGGAGGTGGAGGAGTTCCTGGTGGCAATGGTGGCAGATCATCCTCCCCAGGGGGGCCGCTCAAAGCTGGACAACTCTTTCCACTTTTGTCTTCCTTAGAACTCTCATTTCCAGAGTCCTTGCTGGCAGGAACAAAACCTTCAACAGAAGAGACAAGAGAGCATGGTAGAGTCATAAGACTATGGATGTATCAATCGGCATGTTTCATTAACATGTGGGCATAGTCCACATGTTATTATTACCATGCATAGGAGGAGCCGGTTCCTTGGGGAGCGGAGGGGCTTGACCTGGAGGGCCAATTTGACCATTACCATATGAGTAACCAGCACCTTGTTGAGCAGCTGGCATGTTATAATACGGGTGTGGGTAGCCATATCCTTGCTGTCCATACCTGAAAATTGAAAACAAGAAAGTATAAGCGGCATTCAAAGTGATTGGTAGGGATGGCTTTTGAGACTCATACAAAAGCGGTTACTCATGGTTATTCAGAATGCTTACCACTGATTGTATTGTGGTGGGTACTGCGAGTACTGTTGCCACATTGGCGACGGGTTTTGGCTTTTGTCCCCCATGGTCCAGAGAGCCAGTCCTGATCAAACAAGCAAAGATTTCAACAGAATGTAATGGGACGCTATAGAGGTTATGTCTCACCCCCTCAACAAACGCGTAGGTGGACGCGAAGAGAGACATACCGTGAGAAGTAAATGAAACGTAATGTTCTGACAAGACAAAACAGATACAAAGGACGTAATACAAAGTCAATGCAAGACACAAAGACGTCTCAAAACTAAACTGCTTTCAGCGCCATTTTGTCTATCAGATGTATGCTATCAGGTTACGACCATACGGTTGTCGGGAGTGACAAACGATTTGTGAACGCAAAAGCGTGCCCACGCACGGAACTAGAGGTATTACTTACAAAGCGTAGGCGAATGGGAACAGACAGGTGCCGATATAACTATTTGGCGCAGTCTAAACTAACTGTTGTCGATCATTCCGAACGCTTTCGTCAACTTTTTTGGAGCTCGGAGAGGGACACGGAAACTATGTAAACAAAGCAGTCTGGCCAACAGAACAACTACAGAGGAAAACAAAAATAACGTTGCTCCCCTAATGCAAAATTTCGTGGACACTCAGATTTTATTCCTTGTGGTAATTTCGCCTTGTCCTATTTTTAAGAGGGACAATCGCACAGGCCGATAGCATAAACTGGACTCCAACTTCTGGGAAATTAATGTCAGCGCCATCTGCTGCTGCTGGCATGAAAATGAAAGGCTGAATGCAGAATTTTATTGTCCGGGTGATGTCGGTGCTAGTTTCAACAGGATCAAATAGAGCATATTTGTTCTTCAGTGAACGCTGACGAAGCTTGTAAGTTGATCAGGAATTCTTACATTTGATTAAACACTGATAACAAAGAGACTTCACAGTTAGTTTTTGTTCTCGTTGCACTTGTAACCTGCGGCCCCTGCTAGTCATTGTTCGTGAAAGTGAACTGATTGCCCGTTTCCTTATTCCCTCCTTGACGCATTCGTCTGCAATCATTTGTGGTGTGGGCGTTTTATTGTGTCACTCTGATCGTGGTAGTACCTAGCTCGTGGCATTTGTCGCGCAATCATTAAAGTTCCATATCATCCGTGTGTGATGTTGTGATCACACACAGTACTGAAGAAGTTCAATTGATGTGGGGCATATCTCTCTTTCATGCCAATGACATCTTTTCAATGAAGCCTCTCTGCTTTTGATCCTCCTTGCAACTCCGAACCTTTCTCTCAAGTTAATCGTCTCTTATACAGTTTCTTATCATTACTGTTTCAGACGATTAAACAGCTTTGCCCCTCCTGACTGTCGCTGCTCATAGGAGATATTTTTGAAAATTGTTTTAGTTCTATTGATACTACATTATTTGAAAATGGGTACGTATTGATTCTTTATTTTCAAACAACAACAGAATATGTTCGCTCCTATTTTTATTTTGTTTTACCTTATCACAAATTAGTAATATTGTTCTCCCTCTTTGCAGCTGGCACTGATAAGGGTGATAATGATGTTGATGGGAAAGCAGCAAAACCTGGTGATGTTTCACAACAAAAAGACCCGGCTGAAGGCAACCCACCTGCAGCAGACCCCACATCCAGCCAAGCAGCTTCCTCTTCCAGCATGGATATAGATTCCACTGCTGACACATCAGCTACAGCCAGTGGCAGTCAAGCAGCCTGTTCCACTAAGTCATGCGTTTCTGAAACGGCAAGTTTCCGTCCAAGAAGCCCAGAGCACTCTCCCAACATTGAAGATGTTGACTTTAAAGTAATATTCAGCAAGAGCAAGTATGATATAACATTTCCCCTGGATGATACAGTAGCACAATTGAAGGATCACCTAGAAATCATCACTGGTCAGTGTTTCATTTCGCTTGTTTTATGCTATTATTAAGCTCAAAAAGAATACTAACTTTTTGGTCTTGTTTGCTCTAGGTGTTCCTCGAACAATGCAAAAATTGATGATTAAGGGCTTGGCTAAGGATTCATTTACCCTTCGTGAAGCAGGTGTTACAAAGGGATCTAAAATCATGCTAGTTGGCTCTAAGCTTGATGATATCCTATCTGTGTCCACTCCTAGCAAAGAGGTAAGGCTGTAATGTGACAACATTAATTTATGTCGGTTTTCTCTACCTGAGATTTGATTTGAATTTTTTTAATGCATTTGCATATTGTTGTTCTAGGAGCTGGAGCTGGAGAAAAGCAGCTCTAATGCAAAGGAGCCCTTATCAAAACAAAAAATACACAAGAAAGTGCTTGATAAAGGTGTGCCTGATGATGTGATGCCTGGCATTCTTAATAACAAGGTAAATACACACTTTACGAATATGATACATATTTTGTTCATGACCATGTATTTCACTACTTACAATTCATTATTTGACCCACTCAGGAAGCATTACCACCCTTCCCACTTTCTGGAATGTTAAATAAATATGGTGGAAAAGTTCGGCTCACGTTTAAGCTTGAGCAAGATGAAGTTTGGATTGGAACTAAAGAGCGAACTCAAAAATTATCCATGAACTCCATTCGGGGCGTAGTAAGTGAACCAATAGAAGGACATGAAGAGTATCACATTTTAGTAAGTTTGTGTTTTTTTACTTCTTCAACTTCAAGCAAATAAAGAAGATTGAGTCCTATCTTGTCTTAATATTTTCTTAATTTTTATTTTTGTTCACAGGGAATTCAGCTAGGTCCAACAGAGGCCTCTCGGTATTGGGTTTACTGGGTTCCTGTGCAGTACATTGATGCAATTAAGGATACTATCATGGGCTCATCATGGATTATCTAAGGAATCCCTCTGCCCCCCTGTCCTAGTTTGTTTGCGAGTTTGTGACTCAAGCACTTCTTTCTCCATTGCCAAAGGGTTTGTTGTTTGTTTTTCTTTTTTTGCTTTATCTCAAGTTCTGCTTTTCCATAGCATCATTGTCAATGGAAGTTCAATGATGGAGATAGTACAAACTGCTATGTACATGTTAATACCAAACCTTTCTTTGAAAAAAAAAAAAATCGATTGTTATCTTAAAAGTTGGTTGTGTGTGCTGTACCTAGTTGATTGAAGTGCATTGTTTCTCGTGTATTTAATTACCATTAGGAATTCATTGATATTATTGTGTCAGATTATATGGGTCTGGAGCTAACAAAAAGGTCATTTTGTGTTGTTGTTTTTCTTGTTTTTTTTTTCTTTCAAAAGTATTCTTTTTTCCTTGACTGAAAACTTCTTGATCTGTGATTTAAAGGATCTGTGCTGAACAGAAATCCCTTTCTGGGTCTTAAACATTAACTCCGCTAGCAGAGCAGTGTTTTCCCCAGCTGGTCTCAAGACGCCTAGATTACTTTTTTTTGAGGAAGAAGGTGAAGAACTTAATGAAGGTTTGTGGATTTTTGTGACTTAATCTTAAGCAGTTTTCAGTTGTCAATTGTGAATGTGTGTAACTGCAATAAGAAACTGTCTTAACAGTCTTTCCAAATTTATACAGTAGTTTTCACTATTCTTTTTTTATTTTAAAATAAATTGTCTTCTAAAGCAACTTTTATGATAGCACTCTATTTTTTTTTAAACATCACATCTGTTGCTCCAGCTTTCCGAACTAAATATCTATAATCTTTCTGCATTAAAGGAGGTTTGGCCTGGTTGTTGTAAAGACAGCAATGGATTTGAATGAATTCAGTTTTCTATCAATTCTCATTGCAGCAGAGAGAAGTAACCCATCATGAAATAATTCTTACAGCTTTTCAAGTTTCTTTATTATCTGGTTATCATTCATCACAGGGAGGGCAAAGAGGGTTGTCTTTCCATTTGCTCAGTGTTACACCTAGACAACAATGATTAACTATGGTATCTTGTTTAATTAATCAGTGCTTGGGAAGAAAATCAATTGGGATGGCCTCTATCATGTAACTGCAGACATGAAACCATGTTTTGTGGAAGACATCACTGTTATCATCATAATTCAAGAAAAGATGAAAAAAGAGTTACCATTTTTGCCTCTTGGTTTCTTGCATAAATTAAGAAGAATGTGACAGCCATATTGGTGTAGACATTTCCATTTGGAACATGATCTAATTCTTCATTTAAAAATAACTTTTGTATTGTTTTCAAGCAATCTAGGTCTCTTTAAATACTAGAACTAATCAACAAATAATTACTTAATGGGGTGTAGCAATCTGCTAAAAACAAAACCTACAGAGAGTATTCAACATTTGACATTTTTTAGTTGTCAAGTTTATAAATCTAACAATATAGTCATAAAGTGGTATACTCATGCTTTTCAAATCATTAATATCATGGAGTTCCAAGAATTGTGAATAGAACCAAAAACAGAAAAACAAGAAACTTGCTTTCTTGCATTGTGCAATGTCAGTCAGAATTCGATCTGTCCAGTCCCCTTCAGGTGGATACGAAGTATTGCCTGGCATCCTCTATTATGCACAGATGTCATGAAGTTATGCTTAACAAGAGAACAGAAAAAAAAAAAAAAAAAAGGTTTCACTAAAAAGAGAGATAAGACTCAAATCTTGATATGTATCTTGCTAGCTTTATGGATGCCTTAAAAAAGTTTGTTAAATCTTACTAGGGGCGATAAGAGGCTTAAAATCATTTGTTTGTTTTTTAAATCGATTATGGCAAGGTAAACTGGCAAAAGCTGTGAATTAATGCCCATTAAGAATTGAAAAAAATTGAAAAAAGCTAACCATTTGGGAACCTACTTAGCATTATAATTATCTCTTTCAAAAACAATAACTGCCACAAATATGTGTTACAAGAAATAAAACACAGTCATTTGAATTAAAAATAACAGTACAGACATGAAGGGTGTACTGAGTTCTACATACCTTTCTTTCTTTTTTTTTGTTTTTTGTTAACGTTTACAAACCGTCAAGTACAAAATTTAATGGATACTCTGGAGTAGTTGCCCAGTGGTTGCCAGGATAAGTTCCTTCCTTATTGCTATTTTTTAAAAATGGAAACTGAAAACTTTGATTTATAAAAGTTTCCTTTCATTTGTGTCCTGTTGTGATGCTACATCATTGACATCATCAATATAAGCTAAGGGCCACCAACATTTCTGTTGAGTGCATTATAATAATTATCATTAATATCCAATGAAAGTTACAGTTTTTTGACTGAAAGATTAGAACTAAGCCCAAGAAGGTTTTACAATGGTGACATTGCTTGGGGACAATGTTTGCCACAAATTGGATGCAGCAGAGGTAGAAGCTGTACTTGTTGCCTGAACAGCAGCTGTGGACATGGTTGATGTGGCAGCTGTTGCAGCAGTCATGACCGTTGCAGCCACCATTGCCACAGTACTGGATACTGTACTTGTGGTTGGCAATATTCTCCCAATTACACTAGCATCATTTGGGGCAACAGTTGCATTGAACTTTGTAGCACCAGATGCTTTAATGATTGCCGGAATAATGGTGCAGCCATTGGGCACAGGAGGGCCCAACATGTCATCAAGGATGTATGACATAAGGGACCCTGCAGTCAGTCCAATATTGTATGAGAGTGTCATAATGTTACCTGCAACATCATAGATGAAACTCACATCAGACTAATGTCACATTTGTCTCTTCAAAAAAAGCCTTTTGTTAAAATTTCAAATAGCTACCAGTCAGTTCACGCCGATCTTCAGGCACTTTGCTAGGAGCCTGAATCATAGGAATGCTTCCAACGAGTCCATTTGTGATCCCAAGGAAGAATGACAAAGTCATTGCATAGTATTCTCCTGGTATTGCTGGTCTGCCACGAGGGTAGGCACAGAGCCACAACAAGGGAACAATGCAAGCCCTTGATCCAGCGATGAATAGGAGATTGCCCCGGCTCCAATTTAGTGAGCAAGATGCTATGACCTAAAAAAAAATATTTAAAAAAAAAACTTGCAATATGACTCTAATGTACAACAAATTTTGAACTGCAAGTTTGACAAATCTCACCTTTCCCAACAAATCAGAGGCGTTGAAAATTGCTATAAGGATGACAGGCATCCAACTACCATACCTACAACTGACTATTTCTGTTTCAATCCCAGGATACAGGCATTGTGTTATGAAGTATGCTAATCCAATTGAAAGCATGTAAGGCCACACTACTTTGGCCACCTGCAGACGGATTTCCAAACCTCCTGCAACAAGAAACAGGGATTGTTTAGTGCTAAATTAATATTTTTCATATCTGCAGGACACAGGTGGACAACTTACGTCGGAAACCACGGACTGCCAATGATGGGCGTCTTCTTGCTCTAGCTGTTACATCTTTAGGTGTCTGTACCACAACGTCTTCCACCTTATAAGATGGACCAATGGTTTTTTCCGGTGATCCACTAGTTTGTGCTACAGCAGCTGCAGTCACAGCGGTGACTGGCAATGTGGGAGGAGCACCACTGGGCTCATAAACAGGATTAGCAAAGCTGAATCCAGAAATGCCTGGATCACGGGGGCTCTGCTGAAGTTTAAGTACTCCATATTGACTTCGAGACCCGCTTTCAGTATCAAGAGGCTCCATCTAAAACAAAAAATTTTTAAACTTATTCATTTTGTTTAAAGTTTGAAAACTTTTTTATAAGTAATTAAACCTTAATTGGGGTGACAGAAAGAGAGAAGGTTGAGACCTACCAAGCCTGCATCTTCAGTTGGCTCCAGTGTTATCTTTCGTTCTTGACACAACATTATATAGTACTTGATGAAAGCAGTTCTTCTCACAGTATGGTGCAGACCAAAGCACAATCCAACCATTGCGATGGATATAAGGAAAAATATTAAAGTATTTTCTTGTTGGTCATTAAGCATTAGTTTTGTAACTATGCGAATAAATGACACAAAGAATCCAGCAGCACCTGTAATGATGACAGAATTAACGCCTTGTACTTATCAAAGCTTAATCATTTCAGAACATAAAATTGGTACTTGCTTTCACCAGCCATGACTGCCTGAGTGTAACGAGATGGAAGCATGCTAGTGTAGCCATAAAAACTAGACTGCTGAACTGGAAAAAAATATAATTTTTTACAATGAAAATGGTGAGGAAATAAAAAGAGAAAGTAAATGCAAATGACGATTTTCTCATAATACCTGTGCAGCCTACAGCTAAAACAGCCATTGCTATGAGGTTTATTGAATATGATGTATGATGGCTGAACAATCCCAAATAAATTTCGCACACGGCGACAAAAAGGAGGGTAACAAATGAAACAATGTATCCTGAAAGTAGAAGCAAATTGACACAATTTTAGGAAAACGTTGGGTAAGAAGCGTGTATACTCAATCAGAGCACAAAACATACCAAAGGTGATTCGAGTGTGAAGTGACAGGCTTTCCACCAAGAGATTGTTGACCAGAACGGCGAAGAAGCCCATGAATATGTAAACTACATTCATGTCAAAAATAATTGTTGTGTTTGGGTATTGACTTTGGAAATAGTCAACAGCAACAATAAAGCTAGAATAGAAAAATAAAAATAGCTTGGTGTTAGAGGTCCTCATTGCACCACAATAATTCAATGCAGACGCAGAAACTTGGGAGCATGGCATAAAAACCTGTTATAAGGAAGGAGAAATCCGACACCCGCAAATACGAGAGAGAAATAAATGCAGTTGCAGTTATCGCCGGGAGGTGACATTTGGCGCGACGTCCACTCTTTCTCGGTGCTCGGTTTGAATTCAGACACCTTCTTGTGTGCCTTGCTGTCAAGCATGAGGTACCCCATACCCACTTTGTCCAAATCTTCGATTTCGGCCCCCATGCCTAAGGCACTCATATTGGCGGCACAAACGTCGCTCGACAAAAAAAACAACACTCGACCGTGGGCGGAGTTTGCCTCGTTAGTGGCACATGCAGAACATGGGTCGATATAAAATTTCTAAAAAACTTTCAGAAACCCATTTAGTCGCAATGCAGACTGTGACTGTTTCGAAGAGAAAGAGAAAGCCAGAGACACCGAGTTCGCCTTCAACACGTTTCATTGCGACAGAAACCCCGTGTACGCATGTCCAAGACCATTGATTTTCTGCGCCAAATGGCTGACGGAACGCAGTGCGGGCCCCCGGGCTGGCCAACAGACAACGTTGAACTTTGATGGATTTCTGATCGTATGCGACAAATAAAAGGTCTAAAACATTCCAGGTTTCAAATTTTATCAATTTTTATCAAATTTGAGACCCTTTGACCTGTCATTATAGTTTTCAAAACCAGTCGGAGTTTTCGTGACTTTCCTTCACGGGCAGTTGTCTCTCGGGGAATTCATTATTTGGATCAACAGTTGAAAGTGCTGGAAGTACGCAGAGCGCACATCAGCGCAGTTGTCAAGTGCCTCAAATTGTACAACGAAATTGAGTTAAATTCCAAATCCGTCAACAATGTCTTTGAACACCGCCCACACCAATGACGGCGTGCTCATCCACATGGGCGAACAGTACGTATGGCAGTCCTCGGCATCACTGCCTTGGCCCACTTTGTTGTCTGGAGACTGAGTCACTGACGTCTGGAAGGTTCCCCTTTTCTCTAAATTTCCTCGCCCTTGCTCAGAGTGTGAAAATGCGTGTCCTACGCCGGCTTTCCTGCCATTTAGGCCCCTTGCCCGCCCCTGCATCGCTTCCTGCAGCTCACTGCAACCTACTTCTCCAGAGATGGGGTCCCTCGGTTCCGTAGAGGTTATAGTTTGGCAGTTCCCTTCTTTGACTAATATTTGTTGCAGACATGTTGTTTGGCAGTTTTCTGTACCATGCGCCAACTTATCCACAATTTTTCTACTGTCTTTAGTTGTTGCCGTAGGATTCGAAGTCAGAGTGCTCATGACCACTGTTTACATATATTGTGCAATGTTTATCTTGACAGATGTACAGTAGTCCAGTCAATGTTTGTGCAGTGACTAATTTTAATATACCTTCAACTAACATTCAAATTCAAATTAAATTTCTCATTTTCTGTATTTTTTGACTTTGTACTATTGAACTTCTAATCTTAGCTAATGACTTAGGCAGATTCAATAAGGTCAGTGAAAACTGAAAGCAAATCTGTAACACACCTTCATTTCAGGATTTTTCTATTCTGCGATGATGTCACCATGGAATTTCATCATGTGGAGCAGGAAGTTTTTCGTGGATCTAAACGAGGTCGCCTCTATCTGACAACCCACCGAATGATCTTTACCAACAAGAATGCATCAGACAAATTGATGTCATTTTCATTCCCATTCGTCAGCATTAGTGAGGTAAAGCATTTGTGTTTATTTGGTTGATTCTTCAGCCTATTGTCCTCAAAATAATTTTTTACATTGTCTTCCATCCCTGACCAGGTTGAACTTGAGCAGCCTGTTTTCGGAGCTAATTACATCAAAGGCAAGGTCCGGGCGCAACCCAATGGAAATTGGGTGGGTGAAGCCAAATTCAAGCTCATGTTCAAGTCCGGTGGATGCATTGAGTTTGGACAAGTTCTGCTGAAAGCTGCGCAAATGGGTCAGTTATTTCAAGAGTTATTCATAGTTATTGTGGAGGAATTATGTTTTAGTTAAAATACATAGCAAAGTGTCAAATTTTATACTTTCTCTCCTATAGCGATGCGCATGGGCCCTCCGGATTATGCTCCTCCACCCTATGTGCCCCCAACTGGACCGTGGTACGCTGCTCCAGCACCTGCATACGCCCCCAATCCTACGGGCTACTATGGCTGGGTACCACCAACAGATGCATTTCCGCATGCCCCTGCAGGTCTGTTCCACACTTCTAAACCACTTTTTCTCATTATAAACTATTTTGTGTTGCTCCTGTTGTTCAACATGGTCTCTTTTCTTCTTTGGAACAGCAAATACCGTCTTCATGACGGACATGCCCCCTCCGTATCCAGGTATCAATGGCTACAATGGCTACGCTAATGCCCCCTCTGCCCCTGGGGCTGCCGGCTTCACAATGCCTCAAAATACCTCCTCTCAGGGTATGTATTCTTTCAGTTTGTAAGCTGTGTACCCCTACGCCACAGAAATTAATAAACTTAACTTTTTTTCTCTCCTTAAGATGCCAAAGCAGCTGAGGCAGCTCAGAGTGCCTACTACGATCCAAACAAACCACAGAGTGCGTGGGTACCACCACCTTCCTACTATGTAAGTATTTGAGATTTTTTGAAAATGATTATTTGATGTTTCCATTCTCTGCAACTGTCATGGTTCTTTTCAGGAACCTCCTCCATCCTACCACCATGCAACTGGCAAGAAAGATCAGTAGAGTTCTTTCATGTGAGAACTACATGAATGTTTGAGTGTAAGCAGTTCTGTCCATCAATAGTTGTGAAATTTCTTTGTTCTGTGGCCTTGGTTTACAAGTAATGTAACAAACAATTTGGAAGGAGAGAAAATTATGAAAAGTAATACAATCTAAGATGGCTGTTCAGTGATCTTTTGTTTTGTGAGGTAGTCTCGCAAATTATTATTGTTTAGTATGTCCCTTATTTTGTGCCTTTCTGGATTCGGTTTTGGTACTTTTTATTCTAAAATGCTGTAATCTTAAGTGTCATGAGTAATGTTTTCAATCTTGGACCATATTATGTAATGTTAAGGCTTAATGATAGAATAGCAAAAATTCATTTGTTTGGCTTATCATGTTAATGCAGATGAGAAAGAATGTGCATGCAATATTTTATTACAATCTCACCCTTTTTATTAGTTGTTTTGTTGGTAGATTTTGTCTAGAAGTCCCTAGCTTTTAACTGTGACAACATTCAGAATCTATGAAGTTACTGTAAAATGACATGATACCACTTGACGGTTTTTGCAAGTTTTAGAAGCAATTAATAACATTAAATTACATCACTTTGCTTTGCTGATGTCCAAAAGACGAGAAAAGTAGCACAAAGCACTTATAGTTTTATTAGTTGCAAGGTTCTTCATCCCTTTTCTTTCAGATTTTATATTTAATATTGACTGATCGGAATTGGAGGTGATGTGGAGTGCTCATATTACATATGTAGTGATTTGTTAATGCTATGAGAAAGGTTTGTAATGTTTTGAAAAGAAGTGTAAGGTTCATAGATTTTTCTTAATCTTGTTTTCAAACAAAATTAATCCAAACAATGTTACTGACTCAGTTTTCCACAATTATATCATTGGATTAGGCCTCATTCATTTTGCCCAGTGGTGTTCACGTGTTTGATTTGCTCTTATTTGAAGTTGTCAAATCGCAGTTACTGAAATACTTTTATGTGATACTCATGTTATTCTGTATCTAAATTTACTGCACTAGCCTGTGAATATTCTTTTGAAGAGGCAACTCCCTATTGAAGGTTGTATTTAACCTGTGCACATACCAGTTTGTGAATTAAGTGTATGATATACTTCAAGAGCCTGATAAAGGTTTTGTTTTTGTTAAAATTTTATGATGAGCATGCCTGCTTTAGTGAGTTTGAGGTGGGAATTGCTGATTGTTAATGTTGATTTTGATAACTTCTATTGTTCACTTTAATATATTCTTGTATTGTGAATTATCTCCAAAGATTGCATTCTTGCAAAGCCAGTTATTATACTCCATGCTTCTCTTTCATTATGAAGATCCATAGTATTTTGTTTTTATTTGATTGAAGCAACTTGGTTAAATAAGCCGGTTATCGGTGCTGTGATTTTATCATTATATTATGTAGCAGTGTCTCGTGCTGTACTGTACTCTTATTTTTATCATCCTATTTTCTATAATATGTTTGCCTCATGTTATAAAAGTGTATTCCGCTTGTTAATTCATTGAATGTGAATAAACATTAATTATTGGTTGCTAAGGAGGCATTAATTTCTCACATGGCTCAATCCCTGTAGGCTATTGCCACTTTCGGACTGTGAACTACAAGCATGCTTGTGACTCAGCCTTTGCACAGAGTCCAACATTGAAGTCCGGAAACAAAATGGTCAGATACTGTCACTTCAGATTGCGGCCTGGTTTTGTTCCCCTATAAGCACAGAAGTGTTCTAGGATGGATGGTATGATGGCTTATCGAACACGCATCAGAGTCCCACCTCACTTTCGGGCTCAAACTAAGATTGTTTGGAAACGGGACTAGTCGCAAGCGTTCTCAACTTTAGGAAGAACAAGCACCTTGTAGACGCGAAAAGTACCTTTAAAAATCTGCACTCGAACGCTAGAGGTCTGCTGAGGCCTAACAGCGCTGATGACGATGACTTCTCGCTCTCGCTGCTCTCGCGAGCTAGCGCCTGCCAGGTAGGCAACCATCCCGTCCCGCGACACACCGGTGTCAGGACGGTGGCCTACCCTGCCCCGTGCGATTGCGATTAACGGCTGGCTCGCTGGGGCTCGCTGGCACGCTTGTGCTGCTGCGCCGAGGGGTGATCCACTGTAAAATTTTGTGTACAATGATTGTGTGAATGTGCAAGATTTCTGGTGTTTTTGCCACATGTGTTGCCTACTTACAGGCGTTTTTGCCACCTGAATGTGAAATGGGGTCAAATTTTGTACAATGAATGTGGGAAGCTGTTCCCCCCTCGTGCTGCGCTGCCACGTCCGCCTTCAGCCTGAGTCCACCAAAAGCGCCCTTCGAAGCGTCCCATCCCACAGCGTCCTTTCGTGGCGCTCTTCTGTGCACTGAGAAAACCTTACAAACTATTTTGGGCGTTACAAAGAAAATTAGTTTGTATAACAAAGTATTTTGAGCATACGTAAGCTAACAAAGAAAATACTTCGTAATTTACGAACTATTTCTTCGTATAACAAAGTATTTTAGTTTGTTATACGTATGCTCAAAATACTTCGTAAGGTTTTAAGAGTGTGGCCGCGACTACACGTTTGCTCGGAGAGGCTTGTGAGAGGGCTGACCATGCCGCCCTAGCCCTCACTATCCACGCCTGCGTCACGCGAAGAGAAGAAGATGATGGCGCCTTTTTTGTCGGTGGGGTGGGGGTGGGGGCATGGGGGTCAAAAATGACGCACATGTGGCCGGCGTGGGACGGTCCGGGACGGTCCGCGTTCTGGAGGGTGGCCTGTCGTCGGCGCGCGGCCCGCACGGCCGGCCCAGTAGACTTACTCCGAGAGTCGTTTTCGTCGCCCTGTCTCTCTCGCACGTACAGGGGGCGCCCCATGAGTGCGAGAGAGACGGGGCGACGAAAACGACTCTCGGAATCGGTCTGCAGTAACAACAGGGGCTTGACGGGGACGCCGGGGATTAGCACGCATAAATCAGGGGGAGGCAGCCAAAGGCAGCGCGGCTCCATTCCGAGCAGAGCTCTCGTCGCTCCGTCTCTGTCGCACTCACGGGGCAAGGGGCGTCGCGCAGGAGGGCGTGAGAGAGACGGGGCGACGACGGCGCCGTTCGGAATCGAGCTGCAGGGGCCTCATGGCGGCAAAACCTACAATTAGAACGAAACAAACAGGTCCGAGTGTGGCAACGCGATTCGGGGGGAGGGGGGGGGGGAGAGGAGGACCGCCGGGCCGGGACGTGCACCGCTTTTCGCCAAAACGGTTTTCGCGTTCGGCGTGCACATTATTCGCCCGTCTCGGTTTTGTTTTGGTCGCGGGTTGCGGAACGCAGCGCGCCCAGTCAAAGCGCCTCCGTGTGACCGCGCCGCCGCTGTGGCCGCGGGGTCCTCGCGGGGTGCTGCGGGCTGATTCCGAACAACGCTCTCGTCGCTCTCTCGCACCTGCTGCACCACCCTGACGCCCCCCCTTGGCGTCGAGCGGGAGCAGGAGGCTCTAGTACACTGGTAAAACTAAAGCGTAGCATTACCCACTGTTTTCAAGCGTAATCAGGTTACGCTTGAAATCAAGCGTAACAGGCTCATCCGCCAAGATTCCCCCTATCAAAATGCATGGGGGAATTTCTAGTCTATGCTTGATTTCAAGCGTAACTTCTTCAAGCGTAACTTTATGCTTGACTCAAGCATAGAGTTACGCTTTAGTTTTACCAGTGTACTCGGTTGCAATGGACTGGTCCTTCCAAGACCACTCGGACGAGCATCCTTCGACGGTTTATCAACGCACAACCCTACAAGGGAGCAGCCTGCAGAACCCCACCTTTTCCTGGCGCGCAGTGGGGAAGTACCCAAGCCACCCACGTCATTGCCTGGTTCTTGACGAGAATGTACACTACCATCATTCGCCAGGCGCAGTAATTTGAAGGGAGGGGACCCCACACCCCCCAACCCCAGCCCGCCCTAGATAGACACCCTGGAAGGTAGTCAACAAGCAGGTCTTTGCCCCAGTAAGTAGGTAAAAATCGCTAAATTACCACTCCATAGAAAAATCCTGGCTCCGCGCCTGTCATTCGCAAACGGCGAGCCGACTTCTGAAAGTCCTCCATGCACGCAGCAAGGCCGAGCAAGGCCTTCCCCCTTCCCCACCTCTCGCGGCTGCATTTTTCGTCTGTATCCCAAAAATCGCTCCGTTACAGGGGCAAAGTGCGACTTTTTGTCTACCGTTCAAGTGGCACCAGACCCCCCCCCCCCTTTTCCCGCGCCTGGAGGCGGCGGCACCAATAAGGGCCAAGGCCGCCAAGGCCGCGACTCAAGGGAGCCAAACGAAGTCCGACAAGTCCGGCATGTGGGGCTGCCGGCTGCGAGCTGCCGGTCGAACAGGACAGGGCAGGGCGGGGCGGGGCGGGGCGGGGCGGGGCGGGGCGGGGCGGGGCGGGGCAGGGCAGGGCAGGGCAGGGCGGGGCGGGGCGGGGCGGGGCGGGCGGGGCGCGGCGGGGCAGGGCAGGGCAGGGCAGGGCAGGGCAGGGCGGGGCGGGGTGGGGCGGGGCGGGGCGGGGCGGGGCAGGGCAGGGCAGGGCGGGGCAGGGCGGGCGGGGCGGGGCAGGGCAGGGCAGGGCAGGGCAGGGCTGGACCGGCCCCACCCACCAGGCATTCATTGGTTCATTGGCGAATCCAGCTTTGTGCAGCTTTGGTAGAACTGGGTAGAACGCCCAGGTATGTACGTACCGGACCGACACTGTCAACAGCCTCCGCGCGCAGCTCACGAAAAAAAAGAATTTGTTGTGACAACGAAAATGTATGTTGATTTTGGGATAGCAAAAAAAAAGTTGTTAGACGTACTATAAATTTGTTGTGAGAACGAACACTTTGCTCTCACGACAAATTATTCGTCAGGAGTACAAACATTCATTTTTATTGTGTTTAGTACTCCTGACGATATAGTTCGTTGTCAGAACGAAATGTTCGTTCAGACAACAAATTGGTAGTACGCCCAACAACTTTTTTTAGCTATCCCAAAATCAACATACATTTTCGTCGCCACAACAAATTCTTTTTTTACGTGCTCGCCCTTTTTGGGGAGGAGGGGGGAAATTGGCACTTTTTGCCTCCTCCACACTAAACCTTGTCACTTTTTGTACGTGAGTGACGCACTTTGTCAAACGTTACCAAACCCCTTTTCCCTCCCTGTATCCGCCCCTGGCTTTCTTGGTCCTGCTAGTGTGGCATTGAGCGCAGTGTAGCAATGCATCAATCCAATGGACCACTCCGAGCATGGTCGTCCAGGCGGTGCACCTACACTGCCTACACTTCGACGTGCAGCGGACGCGCTGACTAGTATTTGGACTACGCGGCCAACAACCGCGACCCAGTGGCGGTCGTCGCTGACCGAATTTTCTCGCCTACGTGACCGAAGGTGGACAGACAGACAGACGGACGGACAGACGGATAGGCAGACCAGCGATACGCGAGCAGCGGGCTCGTTGGTCGTTGCGCTTATGTTGTTGAGCCGCACCGGTTTGGCAGAGAGGGGTGGGCCGTTATCCTACGCCACTGGTCAGCCATGACGTCACAGGAGGGCTCCGGGGATTCCATAGAAGACCGTTGGAGGCAGCCGAAAGTCCCGACTCGTTTTGAGGTCCAGAGTCGCTAAATGGGACTCGAACCGAACGTGTGACCTCACCAATGGATTCCTCGTTCGGAGAGCAATCCATTGGTGGGGTCAAATTCGGCTCGAGTCTCATTTAGCCACTCTGGAGCTGAAAATCCATCCGGAATTTTGACTGCCTCCACCGGTCTTCTGGCTCACTATGCGCTCCCGAGGTGAACGCCGGTGAGGCCGAAAGCGCAGGGAAGTTGTCGCAGGACTTCCCTCCCCCAACCCCGGCCCTCCCACCCTCCTGCAGTCGCGGGTGGATCCAGAGGTGGCCTGAGGGGGGCAAAGTAGCACCTGGTAACACTTTTGGCTTATTTGGGTAAACTGTTGCTTTTTGTCTACCCTTTCAGGTGGCTATCCGAGGCTGTCAAGGAGTTACTGTGCTTTTGCCCCACCCCTCCTTCTCGATCGCTTGCCTTCCTGGAGCTTTCTTGGCCAGGGAAGGCCGAGGCGGGAGACCCGGGCAGCCATCGGGAGAGTCTCAAGTTATTAGTTGCAGTTACGTCACCACTTATCAGGGCAGGCCGGCCGGGCCTTGAGCCTTCGGCAAGGCCTTCGGGCCGGGGCACACCGGTGTGGATATTTCGCCCGTGGCCACAAACCAATCGCGCGAAACGGCGTGAATTTCCATTTTAAAAGGAGGCCGGCCGGCCGGGCTTCGCCTGCTTCGCCTGACTTGGTCGCGGCCACCTCGAGGTGTCGATGACGGCGGTGACCCTTGCCGCCGCTGGGCCGCGTCCGCGCCGTCCGCGGCGGCCGGCCTCCGCGCCGCACCTGCAGACTGATTCCGAGAGTCGTTTTCGTCGCTCTGTCTCTCTCGCACCGATACGGCACGCCACATGAGTGCGAGAGAGACAGAGCGACGAAAGAGCGCGCTGCGTCCGGAACGCGACGGGGAGCGGCCTGCAGACCCGGCCCGGGGGCAGCCCTTCGGCGCCGTGCCTCGGCACTGCCTCCACTTGGCGGCTAGGCCGCATGGCCTGGCTCTCTAGCCTGGCCATGCCGGGCCATGCCGTGGCGGTGCAGAAACGCGAATCGCAATCATAGCGCCGCGCGTGCACGGCCGCGTTTTGTACGCCTCATTCAGATCGGGATTCGGCTGCGCCAGTGTACGCCAGTGCGCCCGCCTACGGCTACGGCGCACAGTGGGCCAGAAGATCGGCGAAGGCAGTTGAAGTCCCGGACGCGTTTTGAGCTCCAGAGTGACTAGACAGGACTCGAACCGAACGTGTGACCCCACCAATGGATGGCTCTCCGAACGAGGAATCCATTGGTGGGGTCACACGCTCGGTTCGAGTCTTGTTTTGCGACTCTGGAGCTCATAACGCGTCTAGAGTTTTGGCCGCATGCGCCGGTCTGGTCTTCTGGCCCACTGTGCGGCGGCCTACGGCGGCCTACGTGTGGTGCGAGCAATCCGTCACCATGGAACTCCATGCCGTCACTGCGCGCTGCCGAGCCGAGCCATTCAAGAGAGTCGGTCCGTCGCTATCTGTCTTTGTCGCACTCGAGGGGCTCTCCATAGGGGTGCGAGAGAGACAGCGACGAACTGCTCTCCTGAATCGCTCGGCTGCACGCCGCGCCGCGGCGCTGCGCGAAACAGGACAAGACGGACAGGGCTGCGGTTCGTGTCGTGGCGCGCTGCGCGCTGCACGGGGTCAGGCTTGGGGGGCGGCCGAGCCGTGGCCCAGCCGTGGCCGAGCCCCTGCTTTGCATACCAGACCTGCATCCGCCTAGAACACGTTCGCAGAATGGCCGTTGTTGGACACTACACCCACTCGACCCACATTACACTGAGGGGATCAATGCACACCCCGAGAACCAAAGACCAGGGAATTCCCATCCACGCATTTTTGCTCCGAGTCCCGCCGAACGTTGTTCCTCGCAGGCGAAAACCTCTGGGGAAAACCGAGTGATCTTCTGACAGAACAACGTATCTTCGTTGGGAATCCCGCGGCAGCTACGCTGTTATGTACGAATGCCACACAACTGAGGCACTGAATTCGCCCGCTGATTAGCCCATGACCCAACTAACTGCTGCCCGCCGAACTAACTCACTCCGCACAGTTGTTGGTCGCATAGATATCTCTGGTCTGGACCGTTCTTGTGCATTTCAGAGACTTGAACGCGTGGCAGACCGAGAGGAGCGGCCCGTCTTGAGCGCCCTTCAGCGCCTGTAAGGTAGAGTTACCAGCTCGCCCCACACAACGTAGCGCCTGTAAGGTAGAGTTACCAGCTCGCCCCACACAATGTAGCGCCTGAGAGGTAGGCCACCGGCTCGCCCCGTAACACACCGGCGTGGAGACGGTGGCATACCTTGCCCCTGCCAAGTTAAAGTCCTATTTACAGGGCTTTACTGCCAAGTCACCGGTGTGAGCTGGCGGAGCTGGCGATCTACCACTCGGCAGCGTCAAAGGCCTGTATATCGGCCCAGTGCGACCCAAGCGAGCGTGTTCTTGGTGAAGGAAGCTGTCATTCCTTACGGATCCTCCTTCACTACAAATCCAAAGGTGAGACTTCCCGCCACTCCAGAGGTGAGACAAAAGGGCTTGCGCCAAAATTTGGCGAGACAAAAAAATGTCTCACCACAAAATGCCAAGATATTTTATGGGGAGAAATTTTGGTATCGATCTGAAAGGTCTGATCAACACTTCGGAAGACTTTTTGTCTCGCCATATTTTGGCGCAGAGCCTTTCCACCTATTGTTTAATGCTCTTGGCCTCACCCGCTCGAAGGAACCGTGCTTCTGTGCACAGGAACGGGAACCGTCTTGATGCTACCCGCGCGCCGTGCGAGCAGGCAACCCATCCAACATCAGTTAGCTTTTTAGGTTTACTCAATTTCTCATATCCGAGCGACACACGTAGCCTTGCACCCCGCCGACCGAACCGAGGTATACTCTTCCCAGCGTAACCTTTCCGAAAGTAGTCCCTTGGCCGTTTTATCCCCACATTGGCACAGATTATTCGATGTTTCTCCCAAACTAAAGATTGATTCTCAAAATGAGGGCGAACGGGGCAGACAAAAATGTGTGGGCCTTTGACTGAAATAAGTTGTTATTATCGAATCTCTTCCAGTTGCTCAAACCTAATGCAGAAAGTTTGGAGCTCGGTCCAGAGGAGAAGCCGACCTCTCTCACACAGACCAAAACTTCTAAAGAATGAGACAAAATTTCAAAAAAAGAAGGTGAACGGGGCAGACAAAAATGTGTGGGCCTTTGACTGAAATAAGTTGTTATTATTGAATATCTTCCAGTTGCTCAAACCTAATGCAGAAAGTTTGGAGCACGGTCCAGAGGAGAAGCGAACCTGGTGCATTTAAACCAAAATTTTAAAAGAATAAGCCAGAATTCCACAAAATGAACGCGAGCTGGGCATACAAAATAGTGTGGGGCTTAGACCTATGCAAGCTCCTTTTATGGAATCTCTTCCAGTCACTCAATGTAAGTGCGAAAAGAGGTTCCGAGAGACCGTTGTTTTGAAGGGCTCGGACCGGCACGTCGTCTGCCCGCGGAAATGCAAAACCCGGAATGCGTAATGATTAAGTCCGAAATTGTTCGTAATTTTTCAATGTTGTTTATTTATACGATTAATTATGATGGCAACGGTCTAGGGTTGAGTATTAGTTTTAATAAACCGCATTACCTGCAGGACTATTTTCTGTTCTCTGTTTACTGGCGGAGTGATTTAGAAAGGTTATGCTGGGACGAGTAGGGTAGGTAAGGGTACCCCCCCCACCCCCACCCCCACCCCCTATGGACCGAACTCTCCCTCATGGAACTTGTATATATAACGCGTACGGCACTACGGGAACTAGACGGGAATTAATGCATCGAGTTTTCCAGGTAATTTAATCACGCACAAAATAAACTGGTCGAGTACCCTCGCTGTGCGGCTTTTCTTAAGGGGAAAATGTTTTGAAGGAGAATATGTTTGGGTATGATCCATGTGGAAAGAGAGGTTATGTTTTGTTTCTCTTCATAAGTTAGGGCTAGAGAGCCTGGAGAGGATTGAGGGTTACAGTACTTAAAGCACAAAAGGACGGTTATTTATTATTATAGGGATTTCTTATTTTAAGAACACTCCCCCGAATGGTGTCGTCTGAAAGGAACAATGTTAGTTATCCTTTTGCGGCAGGTAGTATGATTTTACAAGTCTGTCCTGAAATTCAGTGAAGTTATTTGTTTGTAGTGTTATGATGTGCCTTTTTTGATGAAGCTTGAGAATTGGAAATTAGAGTCCACAATACTTGAATCAATTTTCTTATTAAGTTTTAAGGAGTTCCCATAAAGTTATTGTTTCTCATATCATCGGATTGCCAACCCTTTGGTATCTCCGCTTATTTGGCTCAAGCTTTCAGGAATGCAAGGAGTTTAGGTAGAAAGTACCACCTTAAAAATTCAGACCTCTAGCTAGCACCTGATGGCTGCGGAGAAGCATGACTATTTTGAGACAAAGCTGCGAGAAGAAACTCTTTTAAAGTTAATTGTTCAAATGAAAGTCATTTTGGAATCTGAGGTATGTGGCTGTTCCATATTCATGAGCAGTCAAAAAAATTGATTTAGGGAAGATTCTTTGAATCCGTAAATGACAAGGGACATACGAGTTGGAAGATAGATTTGTTCAGAAGATGAAATTGCTTATATCTATGAAACATATCCTCCAAAGTATGTAATGTTTTTACTTTACGTACTCGTTTTGAAGGGGAACTTTAAAGAAGGGGAGCTTTAAAGAAATGGATGGGGCAGTTCGTCAGGGTATCAAACAAATAAAATGGGGGTTTTGCAGTGCTGTTTCATGTTTTTAAATCTTTTACTAGCTCTGACCCGGCTGTTCTGGACCCTCATACCTCTCTTTCATCCAACCTTTTGCACTGAAATGCTGATCAGGACTAAGAATATGATGATAGGTAGAGTCGATAGTGGTATGCAATGTGAAGCGTCTAAATATCTGCTGCAGTCTGGAAAAAAATAGCTGGAAGAAACTTTGAGCGTAAACTGATAGCAGATACATTTTTTTTTAAAATTTAAGGAACCATTCTTGGTCTTAATGTGTCCTTTCACTTCTGTATTTGAGAAATGATTCGATTTGGTTTTCATCTTCCAAGTAAAATTATTTTTCAGCTGGTTTGTAATTTTGTTTTAGTTATGGATCTGATTGTTATGGTGAACCTTTTCACTGGAAAGAATATTTTTAATTTCTCTAAAATGTATTTGCTAATTTTTGCAAAAAAAATTTGCGGAGCTCGGGTAAATTTTTCTTTCATCAAGTTGCTCTGCTAGTGTCGACTGAAAAGTTGACCTACTATCTAGAAACTCAAGTGCGTACATGACCCATCTTGAATACTGTCAGGTAAAATTGGTAGCATAGGTTCTTTGTTAATATAACAAAAAAAAAACTTTCTCAGTTAAGACAGTTTGATTTGGGGAGAATGAAGATTTTAGATGACTAACTTCTGGTTCCTATTAACCCGTCCGGTCGTGTGAGTGCGTGGTCAATCCCCAATCCCTCTTTACCCTTATGGACATTTTTTTGTTACTTGTCATCTACTTCCATAAGCACACAAGATGGTGGCCATTTTGTGAGAAATCAAGAACCTATATAGCCCCAATCCGACTGACTGACTCACTCACTCACTCACTCACTCACTCATAGAAATGTTTGGGGTCAAGGAGTGGTCGTAGAGACTTGCGGTTTTTTCCATTCAATTCCAAATTTTACGGGAAAATTGGGAAAAATCCCAAAAGTTGAAAATTCCTCACCTTTTCCGAGCAAACCTACTTAATCTTCAAAAAAGGGGACCAAATTCCTCACCGTTTCCGAGCAAACCCACTCAATCTTTGAAAAAGGGGACCGACCGACTAAAAAAATTTATTCGCCCTATCGGTAGGTCTGGTTGAGACATTTCCAAAAGTGTGCCGCAATCTGGTCCCCGTCACCGGCAACATCCTAAAAACGATATAAAAATAGGCCTAAATTCAACAAAATCCACTCAATCTTCAAAAAAGGGGACCGACCGACTGAAAATTTTTATTCGCCCTATCGGTAGGTCTGGTCGAGACATTTCCGAAACTGTGCCGCAATCGGGTCCCCGTCACCGGCAACACCCTCAAAACGATTAAATAGGCCTAAATTCAACAAAATCCACTCAATCTTCAAAAAAGGGGACCGACCGACTGAAAATTTTCATTCGCCCTATCGATAGGTCAAGTCGACACATCTGAAACTATGCCGCAATCGGGTCCCCATCACCGGCAACGTTCTCAAAATCATCAATCAAGAACCTAAATAGCCCCTAAATCCGACTGACTGAGTCCCTCACTCACTCACTTTGTTTGGGGTCAAGGAATAGTCGTAGAGACTTGAGGTTCTTTCCATTCGATTCCAAATTTTATGGGAAAATGGGATTAAATCCCGAAAGTTGAAAATTCCTCACCGTTTTCGAGCAAACCTACTCAATCTTCTAAAAAGGGGACCGACTTACTAAAAAAGTTTAAGCGCCCCATCGGTAGGTCTGGTCGAGAATTTCCGAAACTGTACCGCAGTCGGGTCCCAGCCACCGGCAATGGGGTCAATCATCATCAAGAACCTATATGGCCCCAATCCGACTGACTCACTCACTGACGCACTCACTCACTCACTCACTCATAGAAATGTTTAAGGGTCAAGGGGTGGTCGTAGAGACTTCCATTCACCTCTTTCCTTGTCAAAGCAGTCTTCAATATTTTCCGGACCTTGTATGAACCCATTGACTGCCACAGTAGCCAATGCAATACAAGCTATCGATTTGGGCAGTAAAAGTATAGCTTAATTATATGGTCAAAAGCTGTTAAATAGACCTTTCAAAGAAGCAGTACATAAACTTCCTTAGAAAATTTGCCTTTGATCACCACGGACTTGCTGAAAATACTTCGGCACGCGCCCCACACATGCGGGGGTCTGGGGGCGGAGCCCCCAGCGAGCAGCGCGAGTACAGTATCTATGTATCAACTTGCATCAAGGCAGCATAAAAATTTTCTGTCTTTTTAGATGTGATTGCACAAAATCCTTCACCAGTTAGAAAAGTTAGAAAAAAAAAGAAGAAGAGGGGTTTTGGTTGACGGGTCAGAGACGGGGCAGAGAGGGGGAGGTTCATTCCCGATTTCTCGACGAAATATCCTGAAAGTTTTTAAAAAAAAACCTAATGTATTTTTAATTATTCTTTTCTCACCTACTACAGATTTGTTCAAAGTTAAACGTCGCACCGGTTGGGCATCGTGCTGCCGAAGGGCATCCAGCCCAGCGCTCCAGAGGTACGTAGGACATCAAAAATGGATTATAAGTCACGTAAATAGCAACTGAATCACAAGACAGTGCGTGTTTCAGGATACACCTTCCGATCATACGATGAGCTCGATGGCCCTCAAATGCTCTCTTTGTGGCGAAGTGTTCTCTTGCCAGTCCAAGCTGACTGCGCACACACGCATTCACACAAAGCCATATGAGTGCAATGTTTGCAAGAAGACTTTTACTCATGAATCTCGCCTTCAAACCCATCTTCAAACCCATACCAGAGAGAAGCGCGTCGAGTGTACAGTTTGCAATCGGAACTTCAGTAGCTCCATTCAACATCGTGCTCATCTTATGATTCATACCGGGGAGAAACCTTTTGAACCCATAATTTGCAATGAGAAGTTCACTCAATCAAGTGGTCTCAAGACACACCTTAAAGGAGTCCATTCACAGGAAGGGCCTCTCAAGTGTTCAGTTTGCGACAAGAAATTTACTAATTTTAGGCTTTTTAAAACTCATTTTCGAATTCATGCCGGGGAGCAGCCTTTTGAGTGCACTGTCTGCAATAAGAAGTTTACTCAGATCGATCATCTGAGACGTCATATTCGAACCCATACAGAGGAGAAGCCCAAGCCTCTCGAGTGCACAGTTTGTGATGTAAAGTTCATTTCTTCAGACCAACTTAAAAGTCATCTTAGAATTCATACAGGGGAGAAGCCATTTGAGTGCCATGTCTGCGATAAGAAGTTTACTCGGGGTGGTGATTTGAGATCTCATCTTCGAACCCATACAGGGGAGAAGCCATTTGAGTGCCTTGTCTGCAATAAGAAGTTTTCTCACGGCCATCAACTGAGATGTCATCTTCGAACCCATACAGGGGAGAGGCCTTACGAGTGCTCAGTTTGCAATAGGAAGTTTAGTGGCCTATCCAACCTTAAAGACCATCTTAAAATCCATTTAGGGGAGAAGCCTTTCGAGTGCACAGTTTGTAATGCGAAGTTCATTTCTTCAGACCGACTTAAAAGTCATTTTCGAGCCCATACAGGGGAGATGCCATTTGAGTGCGATGTCTGCAATAAGAAGTTTACTCATAGCCATCATCTGAGACGTCATATTCGAACCCATACAGGAGAGAGGCCTTACGAGTGCTCAGTTTGTAACAGGAAGTTCAGATTCATAAGCAACCTTAAAGACCATCTTAAAATCCATTTAGGGGAGAGGCCTTTCGAGTGCACAGTTTGTAATGCGAAGTTTATTTCTTCAGACCAACTTAAAAATCATCTTCGAGCGCATACAGGGGAGAAGCCATTTGAGTGCCTTGTCTGCAATAAGAAGTTTTCTCATAGAAGTAGTCTGAATTCTCATCTTCGAACCCATACAGGAGAGAGGCCTTACGAGTGCTCAGTTTGCAATAGGAAGTTTAGTGGCATATCCAACCTTAAAAAACATCTTACAACCCATTCAGGAGAGAGGCCTTATAAGTGCACAATTTGCAATGAAGAGTTTGGTCATGATGCTTCTCTTAGAAAACATAATCTGAGAGCCCACGCCTCGAAAAAGCCTTACAGATGTACCGTTTGCAATATGAATTTTACTCAGTCAAAAAATCTTCTAGCCCATTTAAGAGCCCATATTGAGGAGGACATTGCTTGACCATGACGTTTGGACCAACAAGTTTCTTTGGCACACGACAGCGCAATTCGTTCGTTGTTGGAATCGAAACAAAGTAATGGCTCGGATTTTCAATCTTTATTTCCTGCTAGGGTAATGTCGAGTTCATGTTGTACAGCAGGCCCTCTAAAGGGCAGTTCTTTCTGTTCATTTATAACCACATTAATGCAGCAATTTTCTACTTAATAAATCGAATGATTGTCGATGCGAAGAAGTTACTTTTTACTCGTGCAGCCCCCGCGTTTCCTATACAAATAGCGAGAAAAATGCACGCAGCCACGCATTTTGATCTATGTTTTTACATAGCTCAGCAAAACTCAACAGTGTCATCAGTACACACTCTGTCCGATTGAAAAGATCTTATCTGGGCGTTTCCCCCAAGAGAATCTTATCTTAAGCGCAGGCGAAGTCCACTCAGTTTGACCATTTGGGACGGATACGTGAGTAAGCGGAATATATTTCTACATGCATCTTTTGTTTCTTTGATCTTAACAATTAGGTGAATTTTACCACAAATTATATTGATTTGTAGCTGTATCAAATGATCACACTGAGTGAAATTTGACTGCGTTTAAGATAAGATTCTCTTTGGGGAAAGGCCCAGATAAGATCTTTTGAATAGGATCCCTCGAATTTACTCACGAGCGCTCTCCCAAGAGCTTGCGTATACTCATTTGCACACACTCACAGGAGCGTGTACTCATTGAGTACAGGTTCCTGGGAGTGCACTCACTCCAAAATGAGTGTACAGTACTGAGTACACTGTTGAGTTTTCACAGTGGGCGTGCGGGCGGTCAGTCTCTGCCCGGTCCGGCGATGCCGGGCGATGCCCACGTGCCCATTGCGCCAGGGAGCCGTCATCGCCGTTTAGGTTTCAGGGTGCGAGATGGCGCCAATGTCAAGGTGGGGCGGGCCAGCGGGCCACGCCCATGGGCTGGCCGGCCTGGAGAGTCGCTTGCGTCGCTCTGTGTCTCTCGCACTCATGGGGTGTGTCGTATAGGTGTGAGAGAGACAGAGCGACGAAAACGACTCTCGGAATGTCTGCTGCCTTTGCTCTGCCATGGGGGACTTCCCGTAACGAGCCGCCGCCACGCCCCCGAGTAAGGCACGAGTGACGACAGGCTGAAAGGGGGGGGGGGGCAGGGACACAGGTACGAGTAATAAGACAGGCAGGACCAGCCCCTTGCAGACTGACCCCGACAGTCGTTTGCGTCGCTCTGTCTCTCGCACCTGTTTGGGACGCCCCATGAGTGCGAGAGAAACCGAGCGACGAAAACGACTCTCGGAATCAGTCGGCTGTCGGCTGCAGTGCGGCCTGGGCGCACTCTGGACGATATACGCGGCGATGTCACTCTCACTCTAGCAGCACAATGCCCTCACACAGCACGGGAGTGAAAAAATAAAACGACTATGAGTCGATGAGGGCAGTGATGACACCTGTCGAAGCGGCTGGGAATCGGCCGAAAGATAGCAAGGTGAAAACGGGACGTGGACAACAGGACCCAAACTGAGCGTGTGACCCCACCAATGGATTCCTTGTTCGGAGAGCAGTCTGTTGATGGGGTCACACGTTCGGTTCGAGTCCCATTTAGCGACTCTGGAGCTCAAAACGCGCCCGGGTTTTGACCGCCTCCACCGGTCTTCTGACCCACTGTGCACGGGGAGCGCTGCGGAGCGCCTGCAAATGCCCGGGTAGGCAGCCCGCCGAAGTGAGCGGCGCGGCGGGACGGCCTGGGCTGCACGGCGTCTGGGCCGCAGGGGCGCGGTGGGCAGCCCGCCGCACACGGCGTCGCGGAGCCAGGCCGAGCCAGGCGGTGGACGGAGAGCGACGGGCAAATAAAGACAGATGGGAGCGAGACGGGGCGAGCCCCGCTCCATATTGAGACTCGCCTAATGCCCCGTCCTTACGTCTGGCCCCTCGCAGGGTCAAGTTTAGCTCCCCTGCCTCGCGCGTGCCCCAGCCGTGCCGCCGTCGGCAGCCAGCAGACTGATTCCGAGAGTCGTTTTCGCCGCGGTGTCTCTCTCGCACTCATAGGGCGTCCCGTGGGGGTGCGAGAGAGAGAGCCAGAGCGACGAAAACGACTCTCGGAATCTAGTCTGCAGTAGAAGGAGAGTCCCCCAGCGGTCCAAAACTGACGAGCCCGAAACCAGGACCAGTTCCAGATCAGCCCACCGGTATTAATTCCTAGAACTGGTTCAGCGCGCACGGAATTTGAGAGCAAGGTCCCGACCTGTCACGCAGCGCCCCGCGCTGCGCTGCCCCGCACTGTCACGCATTTGACTCATTCAGTAGAGTCGTTTTCGTCGCTCTGTCTCTCTCGCACCTTCATACGACGCCCCATGGAGTGCGAGAGGGACAGAGCGACGACAACGACTCTCGGAATCAGCCCGCAAGCTTGTTATCCCTTGTCGAGCGCGCGGCCCGGCTCGCCCTGGGATTCGCACCAGCCTGAATGGAAAGACTGAAACGCAGTGTCGGACCTTGGTCGGACCTGCACTGTCAAATGGAAAGGAAATTGACAATATCCTGAATTGATTTCTAAATTTACTTTCCAAAATTGGGAGTTGACTGTGCATAGTGACTCTAGGTTGATTTCACGCACTCGATTTGCACTCCTCTCCGAAGGTTGATTCCGAGAGTCGTTGTCGTCGCTCTGTCTCTCTCGCCCTCCATGGGGCGTCGTATGAAGGTGCGAGAGAGACAGAGCGACGAAAACGACTCTACTGAATGAGTCAAGGGACGCCCCACGGATTGCGAGAGAGAGGGACAGAGCGGCGAATAAGACTCTCGGAATCAGCCTTCTGTGTGGACAGGGCACGCCCCAAGGGTGGGACATGATGATGACATTATCTGGTGTTGTGCGCCAGTCTATCAGTGCATCGGCATCGCGCTTTCGATGTTGCCGAGATCCAATCTGCCGCGGCGCCCCGCCCTGCAGACTGATTCCGAGAGTCGTTTTCGTCGCTCTGTCTCTCTCGCCGCTCGTGGGCGCACCGCGCAGGTGCGAGGGAGACAGAGCGACGAAAACGACTCTCGGAATGAGTCTGCTGCCCGCCCCGCCCGTGAAGTGGCCGCGAGCGCCAATTGACGCCCTGCTTCGGCCAGCTCGGGTTGCCGTCGATGCTCGTTAGTTTGGGGACCTTCCTCCGGCCCGACGGCGGCCCGACGGCCCTGCAGACTCCACATTCCCGACAGTGCACAGTGGGCCAGAAGACCGGTGGAGGCGGCCAAAACTCTAGACGCGCTTTGAGCTCCAGAGTCGCTGAACAGGCCTCGAACTGAACGTGTGACCCCACCAATGGATTCCTCGTTAGGAGAGCAATCCATTGAAGGGGTCACACGTTCGGTTCGAGTCCCATTTAGCGACTCTGGAGCTCAAAACGCGTCTGGAGTTTTGGCCGCCTCCACCGGTCTTCTGGCCCACTGTGCAGTGCTTCGTCGCGCCGTCTCTCTCGCACGCCGGCGGGCCGCCCCGTGAGTGCGAGAGAGACAGAGCGACGATGACTGTCCGCACGCACGGGCCGTGCGGCACGCACCGGCCTCGACCATCGCGATGACAGAAACCGCAGAAACGGACGGTAATTACGTGGCGGCTGGCTGAGGCTGGCGGCCGGGCGGCGGGGCGCCGCCAAATTCGAGCCGGCCGGGCAGACGGGGCTGGCAGGCAGCTGGCAGGGCGGGCGGAGCGCGGCGTCGCGGGCCGTCATTGATCAAGTCATTAAGCCGCGACGCGTCGGGGCGCCAAGTTTGCAGCCCAATGGACTCGCGCCATGTGCAGGCTGCCTGGCTGCGTGGCTGGCTGCCTGGCTGATCCAGAGACGGGTTTGGGAGGGGGGGGGGTCGCAAAAGTTTCCTACCGGCAGGGGCTAAGTGCGACTAGTTGCCTACCTTTCAGGCGGCTTCGCCTTCCGGGGGAGTGACGCCACCATCGCCCCCCCCCTCCTGGATCCGCGCCTGGGCTGCCTGCCTGCCTGGCTGACTGACTGGATGGCTGGCTGGCTGGCTGGCTGGCTGGCTTCTTGGCTGGCTGCCTGGCTAGCCGCCTGGCTAGCCGCCTGGCTGGCTATGCCTGTCTGACTGCATGGCTGGCTGGCTACCTGACTGGCTGGCTGGCTGGCTGCCTACCTTGCTGACTGACTGGCTGCCTACCTGGCTGGCTGACTTGCTGGCTGCCTGACTTGCTGACTACCTGGCTGCCTGTCTGTCTGTCTGTCTGTGTGCTGGCCGGCTCACGTGTGGGACAGAGGCCGCGCATTTGGCTCGCGCTCCAGCGACCCCACCGTCCGTCAGGACCGTCGTCAGTCGGCCGACGAGACCTCGCCGCGCCCCTGTGAGTCCCTGTGGGTCCCCCGGGATGAATCGACTGCCCGGCGAAAACTAGTCCATCATAAATTAATTCCCCACAAAAAAAAAGGCAAAAACCTGCAGCCGCGTGATGCATTTGGGGCATTTCCGTTTCAGCCTCCGTTCCTAGAAGAGGCGTGGCCTCTAGCTTGAAGGCGCGGCGCTGCGCGGCTAAGCGAGATGCATGTTTTATGATACACTTTTCGCCAGTGTGGTGCAACACCGTGGCGGCAACACGCCGTAAACTAATCTTTACAACTTCTCTTAGCGAGGGAAAGAGAGGACATTAACGTTAGTATGTAACGGACGTGCATGTGCCTTTTAACGAGAGAGGTTGAGTCGCGCTGGGTGGTTAATCTGCGAAGTCGGATGCTGGAACTTGCAGGCCGTGGCTGAACAGCTGAGCTCACAGTCATCCAGCCCAGGCGCTGCACAGTGGGCCAGAAGAGCGGCGGAGGCGGCCGAAATTATAGACGCACTTTGAACCTTAGAGTAGCTAAATGGGACTTGAACCGAGCGTATGTGACCCCACCAACGGCTCTCCAAGCAAGGAATGCATTGGTGAGGTTTCGCGTTTCGCTCGAGTCCCGTTGAGCGACTCTAGAGCTCAAAACGCGTCTAGAAATTTGGCCACCGGTGCCGGTCTTCTGGCCCACTGCGTGATATGCTGCTGGGTGATTATCACCGTAGGTTGTCACTCGCGTTCCCCAGGGTAGTGCTCCTAAACTAGACCACATAGGATGTTGAAATTTGTTTTGAGCTCGCCCCTTGGGGTCCTTTACCACCCCCAATCTTGAGTTTTGAGCTGCCACTTCTGAATCGGCCGTAATAATATCGAGAAGTGGTCAAAAGTGAACTCCGTTCACTTCCCCCGCACCAAGTCGATTTCGAAAAGAGGTGTTTAAAAACCTTCTGCGAGATGAAAGCAGACTTTCTTGTGACCAACATTTTAAAAAAAGTATGTGGGGTCACATCATCGGCCACGGTGACTTTCTGAAAGCAACAGGTGTGAAACAGCACGTCATCAAAATTGTTCCCCCAGTTTTCATGTGAACTCCGTCCACAGTGCTTAATTTGGGACGAAAATCGCAAAAATAGCTTTAGTAATGCGACCCGAGTCAGGAATTGTGCATCTTTCTGTTCTGCATCCACCACCATCAAAATCAGCTGGCTGGTGTTGTGGGAAGGGAATCCAAGTGGAATTTAGTCTTCGATTCCGCTGCGTATGTTTTTTAAAACGAACTCCGTCCACCCCCTTTTCTTGAAAACCAATGTTCCAAAAGTGCCCCGATTTCTTCAAAAGTTAGGTTTTAGTGGCCCCTTTGATAAGCGCTTGGTCGGAAGAATCGTATCTCAGCCTAGCGACCAGTGCGTGGCGAGATACAGTGGTTGTAAACGGTACAAGAAATGAACTCCGTCCACCCCTTTTCAAACTGCATATTTTAGCTTAAAAATCAGGTTGTCCCGTAACAAGATTGATCAGAATGAATTGTGTCGTCACTTATATGCACTTAATAGGCACCACAGTTCGTCAGACCTGCATTTAAATCGTTTATTTTGAAGGGGGAAATGGCGAACATAACCTCAAATTGCCGTAAGGCGCATAGGCACCCATACGCCTGTGGTTGCCTGTTTGCCCGGCGCTTCTCTCTGTTCTGTTCAGCGCTGTGCTGTGCACTTAGCTGGGGATCATTTTACTTTCTTCCACTTCTGTTTTGACCACTCTTTGGCATAATCTAGGACCGTTACCTAGCCTTAGAACTTGAAAAAACAGCCATTGGAAATTTGATTATGAACTATAAATTTCTTTTTTGGGCTGTCATTTCTAAACCCGTGGGCCGATTTCGCGGAGGCTTCGTATTTTTACCCTTCTAGTAGTCATCGCCTCCGTGCAAAAAGAAATTTCTTCGGGAACCTTTTATTTCAAAAGTATCCTCGGGCTAAAATGACAACCTACGCTGATAATCACCCTGCTGTAGTGCCAGTTCGAAACGTAAATCTGTGCGGATTCGAACCAGCAATCCCGCACTCAGCGATCGACACCCTTACCCACGCGGCTACGCCACTGCCACTGCGGTTCCCGTCCGGTGGCCGCACCCGGCCCTCCACTGGAAGTCGCTCAATGCAGCGCCCAATCATGGAAATGAAGGCGCGCGCATCGGCAGGGCAGCGTCTGGAAGTCTGGAGTCCGGACTCTGGAGTCCAGACGGTGGCGCAACGGGCTCCTCCCCCTCACAGGGGCGGCTGCGTGCGAGGCGCGAGCAACGCGAGTCGGAGAACCCTCCACCTGTCTCTGTCTCTCTCACTGGCCCGAGCTGGTGGGTGCGACCGAGACGCAGGGCGGCGGGGTGGCCGACGCGGCCCCACTGTTATCCAAGTTGCGATACTTTCAACTCAAAAACGTGCGATAATATCCAAATTGTGATTCCCACGAATCATTGCTCCCCAGATGCGATGACTTTTGTATCACAAAATTTTTGCAATGACCATCGCACATTTCTGCAATGAAAGTAGGAATTATTGCATAAAAATGCGATGATGGCAACACAAAATCTGCATTCAATACAGTTTCTTGCAATGATCATTGCAAAATTCTGCGATGCATCAGCTCATCACACCTTTTTGCAATGATCATCACAGAAAAGAGCGATGAAATATGTATCGCGCTGAAAGTGTGGTCTGCATCGCAAGTGGAATAACAGTGCCAGCAGGGCGTTCTCGTCGCTCTGTCTCTCTCGCACCTATACGCAACGCCCCATGAGTCCGAAAGAGACAGAGCACGCTGTGGGAAAAAAATCACAGTAAAACCTGTAGTGATTAGTACAGCTGTCACTGTAGTTCAGAGTACAGGATTTGCTGTACCTTTTTTACAGGATCCACTGTACTTTGTACGGGATTTACTGTACCACAGGAGTGGAGTACGGAATATCCTGTACAAGGTGCAGTGAATACTGTAGCCAGGCGCAGTAAATCCTGTGTTCTGAACTACAGTAAATCCCGGCAAAAAAATTAACGGGATTCACTGTGGTTTTTTCGCACAGTGCGACGACAACGACTCTCAGTCTGCAGGCTGAGCGTGGCACACGGCGGCACTTTATTGGTCCCGGTCATCATTACGCGCGCAAAGCCTGGAACAAAGGGAGCTGGGCAGCCCAGCGCTGGACGGTCCAGGACCACCCGCCCCGCCCCGCCCCGCCCGCCCCGCCCCGCCCCGCCCCGCCCGCCCCGCCTCGCCCCGCCCACCTCGCCCCGCCCCACCTCGCCCCGCCCCGCCCCGCCCCGCCCCGCCTCGGACGCCCCCACGAGCATGACTCCCTCACAAGGACGCCTTACTGACCGCAGACCACATCGGCGACCGTTGCCTGGCCGGGCCGCAGACCGATTCCGAGAGTCGTTTTCGTCGCTCTGTCTCTCTCGCACTCACGGGGCGTCCCGCATAGGTGCGAGAGAGACAGAAGGACTCTGGGAATGAGTCTGCTGGGGAAGGGGAAGGGGCGCAGGACAAAAGCGTCGCGCCGGAGCAGGTGCGGCGTGGCGTGGCGTGGCGGGGCGTGGCGTGGCGGGGCGTGGCGTGGCGTGGCGGGGCGTGGCGTGGCGTGGCGGGGCGTGGTCGGCCCGGGCGTGGCCCACCGAGGCGGCGCGGCGAGGCGGCCGCGGCGGCCCGGAGGTTGGACTAGGTCAAGGTTGTGTGGGACTGACCCGGCAGGGCCACTGTAGGGCCGGCCCTTGGCGCGCCGTGGGCCCCTCTTGTTGCGCTCTTTGGACCTTCGGCCCAGCAGCCCTTCGGTCCTCCGCCTGACCCTCGTCGTCCTTTCCTTCGCAGGTTGCGAAAGTACCCTTTTCTTTGTGTTAAGGCCATGCTTTTAACGGTGTGCAGGACCATTCTCGAAAAAAAAAAACAACAAAAAAACATTCGGACTTCGTTTATTTAGCTTCGATAGGCTGAATTTGAATCGAAAATCCGGTACACAAAACCGAAAGCTGGCAGACGCGACCGAACATTTGTGGGAGGAGAACTAAGCCTGGGTTTGTTGTCGTCAAACAAGTGTCCGAGTGTCCGGTGGTGGTATCGGTTCTCGATTGCATCCGCCATCGAATTCCGCCTATCGAACCAAGTTGATCACCTCAACAGAGTCTTTTCCCCCGTGTTGCTGTCTCACTTTTCTGGCTCGCCATAAATTTGCGCGGGGCTGTCGGCGCGGTGACCCGGGGGCAGGCAAGGCACGGCAAGGCACGGCAAGGCCCGGCACACGGTGACACGTTTAGATTAGGAGCACGCCACGGCGGCCTGCGCTGCCGCCGGCTTGCCACGCGGCCAGCAACCCCGTGCACGCGAACGCACTGTGTAGACTGGATCCGAGAGGGAGGTCTATCTCTCTCTCGCACTCATGGGGCGCTCCATACCGGTGCGAGAGAGACAGACTGACGGCCGCACTGTGCGGAATCAGGCTGCTGGAAGGGCGCAGGTCGCACCACTGGACAGCGGCGACGCGCGGCACACGCGTGAGATGCACGGCCTTCCCCGCGCCGCCAGAAGTCATGTTGATGTTTAATTTATGAACGCACCCCGCCGTCCAGTCGCGCACGGCGGGGCCGCCATGACTGTCACTGCTACGCACCGCCACTTACTGTCTCACAGTGGGCCAGAAGACAGGTGGAGGCGGCCAAAACTCTAGACGCGTTTTGGAGCTGCAATGTCGCTAAATGGGGCTCGAACCGGACGTGTGACCCCACCAATGGATTGCTCTCCGAACGAGGAATCCGTTGGTGGGGTCACACGCTCGGTTCGAGTCCTGTGCAGTGACTCTGGAGCTCAAAACGCGTCTAGAGTTTTGGCCGCCTCCACCGGTCTTCCAGCCCACTGTGCGTTTCGAAGCGAGCGGGCTGATGAGGTTCAACAGTGTTGCAGACGTGTTGTTGCTTGGATTTCAAAACCATTTCTCTCATTCCACAGCACGGCGATGGCGGCAAGGACTGAAAACACCGCCACCCTGGACCTGCCGTGGGACGCCATCCAGAGGCTTGGTGGCAGCGAATCTGCTGCCGCGGCGCTGGGCCGCGTCGGCGCGGTGCCGCTGCAGCAGGGAGGCTGGTCTGTCCTCCTGTGCGTGGACCTCGAGGACGTCGCGGGCGTCTCCCACCTGGTGATCTCAGTGGAGGGCCAGGCGCCCCCTCTACAGTGCACCATCGAGCGCATCATGAGGGACTGGTTCTCGGAGGACGAAAAGAAGGACTGCAAATGCCACATGTCGTACTCCGACCGAAGCCCCGAGCCGATTTGCTACTGCATGCTGGTGCCTAGCGACGGCAAAATCGCTAGCCTGCTGCTGGGACACACGAGGAGCCTGAAGGTGACGCTGAAGCCTCATGGTTTGGACCGGTGGAGAATGCAGAGGTAAAAAAGTCAATTCTATTCCGGGCGCCTTCACTGATTTTCTAAGTGTAGTAATGAACAAATTTTAAAAGCAATAACATTTTTATTGCATTATTAGAGCCATGAAAAATTTATTGCAATTGCATTTTTAACGCGATAATTTTTGTATTGCTGCCGCAGATGGGATAGTTTGAAGGAATCACATATATATTTATCGCAGCATGTATGAACCTTATTAACATAGAACATTAGAAATATCAGTGTTTAAAAAATAAATGTAAAAAGTTCTTACTAATTTGGGGAGTGAATATTGAACTTCGTTGATCAAACACTGAGAATCCAAACGCTATGAGTATAGCGTCAATTGGTGCAATGCAAAAGCATTGCACATGAAGTGCAATGCCTCCCATTTCCCATGCATTAGCATAGGGTCCTTTTCGGGAAGCATGCACCAAGGTGCAAGCTAGGCTGTGGGCATGCACTATGTGCAATATCACAGCGCATTGCACCATACGTGCTATACTCATAGCGTTTGGAATCTCAGTGAAGTAGCTTCGAGGCATTTATCTATGATCCCTCATCCAAGTTGGCAAAGCCAGACTTCTTACACAAGTATTTTTTTAAATAGCGAACAGTCATTAATTTTCGGCTTTTCTATACTCTACAAATCGAAGAGTGTACATGGTATGCTCTAACTGGAGCATGCCTGCAAGCACGCTCTAGCTAGCGCATGCCTGCCAGGCATGCACTAACTAGTGCATACATGCATGTACACGCTAACTGAAGCATGCATCTAGTGCATAAGGGATAGGGATTGTCTGCATCAGGAAGCGTGTACATGGCGTATGCGCTAGTAAGTGCATGCTTGGCAGGCATGCGCTAGCTAGAGCGTGCTTGCAGGCATGCTCCAGTTAGAGCATACCATGTACACTCTTCGATTTGTAGAGTAAACTTTGTTTCTTATCGGTGTTCTGTATTTTTCGCAGTTATTATCCAGGCAAACTCCGAAGCACGTTGAGCGTTTCACTGGAACCGCTCCTGGAGCGAGGTGTGGTGGTGGACGTGGTGCTGAACGCGGCAGGGCAGGACTTCCCTGCGCACCGAGCGGTGCTGGCTGCCGCCAGCGATGTCTTCCTCGCCATGTTCACGGTCAGTGAGTCCACCGCTATTCCAGGAATGTGTCGCACAGTGGGCTAGAAGACTGGTGGAGGCAGCGAAATCTCTAGACGCGTTTTGAGCCTCAGAGTCGCTAAATAGGACTCGAACGAATCGTGTGACCCCACCAATGGATTGCTGTCTGAACGAGTAATCCATTGGTGGGGTCATACGTTCGGTTCGAGTCCCATTTACCGACTCTGTAGCTCAAAACGCGTCTAGAGTTTTGGCCGCCTCCACTGGTCTTTTGAACCGCTGTGTGAGACGTGGGAAGGGTTCAATCGGGTCACGTTTCGTTTGAATACTAGGTCTGTAAGTCGACGCTCAATGGTATATATGTCTCTGTCGGCGAATCCACACGCGTTCCAAAGATACAGAAGACAGGTAGACGAATTTCGTGTGTGCCAATTTTATGAGGTTTTCATTTTGGTTGTTCTCAGTCTTTGAAGAAGTCTAAGGCCCGTGTGACCATTGGCAACGTCCGCAGCCCAGCCGTCTTCAGGAAGTTCCTGGACTTCTTCTACACGGGAGCCTTGTGGAACTTGTCCAACATGGAGGCGGACGTCCTTCAGTTGGCCGATCGTTTCCAAGTCGAACCTTTGAAGAAGCACTGCGAGAGACAGCTATTCCAGGACTCAAGTCTGACGCCTGTCGAGGCAGGAGTCTACGTTCCGGACCGAATTCCGAGCCCTGTGAGTAGTCTCGATGACATGAGCACAATCAACGACGTCATATTCGTTAGAACGTGACGTCACATTTGTTAGAACGTGACGTCACATTTGTTAGAACTAAACGTCATACTCGTTAGAATGTGACGTCATATTCGTTGGAACGTGACGTCATATTCGTTAATGGGTGACGTCATGCTCGTTAGAATGTGACGTCATACTCGTTAGAATGTGACGTCATACTCGTTAGAATGTGACGTCATACTCGTTAGAATGTGACGTCATATTTGTGACGTCATATTCTTTAGAACGTGACGTCATTTTCGTCAGAAATTTAGAAATGTACGAATTTCGCTTATGTTTAAACCTAATGGGATTTAAACCTGAGTCTGGGGTCAAAATAGGGGTAGGTTGGGGAAGAAAAGTACAAAACGCGTACTTTGCACTGTACAGAAGTTCCAAATGAGGATTCAACTATTCTGCTCTCGTGAACTTGTAATCCAATGCCTTCCTAATGAAATGGATCACTGTTTATTGATTATAGTTCCCCACATTACGTACAACATGTTAAAATGTATGTGATTTCGGAACTCCTCGAAAAGGGTAAGAAAAGTACACCACCGGGAAAGAAAAGTACACCAAATAGAATTGCGATTTCGAACCAGGAGACCACCAATCTTGGCTCAATACAGGTTTACCCCTTAAGTGGAGAGCTTTCACTTGCCATTAGTTCAAGTTTCGTCAAAATCGGTCAATTGGTTCTGGTTCTACATGGAAGGTCCAAAAAGCCTTTTCTCAGAGATAAGTGGGTACAGCATTTTTGTACTTTTCTTCCCCTTTTCACGTAAATGCCCAATAACTTGTTTATTTCAAGTCTAATCCTATAACTTGTGTTGACATTTTTTGCTTGTCTCGCCAAATCAAATCTATTGCCGTGATCAATTCAATTTTCATCCCGCTTTTAGTTTCTTAGAGGGTGTTTTTTTCTTCCCCAATGCATGTACTTTTCTTCCCCAGCCGACTGTACTTTTCTTCCCCATTTCATTTTTACACTTATAAAAAATTGCGTTGAAGCCTAAGAGCATCGAACGGCACTGTTTTTCAAAGATGATGGTCTAAGCTATAAGGTGGTACCTTACATTGGACTGTCGGCTGATTCCGCAGGAAGCTGTACTTCAAAGTACAAACATTTAAAAAAAAGATTTTCGTAGTTATTTTCAATGTTTTTTTCAAGCGTGCAGTTTGATTCTAAATATTATATGTAGAACTGGGCTAATTTTTTTTTTGTCAGCGGGATGACCAATCTTTCTTAAACCAATAACGTGATGGTTCAGTGTAGTTTCAGTTCGGAGATATAACGGGTGTACTTTTCTTACCCGAGCCTCGAGTGTACTTTTCTTACCCAACCTACCCCTAGATGTTATTTTCGTCATCAGCGCCCTTAGAAACATGAGACAAAATGCAAAAACTCGAATAAAAAGAAAGTTCAAAATATACCCCATTGGGATTTGAACCCGGGTCCGAACTTCTCCGATTCGCTTGAAACTGGCACCGTTTGTTTTGTCTCGTCGCCCCGATTCCAAAAATACTCCTACATGCAATCACTGATACTTTGACATAGTGACGAATGTCCAAAATTTTGATAGAATGAGATTTTTGGCTGCCTTGTAGAACTTTTGATTTACTATCGCCTGGTGAAAAGCATGTATCGATATCTCTACTAGATTCGGCGCAGGAAAATACTTCGAAATGACGAAAGTCCAGCTGTACTTTGACAAAATGACGAAAGTCCGCCGTACTTTGACAAAGTGACGAAAGTCCAACCGTACTTTGACAAAATGACGAAAGTCCCAACTGCAAAAAACGGATTTAGTCTATCAGTGCGTTCCCAACAAGAGGAATATCCATGAGAACAGTGACGGCATGAACATGGAACATGCCCGGGTTAAAAAATTTCATTTATTTTGTGTTAACAGTAAAGGTGGACTCTCGCCATTTTGTCGAATTACACATGGACATTCGTCATTTTGTCAAAGTACGGTTGGACTTTCGTCATTTTGTCAAAGTACGGCGGACTTTCGTCCATTTGGCCTCAATTTCGTACGCTGAGAAATGACGAATGTCCACTATCTCGGGAACCAAGCTGCCGATTGCAACGGCTCTTGAACCGATTCTGTGGTATAAAATTCTCCCATCAAATGCAATACCTCTATCTTCCAGCTCAATTTTTAGACTTGTTTCGGCTCTCCTGAAAAATCAGATATTGTGGACATTCGTCACTATGTCAAAGTACCAGTGACATGCACTTGCTGTATCCGTTGCCGAAATCCTCCTCGACCCCAAGACCATGATGCACCTGCAGCAGCGCCACTGGGGCTCGGATCGGATTTGCTGCCACTGGGCGGTTCTTAGGGTCACCCAAGGAGGCTGCATACCAAATTTGGTCAAGATCGGACCACGGGAAGTCCTCGCGGACGGACGGACGGACGGACGCACAGCATGCATCATACTATATGCCCGTCCCTCCGTCATCTTTTTACAAAAAATACACGGGACGGGCCAAAAACTATTGTCAAAGAAGGTCAGTGCTCGACGACGGGCCCTACTTACAAATGAGAATCTATGTCCGCAGGACTCTTACCGCTGGCATGACAATAAAGTTATAAGGACAACCGTCGGTGAAGATTACCTACTCGTAGAAGTTCCATGGGTGTTGGCCCAATGCAATGTTGACCGGTCCTTCTTCTATGATGGACCCACCCACCTTGCGTTGCCGGACGGCATGAACCTTTACTCTTATGTCAGAGTAGAATGTGATAAATATCTATCAGTTGACTTCAGTGGGAGTCCGAGTCCGGACATGCTCATAGAAGTTAGCAGGGAAGTGACAAATTGCGGGAGCGTCCTGGAACCTCCGCCTGGCCAAGGCGCTCGGAACGAAAGGTTTACGTTCGTATCCCCGAACACCTATCGCCACGACGCAGTCTTCCATCGCAAACACACCAGGTCGCTTGCCGCCCGCGCGCGCCCTGCCGCGCCGATGGAGGTCCGCGACTTGGTGTCCCTCGGGATGGAGCGGCTGGTGAAGCGTGGCGCCTTGTGCGACGTAGTGCTCAGCGCGGCCGGCCGGAACTTCCCAGCGCACAGGTAGAGTCCTAGATGTCACAGTGGGCCAGAAGACCAGTGGAGGCGGCCAAAATTCTAGACGCGTTTTGAGCCGTGGAGTCGCTGAACAGTTCTCGAACCGAGCATGTGACCCCATGCATTCCTCAGCAATTTTTTCAGCTGCAGAGCCGCCAATGGGACTCAAACCGAACATGTGACCCCACCGATGGATTGCTCTCGAGGAATGCATTGGTGGGGTCACATTCGGTTCGAGAACTGTTCAGCGACTCCACGGCTCAAAACGCGTCTAGAATTTACGAGTTTCAGAGTGCGTCTCTCTAATACATCTCGGACTCTACCCACAGGGTGGTGCTAGCTGCCGGTAGCGACGTCTTTCTCGCCATGTTCTCGGGGGACTTCCTGGAGAACATCGAGTCCCGAGTGGCCATCGCGGACGTAGCAAGCCCCGCCGCCTTCGAGAAGTTCCTCGAATTCCTCTACACCGGCAACGTCAGAGACATGGCGGGTGTTCAACTAGACCTTCTGCAGCTGGCCGACCGCTACCTCATGCCTGACCTGCAGGTAATGTAGAAATACTCGCGGATATGATGTGCCATGTGCCGCCAGAAAATAAAACCATGAATCCACCAGTGAAATCCGTGTTTCGCGTGAAATAACCGTATGATTGTTCCTCAGGACCTCTGCGCGTCCAGCGTCATCAAGTCGCTGAAGCCCTATAATGCGGTGGCTCTGTTCCGGATGTCTGTCGAGTCGACCTTCATCCCTGAGACCGTGAGGCGGGTGGCGGTGGAGAAATTGTTCAAACACTGGAAAGCTCTGACCGCCAAAGAGGAGTGGGCGGACTTGCAGCGTACGCACCGTGACGTTGCCAACACGCTCCAGACGGCCTGGGCGGCACAGCAGAAGTCGCCGTGGTGTACAGCATCGCCCACCAACAATCCACCATCGCCCACGTCTCCTCCAGCATCGCCCACGAATGTTCCAGCATCGCCCACGAATGTTCCAGCATCGCCTACGTATTCTCCGGCATCACCTACGTATTCTCCGGCGTCGCCTCCGCATTCAACATCGCCTTTCTATGTTCCAACATCGCTCACGCCTCCGTGTGCTGCAACATCGCCCATGCATGCTCCAACATCACCTCCATATGCCCCAACATCACCACACTCGTGAGTGATTGGTAGGGTTTCCGGAACTTTTGACAGCCCAAGTTTCTCTGTATTGTGTTGCAGCGCACATGTGTGTTCATTTACTTGGGACGAATATCGTCTACATTTTATAAATTTACTATTTTGTAAGGAACTTCATTTTAACTTTACCATTTTTTGCAACCAATTTCTTTAAAAAAATTGAAAAATATACTTGGATTTGTATTTTTTTTTAGAGTGAGACCAAAGTTGTGTTTGTGTGCACTCATAGTCCTTAACCAGCGAAAGCGCAGGAAGAAAACGAAGGCATTGTCGAATCCACGAAGAAATTAGAGGCATCGTAGAATCTACTATAAAGTGCTTTATGAAGCAAAATCGCGTCATTTGAATCAATTCTTTTCTTACTGGTTAACCTAAGCGTAGTATTACCCTCTGTTTTCAAGCGTTATCAGTTAACGCTTGAAATCAAGCGTAACAGGCTCATCGGCCAAGATTCCCCCTTTTCTAAATGCATGGGGGAATTTCCCGAGTATGCTTCATTTCAAGAGTAACGTCTTCAAGCGTAACTTCATACTTGACTCAAGCATAGAGTTACGCCTTAGTTTTACCAGTGTTCGTAGACTTTTTACAGTGTGAAAGTTTAGAACGCGTAGAACTTTGTATTCTTGAATGAAGCGTACACGGTAAAAACGGTTCCTGGTTTTCCCAGGAACCCCCTGGAAATCGCCTATGTCTTAGCCATAGGGCTCCTGGGAAAACCAGGTACCGTTTTCACCGTGTACAACTACGCTTCAGTCCCACCACCGTGGCGCGTGTAGAAACTAAGTACGCGGGCCGGTGTGTGTCGAACGCCCTCCCGTGGTGCACACAGTGTGCCACACAGCACACAGGGGGTCGCCACGTCGGTGCCGATGCAAATGCCCCGTCCCGTCCGCGGTCCGCGACTACGCTAGAACTACTCGCCCGGCCGGCGTCCCACAGTGGGCAAAAGACCGTTGGAGGCGGTCAAATTTCTTAGACGCGTTTTGAGCTTCATAGTCGCTAAGTGGCACTCGAACCAAACGTATGACTCCACCAATGGATTCCTCGTTCGGAGAGCCATCCGTTGGAGGGGTCGCACGTTCGGTTCGAGCCCTGTTAAGCGATTTTGGCGCTCAAAGCGCGTCAGAGTTTTGGCCGCCTCCACCGGTCTTCTGGCCCACTGTGCGTCAGTCGCGCGGCTGCTTTTATTCTTACTTAATTTTCGTTATGGCCACCGCGAGGCGAATGTGGCACCGCCGCGCGGTCACGCACTCCCACAAAAAGTTGATTGATATCTGTCTTTCGACATTATTGGCCCGCGGCGGCCGGGGCGTGTCACTGTAGACTCATAAAGTCCCCGCGACGCGCATTTTTTTCTGCCGAGAAAGAGAGCCAAAAAAATGTATTAAAAAATACTCCTCCAAAATGGCGATAACGTCCGGCAGAAAATTGTTGCGACACCAATGAGGCGCGCGCGGCTTGCGGGTTTCATTTCCATGGCCGCACGTTTTGGTCGAACTGCACGGCAATGCAGTCATGCGGCATCATGCAGCCAGTTCCGACAGGACCTGCAGATGGAGAGACAGGTGGAAAGGTAGGTGTGTGTGTGCGTGTGTGCGCGCGCGCGCGTGTGCGTATGCGTGAGAGGGGGGAGGAGGGGGGGGGAAGGAACGACCGCAGGTTGTGCACTGAGAAAGTTTTTTACTCTGAATTTTCAGACCCTAGTCTGTTTAAAAACTTCAGACTTAAATTATGAAATTTCAGTAAAGCTTTTTTAGAGTGTATTTGCACACCGTTATTTCAAATCAGGTAATTTCACGTTACTTCTACGTTATTTCAACGTTATTTCACGTTATCTGGACGTTATTTCAAGGAACACGTATACCAAAGTAGTCAAAATGTTTCCCCTTCGACTAATTTCGATGGACATTGTGTGTCGTCAAAGGTCTATAAATCGAACTATGTACTCGGACCTGTACGTTGACTTTTCATTGCAGCGTACTGTACCGACTGCGACTGTACACTAGCTGTTGAGTTTCCAGAGAGGGTTGTTGTCTCAGTTACTTCTTACTTTCGCAAAGAAGCGAGTGAACGTACGGCGAGGCCCACAACGGAGCCCGTGCCGAGGGAAGCCCCAAGAAACAACAACCCCCTTGCCTCCTCTCCCTTCTCTCCCCTCCTCTCCCTTCGCTCCCCTCCCCTCCTCTCCATTCGCTCCTCTCCCCTCCCTCCTGGTCCGGTTCCAGCCGTATTTGGCGGGATGTCGGAGCCCGGCTTTGGTGCGACACCCCGCACACCCTCACCCAGGGCACGCCGACAGAGGGTACGGCGGCAGCAATATTAAACACTCGCTAAGTCCAGTCGATCATTCATCAGGCTCACTGTTAAAAGTGCTGGACAGTTCAGTAGACCACGCCTCAGTCTCCATTCATTACGTTATTCCCAATGCAAAAATAAGTACGCCAGGTGAGAAATTCAGCTGAATTTCTGCTGCTATTGAAAGTATGAGTCACTGTTCTCGCTCGAGGTGTTTGAGGGCACTGCATTGGACGCTTTCGAATGCACGGCCGAACTGGTTCACCTGCACCTCGTATAGTAAGTGCCTGCACTAATAACAACAAGCTAGATGTGCGAATGAAGAGAAGAGAAAATATGAATTCCTGCCTGTGTGGTATTTAATACGATAGTAATACACTGTCCACGACAGACAGTGCGAGTCCGATGGTTTAATTAGTATACCAGAACAGAGATTTTTTTACAGTTTTTATTTACATTGTCGATTGAGGAAATTTACAAATTGTTACAGTTTGGCTGTACAAATCTTGTCGAATGGTCTTAACTACACACTCTGAGAAAAAATGACGGTAAATCCTGGATAATTTTTTGCCAAACTTTACCGTACTTCAAAAACCAGTATCCTCCGTACAGTCTACAGTATTTACCGTACTTGTTTTACAAAATATTCCGTAGTCATTTAACAGTAGTTACCGTTCTTCCGTACAGTCCATGCCGTAGGAAAGACCAGATCTGGTCCCAACAAAGGCCGCTTCCAAGAAGTGTCCACATCAGGATCTTGAAAAAAGGGGGTCGACCGACTGAAAAATTTTCTTGCACCTTTCAATAGGTCTCGTCAAGACCTTTCCAACGAGTGGTCGGAAGAGGGGTCCAGGAGTCCGACTTCAGCAGTTGCGTACATCAGGAACTTGGAAAAAGAGGGTCAACCGACTGAACAAAATTATAGCAGTTTTTGATAGGTATTAAAAGTACGGGATTGCCGGGGGAAAATGTACGGGATTCCCTGTAAAAAAAGTACGGCGTTTCCTGTAAAAAAAGTACGGGATTGCCTGTAAAAAAACGACGGCATTGCCCGTTAAAAAAAGTACGGTGAAGTCTGAAGTAATCAGTACAGGATTTACCGTGATCTTTTCTCGCAGTGCATGTTATCCAGTTTGATGCATCAGCGGTGCATCTGATGTGTCTATCCGTCTGCGGCAACTGCACAAAACCGCGCGAAAGTTGCCTACCTACAGGGGTAATGTGCGACTTGTTGCCTACCTTTCAGCCCCCCCCCCCCCTCCCCCTGAATCCGCGCCTGCCAGAGTCGCTAAACAGGACTAGAACCAAGCGTGTGACCCCATCAATGGGTTCCTCGTTTAGAGAGCAATCCGTTGGTGGGGTCACACGTTCGGTTCGAGTCCGATTTAGTGACTGTGGAGCTCAAAACGCGTCTTGAATTTTGGCCGCCTCCAGTGGTCTTCTGGCCCACTGTGCGGGGCGATCCGGCGTGGTTGACGAGTCTCTGCCGCTCGCCAAAAAATGGGCAGTGGAAACTGGAGCAGCGACAATGCGGGGCTCTTTAGGCTTCGCTCGGCCCGGCCTGCGGTCAGTGCCACGCCCTGGCCACGCCGTGCTCCGCCATGCTACGCCCAGGACCGACCCGAGCCCTGTCGGCTGACCGGTTGCCCCCCCCCCCTCCCTCCTCCTCACCGCCCCGCCTTTGCACCGAGCCTACCTAAATACATGTTTCGGAGACCTGCTAAGAAGGATCTATGCGACGGTCAAAACTGGAGATGAAAATTACTACAGGTTTAACATTTTTGTCGCGTGCACTGAAGACCTTAGTGAGTACTCAGTACACTTAAGTTCTCAGTGTGGCTTCAATATGGCGACCAGCTGACGACCCAAACAATGATGTTTTGGCAGTGCTGTAGCACTCGCTGATTGTGATACACAGGCTGTAGCAAGCACTCGATGATGGTGGATCTCAGCAGACCGATTCCGAGAGTCGTTTTCGTCGCTCTGTCTCTCTCGCACTCACGGGGCGTCCCGTGTAGGTGCGAGAGAGACAGAGCGACGAGTCAGCGACACGTAGGGGCAGGGCTGCGCACCTTGAAACCAACCGACGCACTCGCGAAAACGAGCGGGAATCCAATGCACCCCTTCCCTCTTCGATTGATCGGAACAACATGCGCAATTCCGTGCGGGTCTGCGCGCGACGCGTGTTTGTGTGCGAGCGTTTGTTGCTTCGTGTGTGTGTGTGTGTGTGTGTGTGCGTGCGTGCGTGCGTGCGTGTTATGGGTGATGCTGTAATTGCCCTGCTGCCGGGGACCCCGTGCAAAAGGGTGGGGAGGAAGCGCGTCCTCCTGGAGAGGGCAGTGCGGCGGGGCGGGGCGGGGCGGGGCGGGGCGGGGTGCGGCGGGGTGCGGCGGGGCGGGGCGGGGTGTGTTCGGGCGGCCGGGGGCTCCAGCGCCTGGAGGGGAGCGGACGCCGAGCGGACTTCAAAGTAGCGTCGGCCGATTCGGCCGAATGTAGACCAATATAAAAGCCGAGGCGACCCCTGCATGCCGGCATATCAAGTCAAGTGTCTCTGAGTGCGTGAGTGCGTGTGTGCTTGAGTGAAAAACCCCGACAGCAACCCTCTTGGAATACCAGCGTGCTGCCCCACCATGGCGGCGTCCAAGGTACGAGAGTGCCAGCCGAACCAGCCAGCCCAGCCGCGGACCAGGATTTACGTTTTACGTCGCAGTGCAGTGCAGTTGGGGCTGTAGTGGGCCAGAAAACCGGCGCGGCGCGGCGGCCGAAACTCTAGACGCGTTTTGAGCTCCAGAGTCCGTAAACTCGAACCGGACGTGTGACCCCACCTATGAATTGCTCGCTCCGAACGAGGAATCCATTGGTGGGGTCGCTCGATCGGTTCGAGTCCCATTGAGCGACTCTGGAGCTCAAAACGCGTCCGGGATTTTGACCGCCGCCATCAGTCTAGTGGCCCACTGTGTGATGGTGAGCAGTGCATCCCTTTCACAGGGCCTGCACTAGTTGTCTCGGATTGTGACGTCACATGTGTTTCAACGTGAAAACAGGTGTGCCTGTTTGAATGTGACACCCGAGCAACCTTACTGTCTTGTTCATTTTGATGTGACGTCCATGCTGTTGATTGCGGTCGGGGAGTCGCACTCGTTTTAACGTGACAGTGCCCCATTCAAATGAACGTGACTCTTGGCGGTATCACGTGAAAATGCACACTATCATGACAGCTCTATGACGTCACATTCATATGAACGTGACAATGGGGTGGATACTTTTGTGTCACACTCGAACAGGCATAGTGTGGTTTACACGTTGAAATGAATGGGACGTCACTCTCAGACTAACGGTGTGCCGATAGCATTCTGGACAACGCCCGCAAGACTCTCTTCGTTTAGCTCTGTGCCCACTTCGTGCAACAGGTGAAACGTGAACATGTCCAGGAACACACCGAATTCTCTTTTCAGTGTGAAAGAAGTGCTTCGTTGTGATGTTAAATCTCTTGCTCGACTCTAGCCATTGATAAATTTCTTAATTTTTCTTATATTTCTTATTATATTTCTAAGTCTTATTCTGCTAAATTCGTCAATTTCTTGCGATTGCTCATTCACGATGCGCACAGTGAATTCTCAGTGTCGTATTTTTCTGCGTCACTCTGCAAAAAAAAGTGTTGAAAATTCTGATAATTTAGACGAATCAATTTTGTCAGACTTAGCTGTTGTTCGTAAAATTCGTGCAACTTTTGAGCTCCTTGCCTCTTGAGTTGGTGCTCGCTTGTCCAGAGAACCAAAAGGTTTCGTTCACGTTCCACAAGACTTTTTCTGTCGCCAAAATAATGCGCCCCGAAAATTTGGTGCTCAATATGATTGTCTATACTCGTTAAAACAGTGTCTGCACTAATGAGTCATGAGCGTCATGAGTCAACAGTGGGGCATTGAAAGTTCACCTCGTTGTGCGTTGTGCGGGTGGGTGTCAGATCCGAAGCAGGGTGACATGTGGCTCCGAGCGGCTAATTTACGCCCCAGTGGCCTGTACTGTACTCTCTGTGTGTGTGTGTGTGTGTGTGTGTGTGTGTGTTTGTGTGTGTGTGGAACCGCATTGATTGCGGTCGCCCTGCACTGCCCTGACGCTGCTTGCGCGACCAAGCCTCACTGATGCGTGTTTATAGGTCACTGCGGCGGAGGCGAAAATAGTGCCGATGAAAGCTGAAACCTGAATCAGTGGTCAATCGTTTGGCTGGACAGAAGACTTCTGTCATTTTTTTAAAAGTCATGTTAAAATTTACCCGACGCACAATTCCTGACTTTTGACTTGACTTTTGTTGAGGTCTTGTCCGGTCCTGTGAAAAAAGTCCACCTTATTCCATGTCTCTCCAAATTAAAGGGCGCGACAGTTTTTTTTTTGCCACTCCCCTGCAGCGGCGTCATGAAGTCGTATTCCACAGTGTGCGAGACGAGCGTGTCACCGCACGTCCATTCATTGGGATTTAGTTGGTGCACTCGTGTAAATCTTGTCAGAATGTCAGAATCGTGTCTGAAAACCTGATCAAAATTCGCGCACCTCTGAAAGCTGAAAACATGTTCTGACATTCTGCAGAGCTCAGGCCATTAATATCAGCATAAGTTTTCAGAATTTCAGCTTTCAGAGGTGCGTGAATTTTGATCAGGATTTCAGACATGTTTCTGACATTCTGACAAAATTTACACGAGTGTGCTCCAGCCGTTTGTGACCTGATGGAGCAGCACGTTGAACTGCAAACCGGGAGGGACCCGCATGCCCACCCCATACTCGCACACGTGCGAGTGTGTGTGTGTGAGTGTGTATTCGCGTGCGAATGTGTGTGTGTGCGTGCGCGCGCGCGCGTGTGTGTGTGCGTATGCACAAGTGCGTGCGCGGGCGACACGTGCATCCCTCATTACTGGCGGCGGAACCCGTCCAACCGCTCCAGATTCAGCACTCTCAGACTATTTCACACATTGCGACATCTCCTTCCATTACACCCGGACCCGCCCCGCCCCGGGCCGCCCCCGCCGCGAGGTGGACCTGACCTGCCGCGTGGTCACGGCGGCAGCGGTCCAGGTGAGGTGGGGCGGGGCGGGGCGGGGTGGGGCGAGGCAGTGTCGCCCTGTGGGGGTCGCCATCTGATAAGCGCCCCGACCCGACACACTGCTCGCGGCGTCTCGTCATCGTAGACATCCAGCCGGTCGGCCGTGATTGTCTATCGGCTTCACCACCTGCATGCAGCCTGCAGGCTCGTTCCGAGGGATCGTCGCTCTGTCTCTCTCGCACCTGTACTGGACGCCTCATGGGAGCGAGAGAGACAGAGCGACGAAAACGACTCTCAGAATCAGTGTGCTGGCTCATTCTGAAGGATCGTCGTTGTGTCTGTCGCACTCATGGGGCGGCCCGGAAGGGTGCGAGAGAGACAGAGCGACGTCGCGACTTATTTTTGGAATCGCCTGGCTGCGTTGTAGTCCTGCAGTCCAAGGCGATTTTTTGTGGCATTGGGCGTATAGGTAGGGTTTGTCCCACATCGTGCCTAAATTCAACGAAATTTCCCGTAGTTTCCCGTAGAGTAGCGCGTTGTTTCGTGCAGACCGGGGCAGTTGCCGCAGTGAGTAAAGAAGTAAACGAAATTAAACGAACACAGCTCTGCAGGCTTATCATCTTACGTTGGTTTTCGTGCGTAATACGATGATTTTCCCAATGGGTAAGGTACGCCCAAATTTCCAACCTGCATAATACGCACGAATGTCTATCGTCAGGTACGCAGGATTTTCACGTAATGCCGCAGGGGTTTTCAACGTATTACGCACGTTGTCAACTAAGGTACTTTGGTTGCGATTGTAGTACGATGAATTTTACGTAATACGCATGTTTTGATTACAGCGTATGTTCTTCGCGTTACCATGTAAATGATCACGTGTGTGACGATGGTCTTGTGATTTACCTGCTCTGGACCTTACGAGCATGGTGCTTGAGTACCGTGCTCGAAGGACCACCATGCCATGCCGTGGCGTGGCTGGCTTGCCTGGCTTGGCGTGGGGGGCTTGGCGGGGCGAAGGCTTGCCGTGGCGTGGCGTGGCTTGCCGTGCCGTGCGCTCCGAGCCGCTTGTCCAGGCCGCGCTCAACACGCCTCGCTTTACGCCTTTGTCGTGATGACCGCGTTACTCGCTCACCTCCGCGACCCGCGACGCGCCGGGCGCGTTCTGCGTGATTCATAAACCTACTTGCCCCGCCCGCCCCCTCCCTGCTGCCCCCGCGTGCCCCTCCTCCCCCTCCCCTCCCGCGGCCCGCTGGCTGCCGACGGCCCGCTACAATGCCGCCCACCGGCCGCACGGCCGTCGGAGTGACTGATCCCCGATCTGATGGTCAGGGCGATACCATGTGGGATTATCATTATGCATGTCGGTGACCAGGTCGCCGGGCCGGCCGGGGCGTGGCGCAAAAGCCCCCCGGGCGGCCGCGCACAGTGGGCCAGAAGACCGGTGGAGGCGGACAAAACTCGAGACACGTTTTGAGCTCCAGAGTCGCTAAACAGGACTAAACAGAACGTGTGACCCCACCAATGGATTGCTCTTCGAACGAGGAATCCATTGGTGGGGGTCACGCGCTCGGTTCGAGGCCAGTTTAGCGACTCTGAGCTCAAAACGCGTCTAGAGTTTTGTCCGCCTCCACCGGTCTTCTGGCCCACTGTGCCGCGGCCCCGCCGTGCGTGCTGCGTGCGGCCGGCACAGTGTCGCCGCGTCGGAGGCGGGGAGGTCAGGCCGCTGGCTGTTGGGTCACTGCGCCGACGAGTGGCGCGCCGAATTAATGAGACCGCCGGAGAGAGATATCGGGAATTTCGTTTGGATTGCACAAAGGAAGGAAGGTCCGGCAGTCCGTTTCGAGCGCGAGTCACGACCCTGAGCAGTGTGCTCGCCACAAACTTGGCGAGCCGTTTTGAATGCCGAAAATTGGCAAGCCTCCCCAGTTTGCTCAAATTTGGCATTGCAGGTGCCCGGAGCTCCAAATACTAGCAAGCTGATTTACATTTCAGGTCAAGGCTTGCCACTTTTGGCGATGAAAACGGCCTGCCAATTTTGCAGGCGTGGATACAGCGGGGTGGGGTGGGGGGGATGCGCCCCCCCTCCATAGCCCCTAGATAGCCGCCTGAAAGGCAGGCAACAAGTGCTACTTTGCCCCCACCTCCCCCCACCCCCACCCCTAAGCCGCCTCTGGATCCGCCACTGCAACAATTGCAGTGGAATTATTTTGAGGCAAGCAAACTTGCTCCCAGGTTTTCAGTATGGAAGTCTGTCAGACCCTTCTTGCTTTCAAAACTAGTGGCGTTACTTTACAGTGCCTTTCCATCGGTTTTTCCGCTAGACATGCGTTGTTATTCTGCCCGCTGCACTTTTCTCGCTTGATTTAGCGCTCGTTCATTAATTAAGGCCGCGAAGGGCGAAGGCCTGTCTCGCCTCACTGTCGATAAGTCATCCTGTCCCTAGAGAGGGGCGGGGCGGGGCGGTGTGGGGCGGGGTGAGGCGTGCCGGACCGGTATCCCCGCGCGCACCGCGCCGCACTGCGCGCAGACAGAGGCGCGGCCCGCCGGCCCGCCCACTAGGGCCGCTAGTGTGGCCCACTGCCGGCGACGCCACCACACTAGACTGATTCCGCACAGAGCGGCCGTCGTCGGTCGGTCTCTGTCGCACCGAAACGGAGCGCCCCAGGAGTGCGAGAGAGAGGAGAGAGAGAGAGAGAGAGAGAGAGAGAGAGAGAGAGAGAGAGAGAGAGAGAGAGAGAGAGAGAGGAGGCAGCCCTCTCGGAATCAGTCTAGTGGGAGTGCGCCGTGCCGCCGTGCCAACTAGGAGGACAATGAATGACGCCCCGCGCACGCACGACGCGCCGCCATGTCGCTCGCCGCACCGCGACCGCATCCTCGCCCTCGCGCGCCGCCCCCTCGGCGGCGTCCTCGCGCTCAGCGTCGGCGTCCTCGAGCTTGCCGTCGATGTCCAGGAGCTAGAAGTAGGCGTCCTCGAGCTCGGCGTCGGCGTCCTCGAGCTCGGCGTCGATGTCCAGGAGGCGACCTCGAGCTCGGCGTCGGCGTCCTCGAGCTCGGCGTCGACGTCCTACGTGCACCTGCCGCCGGCCTCACCCTTTCCTCCGAGAGTCGTTTTCGTCACTCTGTCCCTCGCACTCATAGGGCGCCCCGAACAGGTGCGAGAGAGACGGCGCGACTAAATCGACTCTCTCTCGGAACCAGTCTGCAATCACCCTCACCTCACTCTGCTTTCCGATTCACTGTTCTCTGGTCCGCGGACCTTTGCACCTCGCCGTCGACGCCCCCCTCCCCTCTCCAAGTTCGCAGTGCCCAAGTTCGCGGCCGCTAGCCGCCCCTCCCCGCCGTCATCGTAAATGAGGCGGAATGTTGATCGGCCGGCGCATGTGTCCGAGTGTGGACCTCAAGGTCGTCTCTGTGTGTATGTGTGTGTGCGTATGTATGTGTCCGGGGAGGGAAAAGGGGGGGGGGTCCAAATAGGGCGCGACCGCGTCCAGAAAGGCGTGGCGTGGAGGAGCACGTCTAGTGGGTCGGGGTGGCGAGTCCAGCAGCTGTCTGGCGGGCCGGGCGGGCGGGGCGGGGCGGGGCGAGGCCCCCTCGACAATGCGAATGTAGAGCGATCGAACTGGACCGGCGGGCCGCTTTTAGCCGGAACCACATTGCGTCAGGGTGTCCGGCGGGCTCCTCTGTTGCAACGGGTGCAGACGGGGGCGGCTGGCCGTGCCGGCCCTCGGCCCTGCCGTGCCCTGCCGTGCCCTACAACGCCCTGTCCTCGGCGCGCCTCGCCGTCGTCTCTTTTGCCGTTCGGGGAATGCGAGCCCTTGGCCCTCGGCCCGTCTGGCTGCAGGGCGTGCCGGCGTGCCCGAGGTGGGCTTGTCGCCGTCTCCCTCGCACCCTCATGGAGAACCCCACGAGTGCGACGGAGACAGCGCGACGAATCGAGTCCTCTGACTCACTCGGCCGAGATCGTCCCGATGTTAACGCTGTGCTTCTCCCGCAGGCCCTGGCCGTCGTGCTGCTCGGTCTGCTGGCCCAGACCTTGGCGCACTACGACCCCGAGCAGGAGTACAGGCGGCGTGAGGCGCAGATCGCGTGCGCGACGCCCGGCCACGCCCTGGGCCTGTCGCCCGCCGCCTACGCCGGCTACTCCGGCTTCGCCAGCAACGCGCTCTCCTCCTACTCCGCCAGCGGCGCCTACTCGGCCTTCTCCGCCAGCCCCGCGGTGTCCGCCTTCTCCGCCACCCCCGGCTTCTCGTCCTACTCCGTGAGCCCCGCCGTGTCGGCCTACTCGGCCACCCCCGGGTTCGCGTCGTACTCCGCCGGCCCCGCTGTGGCGGCCTACTCCGCCACCCCCGCCGTGGCCGTGTCCAAGGCCTACCTGCCCCCGGCGCCCGCCATCAAGGTAAGCGTTGGGAAGCTCCCGCCCAAGCCTCTGGGACGCTTGGGAACTGCCAACTAAACGACACTTTGTTGATTTCCAGGTCGCCGCCCCTGCCGTGGCCACCTACGCCGCTGCCCCCGCTAAAATTGCCTACGCCGCTGCCCCCGCCGTGGCCACCTACGCCGCTGCCCCCGCTAAAATTGCCTACGCCGCTGCCCCCGCCGTAGCCACCTACGCTGCCGCCCCCGCTAAGATTGCCTACGCCGCTGCCCCCGCCGTCGCTACCTACGCCGCCGCTCCCGCTAAGGTTGCCTACGCTACCGCCCCCGCCGTGGCCACCTACGCCGCTGCCCCCGCCAAGATCGCTTACAGCGCCGCCCCCGCTGTGTCGTCCTCCTACATCACCACCGGCGCCGTTAAGGTCGCCTCTGCTGGCTCTGCCTACTCTGCCTACTCCGCCGGCCCCGCCGTCACTGCCTACTCCGCTACCCCCGCGGTCGCTGCCTACTCCGCTACCCCCGCGGTCGCCGCCTACTCAGCCACCCCCGCCGTGGCCGCCTACGCCGCTACCCCCGCTAAGATCGCCTACAGTGCTGCCCCCGCCGTGTCATCCTCCTACATCTCCACCGGAGCCGTCAAGTACGCTGCCGCCGCCCCCGCCGTGGCCACCTACGCCGCTGCCCCCGCTGTCGCCACCTACGCCGCCGCGCCCGCCAAGGTTGCCTACTCTGCCGCCCCCGCCGTGGCCACCTACGCCGCTGCCCCCGCCAAGATCGCCTACAGCGCCGCCCCCGCCGTGTCCTCCTCCTACATCACCACCGGCGCCGTTAAGGTCGCTTCCGCTGGCTCTGCCTACTCTGCCTACTCCGCCGGCCCCGCCGTCGCCGCCTACTCCGCCACCCCCGCTGTAGCCACTTACTCCTCCTCCCCTGCCGTGGCGACCTACGCCGCGTCCCCCGCTGTTGCCACCTACGCCGCCACCCCCGCCGTCCACGCTTACTCTGCCGCCCCCGCCGTCCACGCTTACTCCGCCGCCCCCGCCGTGGCCACCTACGCCGCTGCCCCCGCCAAGATCGCCTACAGCGCCGCCCCCGCCGTCTCCTCCTCCTACATCACCACCGGCGCCGTTAAGGTCGCCTCCGCTGGCTCCGCCTACTCTGCCTACTCCGCCGGCCCCGCCGTCGCTGCCTACTCTGCCGCCCCCGCCGTGGCCGCCTACTCCGCCGCCCCCGCCGTCGCTAGCTACGCCACCGCTCCCGTCAAGGTACGTCAAGTGCACACGTGTGCGGCGTCGCGCGCCTCGCTGGACTGCCGAATCACTTTCCAAGTCATTACCGCGTTGTGCAACGCACGCATGACGGCTAACTAGACCGCCTCCGGCGCGGCCCGTCCGCCGGACCTGCAGACTGCTTCCGAGAGTCGTTTTCGTCGCTCTGTCTCTCCCGCACTCATGGGGCACCACTGAAAAGTGCGAGAGGGACAGAGCGGCGACAACGACTCTCGGAAGCAGTCTGCAGCGTTACTAATGTGGACACGCGTCGCCACCGACTTTCGACAACCACCTCGTCATCGTCGTCCTGATGGTCTTGTTGTCGTTGCAGGTCGCCGCCGCGTACGCTGCCCCCGTGCAGACCGCCTACGCCGGCTACGCCCCCGCCGCCCCCGTCCTGCAGTACGCCCCCGCCGCCCACCTGAAGGCCATCACCCCCGCCGCCCTCAAGAAGGTCCACCACAAGCACCTCGAGGAATACGTGAGTACCGTTGTTGATAAAGCAGCTTGGAACCTTGAGTGTTTGGCTTATTTTGTGCGGAGCGCAGTGGACCAGAAGACCGGTGGATGCGGTCAAAATCACAGACAGGTTTTGAGCTCCAGAGTAGCTGAATTTGACTGGAATCACACGTGTGACCCCACCAATGGATTGCTCTCCGGACGAGGAATCCATTGGTGGGGTCACACGTTCGGTTCGAGTTCTCTTTAGCGACTCAGGAGCTCAAAACGCGTCTGGTGTTTCGGCCGCCTCCACCGGTCTTCTGGCCCACTGTGCGACGGCGGGTTGACCTGACACGTTTCTTCTCCCTGCGCAGGACGACCACCCCAGGTACGCGTTCGAGTACGGCGTGTCCGACCCCCACACCGGCGACCAGAAGGAGCAGCGCGAGGAGCGCGACGGCGACGTGGTCAAGGGCCAGTACTCCGTGGTGGAGCCCGACGGCTCGGTGCGCACCGTCAACTACGTGGCCGACTGGGAGACCGGCTTCCACGCCACCGTGTCCAAGGACGCCCCCAACCACAAGATCGGCACCGTCCACTAGCAAGTGTCGCGGCGCTAGTTGTCGTAGCGGTTCCAGAGCCGGCCTAAAGGACGGGCAATGTAGCACTCTTTGCTTACTTACAGTGGCGACGTGTGGCTTTTTGCCTACCTGTCAGGCGGCTGTTTAGGGGCCAGGGGGGTCAATAGTTCTGTTGCCCCCTCCTCTCCCCCACTGGATCCGCGCATGTCGTCTCCGCGCGCGGCCTCACGCCGAAGCAGTGCGTGATTGGCTTCGCGCTTCGCCCCCCAGTCAGTCCGTTGGTTCCGAATGACGTCACCGCCGCGGATGTTGGTTCGCGGCACTGCAAGTCAGCCGGCCCCACAATGCTCATTGTGCACTGCACTGTATTATTTTTCCGCCCCCGACAGTGTCGTGCAAACAGGCGACTATTGCCTCATCAATCGTTATGACATCGCTCTCTGATCCCCTTGGCACACCAACGCCGGGCCTTTTGCGTGAGGCCGCGCTCTGGGAGACGTCGTCTCCAATGTGATTGTGAAGTTACTTTTAGGACTTACCAGTGTTTCGCTAACCTACGCACCATTTTGTTTTACTCGTGGGTTTCGAAGCAGTTTTTTTTTTTATATGTTGTAGTTTTACGTTGTTCTTCTCATCTCATCCCTTTGCATATTCTCATTATCACTTACGACCACAGACGTGTGGTACTAGTCCCCTTTCATCGCGTCATCGCCTCGAGGCGCTTTTGTGAGCTCCTTTCATTACATTAATGGAGGACTCTATGGTTAACAGGCGTGTACAAAGCCTTCTTGTGTACCTAAGCAGCAACGCAAAGTTACCCGAAACGCCACTGCCCCGCTCTTTGTGCAATTATTTTTTTTGTTAATGTTATTGTGTCCTCTGTTACTCAACGATGTAATGTGGTTTGTTCGTTACTCAGCCTGCACATATAACGCAACGAATGTCAATTTATTTTTTTGAATAATAGTGCTTTTGTAATGATAAATAAAACGTGATATAAAAGAATCAACGACTTACCAGTTCCCCCCAAAGCCTGGTCAGTAGGCAACCCCTCTGCCACCTGCACAGCGAGTCGACAGCGAGTGTTGCCATCGAGACGTACGTTTAATTTCTTCCGCAGCCGTGCGGGCTGACAGACACACCTAAGACCAATCACAGGGGAGTGCGCCCTATAGCAGTGGCCAGCTCGTCGTGAACACTGGTTGCCAACAAATGTGACGTCATATTCGTTCGAATGTGAATTTAGTCACGTTCGTTTGAATATGATGTCACATTCGTTTGAATGTGATCAAACGTTCAAACGAACGTTGACCACCCTCTTTAACGGCCGTAGTCACCCCTTCCAACGAAGGGTGACACATATTCCACGAAGGTACATAAATTTACACTCCAACGAATATGACGTCACATTCGTTGGCTACCAGTGTAAGGTCCTTGGTCGGCCTGGGTTCGGCTCCCATAAGCAAACCAACATTTTCCTTCCCAGTTCATTCACGCTCAAAGAAAAATCCAGGACTAAAAGTCCAAGTTTGAACGACGCAATCAGATGTGTCTCGGTGCCTTAGATTGCAGAGGCAGGGACCTCCCGGAGACCTGGGTTCGACTCACTGGCATGGCATCATGCCGATTTTGTGATCTTCACGTTCTTTCCTGTGACATGTCAAAAGAGTAGTCTACCTCTCGAAGGTGGTAACAATGGAGAGAGTCCCCTTCGGATATTTCGAGCAATATATCTAGCCGAAGCGCGGAGAGACGCTGCCTCCGCGGGCGAACAGCAGCACAACGCGACGGCTGGCGCAAGGCTGGCCGGTGCGACCTTAGCCAGTCGCACTGCGCCAGCGAAGGTAGACCACCCCTTTGGCACGCCACTGGGAACAGGTGCAAAACACGGTATCGGTGCATTGCCGCGCCTGGGACTCGAACCAAAGTCAGAGTCAGCGCGACCATTTATTATGCGCTCCCTGAGCCACGGAGACAGACAGGAATGATTTTGCCTAAACTTAAAATGACGGTATCGGATTCTTCGTTGAGGAAATGTACTGGGCTGGAGAAGACAACTAGGCACGTTGGTGCATGGGAGTCGCGAACCCAGGTCCCCTCCCTGCCGGCAGCTACTACCTACGGAAATTTTTTTCTTGAGACATTTGGAGAGTCCTCTGAGGCTCGCTGCTAACAGGTGTGCACCGGAGTCGAATGGGTTGCCTGTGCTGACGGCGCAAAGATGACTGGGCTGCCCAGACCCCCTCCCCGCCCTGCCCCCGCCAGATCAGCGAGTTCGTTCACCAGCGAGAACCGCAGAGCGCGCAGAGTGGGCCAGAAGACCACAGAAGACCGGGGCAGGCGGCCAAAACTATAGACGCTTTCTGAGCTTCATGTTACTTAAGAAGGACACAAATCAAACGAGTAACCCCACCAATGGATTGCTCTCCGAACGAGGAGTCCATTGGTGGTGGGGTCAACACGTTCTGTTCGAGTCCCATTTAGTGACTCTGGAGGCCAAAACGCGTCCGAGATTTTAACCGCCTCCACCGTTCTGGCTCACTGAACAGACCCACCACCATCTTACGCGAATTCTTGGCTCACTAAATCTTCTTCTCTCACAACACATTGCAACACACTGCCTGAGCGACGCCTCCTTTTTTCTGTCCTTAATTTTCGACCCTCAATTTGTCTCACTTTGCGTGTGTGTGTTGTTGTGTGTGTTGTTGTGTGTGTTGTTGTGTGTGTTTGTGTGTGTGCACCTCGCACGAAGTACAGAGTGCCGCCATAAAGAAGCAAATCCCCGCTGCACCTCTATTACAGGCAGTAGCCGCCAGACACCCGGTCTTGACAGTGCAGCAGCCACGCACTCACTCTATCTTACTCTCTCTGTCTCTGTCTCTCTCTCTCTCTCTCTCTCTCTCTCTCTCTCTCTCTCTCTCTCTCTCTCTCTCTCTCTCTCTCTCTCTCACACACACACACACACACACACACTCGCACACACACTCGCACACACGAACCCATACAAAGTGGCTTTTTTTTGGCGACGGCACCAGGGCCACCCTTTAGCACCCGTTGTATTATCCGTTTCCGCTGCGCTGCCGTGGCGTGGCGTGGCGTGGCGTGCCGTGCCCCGTGGTGCCCTGGGAACGCTGCGAACCTTGCCCCGGCCGTTCACGCCCGTTATAAATTCGGCTCGGCGTGACGCGACTGTGGCACTCTGTAAACCAACACACGCGTAAAAAACAACAACAACAACAAAAACATGAAAACAATTATTAACACTCATACAAATAGCTCACTCACAAGCTGACTTCAATACCGAAGTGACGAAGGCCCCTACAATTTTACAGTGGGCCAGCCCTCTGATGCCCCGATGGCCTTCAAAATCGGAGCCGGGCCCTCGTCGTCGGCGACACTGCTTGAAACAGCAACAAATTGTTGAAAAAGTTGGAATTCGCAAACAGAAGCCGTAAATCCGGCAGAAATCTGAGGAAACTGCCAGTGTGTGGCCGCGGGGCGAGTCCAGTCAGGGTCGCGGGGCTGCCCGGCCCGGGGCCGAGGTAATGTCCCGTTCGCCTTATCACTGGCCGGCCGCATCAACTCGCAATTTTTATCTCCTTTACTAATGTCGGTGTCAGCGCCGAGGGGGGCCCTAATGATTTCCGCCCCGAGAGACAATCGGGTGGACAGCCCTGCCATCTCTCTCGCACTCTTGGGGCGCGCCGTTCGGGTGCGAGAGAGACAGAAAGTTGCAGGGGAAGGCCCGTGGGAGGTACGCTGTTCTCCTCGGAGCCCCGGCAACCGTCCCCCAGCGTGTGGTGCACACTCCAATTGCAGACTGATTCCGAGCACTGCTTTCGTCCCTCTGTCTCTCTCGCACCTGTAAGGGACGGCCCATGAGAGCGAGAGAGACAGACTCTTCGGAAGCAGACGGCAGTGGTCTGCCCGGCCTCCCTGCGGCGCCGCATACACACACTCTTTCAGGGAAAAAGAATCCATTTCTGGATTCGAATTCATGTTCATTATCACTTAACTAACCCGCCCGCCTTCCCCCTTCCCCCCGTTCCCAGGGCTTCCCGTCTGTCGTGTTCCCCCTTCCCTCACCCTTCGCCTGCAGACTGATTCCGAGAGTCGTTTTCGTCGCTCGTCTCTCTCTCTCTCTCGCACTCGAGGGGCGTCCCGCAGAGGCGCAAGAAAGACAGAGCGACGAAAACGACTCTCGGAATCAGTCTGCATCTCGCTTCCGAAGGACGGCGCCCCGGTCGCTCCGTCTCTCTCGCACTCCAACGCGACGCGCCGCGAGTGCGAGAGAGACAGAGCGACTGTTCGCAAGCGAGCCGCCGCGGTCCGGGTCCCCGAGGCGGCGCGCGGCGCGCACCAAGGGACGTCCCGACGCGTCCCGACGTCGTCCTGACGAGCCGGACGTCGTGACGGACGCGGACCGACTTGACAAGGACTTCTTCATTTCGACGCGAACAAGGCAAACATATTTACAGGATGATTGGCGGGCAAAAGGAAAGGCACGCTGCGACACGGCGCGCAGCGCAGCATGCGCGTCTCGCTGGAGACGCTCGCGATGTATCGTGTGGTGCCCGCTTTGGAAGCCGGACCGCCGTCGTCGCTCTGTCTCTCTCGCACTCGCCCCGCGAAACCGTGTGTGCGTGGTGCGCCGTGAGTGCACACTCTAAATGTTGTGCAGTGAAGATTCACCATATTATGGTGAAAATGTTCCATATTATGGTGAAAATGTTCCATATTATGGTGAAAATGTTCCATATTATGGTGAAAATGTTCCATATTATGGTGAAAATGTTCCATATTATGGTGAAAATGTTCCATATTATGGTGAAAATGATCCATCTTTTGGTGAAAATGTTCCATATTATGGTGGTGCAGCTGACTTCGTAACATACCATTGAGAATTCACTGTACCTAATGGATATTTTGACGAATTTCGTTGGTATTATGGAGAAAATCTCCACCATATTATGTTGGTGCAGCCTTTCACCGTAAGACATTTACAGTGCATGTCTGCAGGCGCACTGTCCGCAGCCCGAACAGTGTACCTGCACAGTGGATCAGAAGACGGGTGGAGGCGGTCAAAACCACAGACGCGTTTTGAGCTCCATGAGTCGCTAAATGGGACTCGAACCGAACGTGTGACCCCACCAATGGATTGCTCTCCGAATGAGGTATCCATTGGTGGGGTCACACGCCCGGCTGGCCTGCTCTGAGGCTGGCGGCTCGGTGCGGGCTGGGACCACTCGGCGTCCCGGGCTGGGCGCATCTTTTTCGGCCGCGGCGCGGCGTCGCGGATCGGATCACGCCTCCGGACCGAACCGGCGAGCAGCGAGAAGCCGCCAAGTGGATGAGCTGCCGGACCGGGCCGCGCGGCGCCGCAGACCGATTCCGAGAGCCGTCGCTCTGTCTCTCTCGCACTCATGGGGCGTCCCGTATGGGTGCGAGAGGCACGGAGCGACGAAGACGACGACTCTCGGCATCAGTCTGCTGGCGGTGCTAGCCGCGCCGCGGCGCTAGAATAAAACAAGAGCGAAACCGAAACGAGGCGAAACAGGCCGGCCGGTCATTATTCCCCATGAGCCGAGCGATTCGCAGGATCGCTCTGTCTCTCTCGCACGCTTACGGCGAACCCCGTGAGTGCGACAGAGACAGCGCGACGGCGCGACTCTTCTGAATCGTTCGACAGGGAATGCGGAACCCGGCGAGGCGGCCAGGGCGGGCCTCTAGGCGGGCCGAGCCGTCAAGCCGCCTCACGCCGAGGGATCGGCGCGTCGCTCTGTCTCTCTCGCACTCGCGGGGCGTGCCGTGGGGGTGCGAGAGAGACAGAGCGACGAGCCGATGCTCCGGAATCAGGTGGCAGGCGATCGTCACTTCGGCCGGCCGAGGCGCTCCGATGACGCGTGCCTAGACCACGCCGCACAGTGGGCCAGAAGACCGGTGGAGGCGGCCGAAACTCTCGACGCGTTTTGAGCTCCAGAGTCGCCGAACAGGACTCGAACCGA